CGCAGAGCTCTGTTGCTGTCGACTCTCTCCCTCCTCCCTCTTTCCTCCACTCATCCTTTTCTGACATGTCTTTTCGCACGTCTTTCCTTTGACTGGTTTGAGTTTTGTGGTTTGTCACTCTTCTTCTGACAGCCTCTCTCCCTTCATAGTTTCACATGTCTACCTTTTTGTCTTGCCTCAAACCTGCTTTCTAATTCCTTCACATCATCATGTGCATCGTCTTGTCTTTGATCTGTCTGCGTGTTCCCCCTCAGTACAGATGTTTTGTCGTTTCTCTCTTCTCTTGTTTCAGATGGGTCGGGATATGATTCTCCGGAGCCCTTCCTGACTGACGGAGGTCCAAGCTGGAGGCCAGAAGGGTCCTTGGCCCCGTTAGCCGCCCTGGCCACAGTGCTCCTGGGCCTCTTCTCCTGGGTGTGACCCCTCCCTCTTCTTTTCTTCCTGGAGCTCCCATCCCGAGGTCGCTGGGCTGGGCTGGCTGTCCCTTTTTGAATCCACCACCCCTCAGGGAAGCCTTCTGTCTCCGTCCTCCCATTCTCCCACTTTCCACTCCCCCTTATACGACCACCAACCACCCCCCACTGCCAGCCCCTTACATGGCCCAGCCACGGACACCCTTCCCCGGCCTGGCTGAGAGGATTTGGGGTCTTGTTTTGGAAGCTGACCCCAGATCTGTGGGTGGAACGGCACCTCTCAGCTGAGAAACACAAGGGATATGTCTCTGCACTCATATCAGGGGGTCCTTTTTTTGATTTGACTATTGACTCCTGGCCGCTGACGGGGTAGATGTAGCCACAGCTATGATTAAACTTGTCGTCCCAGGGCAAATTCCTATCATGCAATCACGGCAGGATGCATTAAGCGACAGGCCTGGATGCACAAAAATTGGATTTTTTCTCCTATTGCTGTCCCATTGTCAAACCAAGAATTGGATGTGGCCAAGCTTGCATTGTAATTGAAATTTTATATTATCTGGACCCATTCCAAGTCTGCAAGGAGCAAATGTACAGAGATGAAGAGGAGAGGAGTGACCCGAGCTGTGCAGAGGAGAAAGGGAAACCAATGTGGGCGCAGATTTGAATGGCCGTAGGGGAAATGTAATATTATATGTGTTGATATTTTAGGACCAGTGTAGATTCACAGAAATGTGAGATAAGAATCACAGTTTTATTTTTTATGAGAAGCTCAGATTTCACTTTCAAATGACAAGTATAATCATAGCCTGATTCAGTGGGTGGGTGGGCGGGTGGGTGCTCTGGGTGGGGTTTAATGAGGTGTATATTTTCAGGTGGGTTGTGTTTTGTCTTATTCATGTTTCTAAACAAAGCATTTATCACAGCCTGGACAGCACAGGCTTTAATACAGCACTGTCTTATGTCTCGATCGGGTCGGGTGGCTTTTGGAAAAGTGACTTTCTTATGTATGAATGTACCACTGGTCACCCACCTCTTTGTCTTTCTGTATTATTACGACTGTGGTCACTTACTTCTATCAGAGCGACAGGTTTTTAAGGAGGATTTTCGAAGGAACGAGAGAGGGCAGGAGGTGGGTGAAGTGAGGGCGAATGAGGGACAGGTGAGAAAAGCAAGGGGGCGACACTTTAAGTTGCATGACCACTGTGAATCCTTCAGATCAATCTCGTTTGTAATGATGATATATTTTTTCATGCGGGAAAAATCAAAAAAACAAAAACAAAAAAACACCCTTTTACCGCTCTCTCGCTCTCCCTGAGACTTTTTTTTCTCCAAACATCAAAAGAAAAAAACCTCCCTCCTCGCACGGTTTCTCCTGTCGTTGATGGATTAGCTTGAGGGGTTCGGGGAGATAAATGGACCCAAAAGGTGAAACTGACTGGAAATCAGCCCTCGGAGCTGCGGGCCGGATCACAATGGACGTAAACACAGACTGAAGCTGGTCCAGGGTCTGAGGGTTAAACCAATAAGGGAAGCGCATAGACTGTGGCAAACGAGGCGAGGTGTGTGTGTGCGGTAGCTTCACAAAAGCACACATGCACACACACATACGTATTAATACACACACATGCACGCAGTCTTTGATAACGGGACTGTTCCTGAGAGACTGTGGGAGCATTCATGGACACGACTATAAAGGGAACGGCTCAAAGAAAAAAGGGAGCAGAGGAGGGAGGGAGGGAGGGGGGAGAAAGTGTGTGTGCATCATGGGACTGAGACTTCTTTAATGTTGGGAAGTGAACATTATGAGCAAGCACTGTGAACACACACACACATACATACACACATGTACAGATAAAAACACACAAGTACAGACAAGTGTAGAAAAGCACATACAGATTTATACATTTACAACGACATGGCATGCACATACACACATGTACAAAGACACACACACACACACACACACAAAAACACAAACAAGGGGAAGCACTCCTTTCCCTGTTTCATCTTATTTTTGTAGCATTTAAAATCACTGTTAATTACTCCTGTGTGGGATGCAGTGATGGGGTCTAGCCTGTGGAAGATTAAAAAATGTGTTTTCTCTTCTTCTATTCCACTGATGCTGTTCTTCTATCGTTCTTCTTCTTCTCTGGTTTGTGATCCATGTTCGGTAGTGGTAGGTAGGAGGCCTCCAGGTCTGAGCGTCATGTATGAGTTTGACTCCTTCTTTCTGTTTGTGGTGTTTTCTTTTTTGTGGATGCTGACCTCAGTCATTAAAGTCAGTCGAGTCAAAAGTAAAAACACAGACGTCAGAGCGAGGAGAGAAACACACAAATAAAGATTGTCTTTTTGTCTACTCAAAATCATCAAGCCAAGTGGGATTTCTTCACTGGAAATGTGAGTGCATCTTCATTTGATGTCTTTTTTTCCCCCCTTCCCTGATGATTGTATTCATGCATTAGTCTGCACCACCTGGGTCTTTATATTTCTGCCCGGTCTATCTTCCTCTGGCGTCAAAGTCCTGGGACGGTGAGCGTTGAGCGCTGCCAGTCAAAGCATGAAATTATTCAGATGAAATCAGCCTCTCCAATCTTCAGCTGTTTCTCCCTCAGCGATGTGACAGCTAATCTGAAGCGCTGACAACATGGAGACTGAATAGCTTGATAGCCTTTCCTCTCAGGTTTCCATCAGATTTCAAGCATGGTGGCCTCCCAGTTATGGAAAGGGTATTTACTCAAGTACCGTACTCCTATACCCATTTTAGGGAACTATTTACTCAAGCTACTTTTAACCTCTTCCTTTCTACATTTAAAGTTAAACATATCTTACTTTTAACGCTAAAAAGAGCATTTTAAAAAAACATTTGGTAACACTTTACAAAAGCCATAATTTATAAATGGTAAATAGATAGTTTATTAATGTTTAATCATCATTTAAAAACAGCATATAGACCAATTATGAATGGCAAATAGATAGTTTATTAATGTAAGTTAATAGTTACTTTACCATTAACAAGCAATGAAACATCAACGAGAAGAATGACAATTCCCACGTTGTTGTTTTTAATGTCTGTAACTGCTACAAGGGGGTAGACGCACAAATGAAATGCCTTCCGGAGCGAATACTCACAACAGATAATGAACTTAGAAGTCAACAGGAGGAGATTTTTCAATATGCATCACTTTAACAAAGACCAGAGAATTTAGCAATAATAGAGGGGTTACCACTTTGGCAACAAGGGGGCGCCAAAGTCAACACAAACAGACAGTTCCTCACAGGAGCGTTCAAGCTGCTGTAGGGAGTTGTTATCTGGTTATAGGAAACAACGATACGGTTCTTAATATCTGTTTTTAAATTAATAATCCATGAAATTTGTGCCTTAGCAAGGATTACAGAGGCACCGCTTTGTCCACAGTAGGCACTTAAAACAACACGAACCAAAAGTTATTTATAGGAGCTTAAAAACAAAACAGGATGAGCAGGTAAAATATGAGTTTAAAACTGCAGTCTATAGTAACTGACAGAACAGACTTTGTTAAAAGAGTATATGATATTAAGAATGACAGAACAAATTGACAGTATTGACAATAACTACATAAAATATTCATACATGCTAAAAATATGCATTCTACACAATTCACTTGTTCATAATGGGGGGCAGCAGTGGATCTTCATGCTGGTTGCTAAAAAGAAGCAGCAGTTAGCTCGTTAGCTGTAGCAACCCTATGAACCGAATCTGATGACAAGATATTGTCAGCTATTCTCATCTAAAAAAAATATGTCTATAACTGTTTACTTGATCATTTAAAATCTGCTAAATGTCTACTGCCATACAGATGAAAGACTGAAACATCAGATCTAAGATGAGCTGTTCATCACATGAAACATTAAAGTCTCATTTTCAAGCGTTTTTCAAAAAGTTTTTCTACTTTGATCACGTCTTGTCATCACACCGTCTTCGCCTTTATTACATTCGTGGCGTCCAACTGCAGAGTTAAAACCACCAGCTGGGTATCTTGATGCACCCAAATCTTAATATCTGAATAACAGAACTGGTTGGAAATACAAAATCTTGATATTTTCTTTGCTGATTTCCTGAAAGTTGTGCAAACATTTGAGCTTCATTTTGATGTAAACTCATTTAATGAGATGTTTGGATTTTCACCGTTCAGTTATTTCATTCAAAAAGTAAAGATGGGAGATTGGAAAGTCCAAAAGTGCAAAGAAATTTGTGCAACAGAACTTTTAATCTAACTGTTTCACAACCACGAAGACTTAGCTTTGACCCTTAAGTGGGGGCAAACTTTGGTTTGGTAACCAATGGACTGTGCACACCGTAGTAAAATGTTATTCCATTTAAACCAACTACAGCAGTAGAATTCTATCTACACAGTGATGCACCGTTAAAGTTTTGACTAGAAACTGTCGTCATCGTCGTTTTCTTCCGCTTATCCAGGTCCGGGTCGTGGGGGCAGCAGCTTCAGGAGGGAACCCCAGACGGCCCTCACCCCGGCCATTTCCACCAGCTCCTCCTCCTCCAGGGGGATTCCCAGGTGCTCCCAGGCCAGGCGAGAGATATAATCCCTCCACCTGGTCCTGGGCCGGCCACGGGGTCTCCTCCTGGTGGGACATGTCTGGAACACCTCTAACAGGAGGCGTCCAGAGGGCATCCTAACAGATGCCGGAGCCACCTCAGCTGACTCCTCTGGACGTGGAGGAGACATCTCCTCTGAGCACCTCCTGAGTGTCCGAGCTCCTTACCCTATCTCTAAGGCTGAGCCCGGACACCCTGCGAAAGAAACCCATTTCAGCCACTTGTATCTGCGATCTTGTTCTTTTGGTCATTACCCAAAGTTCATGACCATAGGTGAGGGTCGGCACGTAGATCGACCGGTAAATCGAGAGTCTCGCCTTACGGCTCAGCTCTTTCTCCACCACGACAAATCGGTTAAGCGTCCGCACCACTGCTGACGCCGCTCCGATCCGCCTGTCGTTCTCCCGCTCCATCCTACCCTCACTCTTGAACAAGATCCCGAGATACTTGAACTCCACTTGAGGCAGGACCTCCCCTCCGCCCCGTAGAAGACAATCTACCTTTTTCCGACTGAAACTGGACTTTTAAAGACACATTGGTATGACTGGAATTGCACTAAATCGTTAATCGAGCTTCTCATAGTGACTAACATACCTGCTGTTGAGGGTCTGGGAATCCTGGTCAAAGACAGTAGTCCAGTTAAACTTAACTCTGCATGTAAATGCACTGACTCACATTAGCACACCCCTGTGGACAAGGCAGTTATTGCTGGTTCAATCCTGCTCATGTATTATTGCTCTGTTCTTTTTTAACATCAAATGTATCACTCAGTGTGACTTTAGCCACGGATGTATCAACAACATTCAGTTTGACACCTACCTCCTACAGTGACATTAAAAACTACTCCACAGAAAGAGTCACTGTTCTTGTTAGTGGTCTTGAGTATTGAATTTAGTCCTTTTTCAAAACCCTCACAGGAGCTTTAAACTCAATGTGATGTAGAATCAAAGACCAGTCAAAGGCCTTTTTACCAGAGTGAGTCCTTTCACTTCAGATTCATCATTCTGGTGTGTTTTTCATTTTATTGCATTAGAATTTCAAATGTAGGATTTAAGTTGTAATAGAGTTTTTTTTTTAGATGCATAAAAATCCTTTCCCCATCACTCAGTCCGACTAGTTTAACAGATTGTCCTGAAAATGTTTGATCATTACCACAACTATGTCTGAATCTGTCCTTGAGCTCACAGCACATGTCGGTGAAGCCTACGGGCAAAGTGTTTAAAAAGTGAATCTGAAAAGTTCTTTTTTACAGATCTGGACATGAATAGACGACACAGACAATAGACACTTTCCCTCTTTGGGACTTGTAAGGGCCAGTACTGACTTGAAGCGTTATTTGAAACTCGACTTCCTTGGGCGGTGTGATGCAAAATGAATATCAGAATCCTTGTTTTTTGGGTAAAACGGAGGACCATGAATAATAGATGAGCCTCTCTTGTTTGGCCCTCCTGTGCAAAGCAGGCTAATGGCTATCGATGTCTCTAGTTTCCATCAAATTGCTTCATATAAGAGCTCGATTTAAATAGAGAAAGAGGAGATTTCAGAGAAAAAGGGACCAGGGAATGAAATTATCTCTGAATATTAAGACACACGCTTGGTCAGCCGATTCTTTGTCTTTTCAAGTATCAGGTAGCGGCAGAATTAGCCTGATGTAAAATTAAGCCCGATCGAGCACGTTTCCCACCGTGTCTCAATCCTTGTGAGAGGAAAGATGGATGTGTGATACTTCTGGAGCCGAGCCAGAAATGAGCAGATGTGCTTCTTCAAAATCATGAGAAACTAGTGATCTGGGCTATGTCACTCACTCCCTCTCTCTCACACATACTATCGCATCCCTGTGTATTCTCCTCCAGATTTAATTAATCACCTGATTATTTCAGCTGTTTTCATTGGCTGGCGTACACAAGGGGCAATAATTGGCAAGAGTATATTTGGCCTATATGTTGTTGATTTTGGCAACAACCAAAACGACACACCAGGAAATACAGATGGCGACCTCCCTCCTTTCTTTCCCTCCTTCGTTCGGTCTCTTCATCTCTTCTTCTGTTGATTTCTGGCTCTGTGCGGCACATTATGAGGCTACAGGCTAATCCACTCTCCCCTCTCCTCTGTACTTTTGTCTCCCCCGTATTCAACTAACTGGCATGATTTAGGAATTATGGAATTAGGGCAGCGCTCCCATCTCTATTAATGAGGAACAGCATGATGAAAGAGCTTGATCCTGAACGTGCCATCTGTAGTCACTATTACACATTCACTTAATCTATCTCCCTCTTTCTATTTTCTATTCTTTCCCTTTCCTTTCTTCCTTCCTCTCGCTCACACACTCCCTCCGTCAAACACACTCACATTATACCTCAGTTGTAATTACAGAGGAAATACTAATTCTGGGCTCTTCAAGCACTGGTGGATGTGGCGTGAAATGGCGAAATGGCACCACAGGAAAGTTAACTATGGACCACACACTCCTGCATATAACACACACACACACACACACTCACACAGGAGCCCAGATGGACCGTGTGTTATTGCTGAATAATGCATGCTATGTAGACTCTATAAAAGATACATGGGCCCAGAGAGCTGGGCACCATGGGAAGTTTGGAGAGGGCAGCTCGGGAGAATCCCTTGTGCAAATTTGGAGTTGTCACATAATGTTCAGCTTGTAGATATTTAGCTTTAGGTGACCCAACAGGGAAAATATTTAGCCTCAGCCACAGAGAGAGAGAGAAACCCACTTGCCTTTTAGACATAGTCAGTTGATATGTGAGTTGGCACTCAGCCCAGTGTCTTTGCAGTCACCTTCAGCAGGCCTTTGTGGTTTAAACCATAAAAACTTGGGGGAATTACACAGCAGATTCAACGCCAGAGGTTCAGATTTCAGAGCATCTCTCAGAATCACTATGAAAAAATATCCCGCAGTCTGTCTTCGTGTAAAACAGACAGACTTATGGGGGTGGGGGGTGAGGGGGGGAGGTCCGGGTGAAGGGTAAATGCTGCACTCATGTGGGGAAAACGAGCAGCGCCTCTTTTCTTAAGTCATATGACAGGACATGCGCAGCGCCCTGTGATGCGTTCAAATGCTCAACCAAAGCTCCTCCCTCCTTAACAACTTTAATTTAAATAACAAGAGTAGGCAGGGCTGGATAGTAACCAATTACATTTGAGTCGCTGTGCTGTGTGCCTGTACCTTTTTTTAATAAGATTTCAAAATTAGGATGTGTACTTTTCTTTCTTTCTTCTTTATTTATCTCAAACTTGAAGAACAACAACAAAAAACAAGTTGAAACAAAAACAGCAAACAAAATAATACACATGTACACCAAACAACTGTACATGTCAAAGATAAATTTACACAACATACCGTATGTATGTCAAAATAAACAGTTTGAGAAGGAACAGAATGAAGCAATTAATATTATTTCTATGCAATCAAGTATATCTAGTATGAATCCATATTTTTTTATTAGTTTACTTGTATAATAATAATAATACATTTTTATATAATGCACTTTTACAGGTGCTCAAAGACGCCTTACAAAGAAAAAGAATAACACAGTCTAAAATACAGAATATTTTGAGAAATAAAACCAACGATGTAAAAGGTGTGTGCAGGATAATGAAATTACTAATTATGGACTTTGTTAAATAAGGTGATTAAAGTTGGCAGGTCCAATAGCAGTTTACCTCTAGTTTTATTGTATTGATGTCAGTCAGGATGACGTATTATAACAATAGAAATTATATGAAATAAAGTAAGAAGTAGGCTCAATCAATCAATCACTTTATTTATAAAGCACTTTTCATTCATAAACTTGTATCACAAAGTGCTGTACACAAGAAGGAGAGGATCAGGGGATACAAAATAAAATACAAAATAGAATACAAACTGCAAAAACCCCACCCACCCACACACACACCCACACACATTCTCACAACCATCGAAATATCAAGTCAGGGCTCAACAGGAAGCCACAGAGGACCAAGGAAATGCTATCTTAAACTAAAATGGGGAAACACAGGAGCTGAAGCTAAACTTATAAAACCATGACAAGATATGAAAAATAAAACAATAATAATAATAATAATATATTACATAATAAAACTGTTTTAAAATCAAACAATAAAAGAAAATAAACAAATAGTGTTACATTTTTGATAATAATTCTAGGACTAAAGTGGAGTACAATACTAAAAAGAGAAGACTAAAGGAGAGGCTAGAAGATTTTTTTAAAGCGTACAAAAAGTGAAATGAATGAATGAATAACTAAATGGTGTTAAGACACTGATAATTCGCGTGGGCAGTGTCGCCGTTGGATGTTACTAATTCCGAGTGCACTTAAACGCACCAGTCGACACACTCCGGACAGCCGACGGTGGAGGAGCCACTGAAGGAATCCAGAAGTTGACTGAGCCAAGTTCACATACCGTAAAGAAGGAGGAGTAACGAGCTCATTCTTAAACGAGGAGGGTTAACTGTAAGTATTGACTCCCCAGATAACTATCCCAGACTCTTGTAACTCTTCACTCAGTCGGTTTAAGTGACGACGTTAGGCGGTTGACAGGAAAGCGGAACTAGCTAACACAGGGAGCTAACTGGGCAGCAGCACGTTAGCTGAAGTTTCCACTCTGGACCCTACAGCCTTGTTTACCAAACTAGAGCCCAACAGGAACTCATTAAACAATGTAAGAAAACTTATCTGTGCTTTAAAAAACTTTGGGGAACACTTTATACTTCATGTGAAACTCTTTTGTGAGGTTTTAAAGCGCTATGTTGAGGATTTAAGGGGTGTTTTCGGGGTGTGGGGGAAACTCCTTCTGGTCATTCAACCAACAGTCACCTGTTTGTCAAATGATCCTGACTGAATAACCTCACTTTCAGCACTTTTAACCATCTCTCTGTTCGCAGGTTAACTAAAATCACATGCTTGGACATAAAGTGGCTCTGTTTTAATGATTTACCATCTGCCATAGTCTCCCTTATGTCATCAGATATGTCAGACAGCTGCAGGTCTCTGAAACTCAGGACTCTTATCTTTATGACCTATAAAACTCTCTTAAAGGGACCAAAGATTGTGATCTAGGTTTGGTCTCTACAGCATGATGTCATTGGCCCTCATGTTGTTTGTTTTGGTTGCAGCTCTGCGTTTTAAGTCGTCCTGAAACATTGTACACCTTCTTTCTAACAAAAATGATAGTCCCCTTCATGACCAAGAAGGGAAAATATATCCAGACTTTTGAGTTTTTAAAAAGATCAAGATTAAGGATATGAAGACAGGATGATGACAATGAGACAGGACACTAGTCAGATCTGGAGGAACAGGTTTGGGTAGAGGAACGAGAAATGTGTTTCCCCGTAGGAGCTGTTGTGTTACCACACTTTCTGTTGCTGCTGTGAAGAAACTCAGACATGAACGGGTACGTCTTTTAAGCTTGTTAAATTATCCTTCCTGTGGCTGTGATCACTGTATTTTGTTGTCAAAGCGATGAGCTGTTACTGTGTGTGAAGTGTGAAAATGTAGGGCTTACTGTTTTCGCTGCACAGGCAACAAGATAAATGCAGCGTGGCGTTTGTGTGTAACATTCTCATTACTGAATCATGAGGATCGATCGATAATCCAGCCATGCACACATCTGCTTTACTGGCACATGTAACTGATCTTTAACTGTTGACATGTGCGCCCGCCCTTGTTTTGGTCTCCTTTTTCAAAACAGCCCATTCAGGGCTTGACACTAACTTTTTTCACAAGGAGCACATGAATCCTAAATTAAATATAAGGAGCACACAAGGAACTTTAGGGGCACAATGAAAATTCATCAAATTTTATTGGTTGACATTAGGGCCTGACTGATATGGATTTTTGGGGGCCGATACCAATTATTAGTGGGGAAAAAATTTGATTTCTGATTACTTGGCCGATTTTTTTAATTTTTTAATGAAGTTATCTATATAAAAAAAAAATATATATATATATATATACATACTGTAGATAGGCTAAAATTGGCCGATTTAATTGGCTTGCTGATAAATCGGTCGGGCCCTAGTTGACATAAGTACTATTATTTGAAATAGATTTTTAGGTCTTTTGGTCACATGACATAGAAACTATAGAAGAAAATGTTCAAAATTTGTCTTTTAAATTTAACAAAAAAAATGTTACGAGGACAATTGTCTGACTTAAGTATCATTATTTGAAATCAATCTTAGGTCTTTTGGTCACATGACATGGAAGCTGTTGAAGGAAAACAGCCTTTTTTTAGAAAATCAACCGTTAATTTATTGATGGTCCCTTATTCAACACCGACGTTGACAGCGAGGATGCCGAGCAGATTACACCGCGCTGCTGTTGTTATTCCCGGTTATGGAGCGTGAGAAGACACCGGTAGATCCGTTGTGAATGTCTGTGAAAGTCTGTGGAATACCAACCTTAAACTAACTTCACCGTGGTAGTTACATGAAATAACATTTGTTGCCTCGGCTAATTTTTTTATGCGCACATGTGCCTCTAAATACATTTAACAATTCGCACACACCTATTTTTAGTCGCAAATGAGAGCGAAGTGGTCGCACTGTCGAGCCCTGCCATATGTGTGAAGGAATCTACCTTCAGTTTCTTCGCCATAAACTCTCATCACCGTCTTGCCAAGTCCAATGATCTGTTAAAAAAGCAGTCAAGCCTGTGTGAACCAGGTGCCCTCTCTCCTAAAGGGAAAAAAACGCAGAGTCAACAACGTTAAATCCTCTGAACTGTCTGCCAAGTAGACTATCTGTTTTTCCCTCTCTTCTGTTTTTTTTTTTTCTAAATCCGGATGTTTAGATGGTTCAGGTTTGAAAGGGAACTTGAAGTTCAGAGGTTGGGTGAAAAAAAACAAAGAAAACTTAAAACGTGAAAGGAAAAGACGATGACAGGAGTGGAGGAAAAGGAAACAGGAATAAAGCTGTGTTCCTGAGTATTATCTTTGAACCCCTGGAATAATGACAGAGTTTTGTGTCCTTGGATGTGCATCCCTTCTCCATCGTAGAAAACAGGCTGAAGTTTCTGCCTATGACGATCTTGATCTCACGTTACCATGCGAGTCCGCTGCTTCGACAGTCGCTTCAGTGCATCCTGTGATGTGGGACTGCATGAAGGTCACTTATTGCACAAATCACATTTAGCTTGTATTGGATTTGTATCTGTTAAACCGTTCTGCCACAGGCCCAGCACATGCTGCGATCAGAGTGTATCTCTAAATGGATTACCTGGATCAACACAGTGAGACCACACCTATTCCTCAAGTCCTGTGTGCCTCTGCTGCTCTGTGGTGTTGAATTCATATAAAAACTTGCATCACTCACAACAGCTTCTTCTTTGCAAACTAAAAGCTCTCCAAAGGTTACTCCAGTTGTTGTGTTTCTCTGAGAGTGGCGCTCGTACCTCCGCTTAACTTTTAAAGCTGTTCCTCCCATTAAAGAAATAACCCTGAAAGCACAGAAAATCGTCCAATTTCACAGTAATTGGTCGACCATGATCAGCGTATCCTGCTGCTGCTGCTTTAAAGTCTCTCGGTGACATGTCCTTGCTGTTGCACAGTTTTATTCGGAACCCAGAGGAGCCGTCAAATGTGAGCACAGAGAAGTAACCGTTGTAGTTGTTCCTTTTTAATTGTTTGTTTTATCGCTCTTTTTATGTTTTAAAGCTAGTGTACTCTGTGTTTATGCTTCACTGTATTTTTAATAGTAAAAACTAGGGCCCGACTGATTTATCAGCGAGCCAATTAAATCAGCTAATTTTAGCCCGTTTGAGACTAATCGGTTATCGGCCAAATCTCACCGATTTCGGCCGATATTTTCAGAAATAAACTGCGGAGAATAAGATTCAGTTTCACATCAAAAATGTTCCGCCATTTGAAAAGTTCCCCGACTTATCCTGTAGATGGCGCAGCAACCTCATGACAGTCTTCATCCACTAACTCCCTCACAGCGCAGCAGTGACCGATCTGAAGCAGGCAGCTCAGGGACGCACGGAGGAGAGTGGTCCACCTCAACGGTAAATAAACCAGTTTGTAAAATACACAATAAGTCAACAAGTTTCAGTTCAACCCACTTCACCATGTTCCCCGCTGTGCTGGTCTCGGTCATGCCGAGTTAACGGTGAAGCACCATGTAATATGCAAGTGAAAGTTAGAGTTAGCCATCTGCTATTAGCCTTGCTGCACTGTTAGCCGTGCCAGTAACAGTAGAATAAACAACAGTACACATTACGTGATCGAGCTACTTCTCTTACTGAGGCAGCTGCATGTCTCCGGACCGAACACGAGTAACGTGAGTTAAGACGCACCAATCGGCGGCGGGGGGAGGGTGTAGTTGAAAACGCTTTTCTGGTCCGAGTTTGATCAGTCGGTCTTCCTGTCGGCGTGAAGAGCAGTAGCCTACACTACAGTATGTAGTATACTGTAGTATAAAGTATACTGTAGATATCTACAATATATAATACACGATTACAGATCTTCCAGTATTCTTTATTTAGTCGGGCTCTGATATCACGCTCACTCCGTCACTGTGGTAACATCAGTCAAAGTCAGAGAAATTAGTTTTCATGATAAATGATCCTTTTAATGCAGTTATTGAAGATGTATGATGATGATTTTGGCAGAAGAACCACAAACCGAGGGAAGAAATCAATAGAGTATTGATTTTTGTTCAGGCCATACGAGCCAAAAGTGTTATAATTTATCATGTTACTGTTTTCAATAGAACCAGGATCATTTATTAATACTCGGTAGAGATTATAATTAGGACCTGCCACTGACAATTACAGGCTAAATGTTGCTCATGGCAGCAAAAAAAAAAAAACCTCTGCTATCATCACAGCAGACATATTTTTCAATAAATATGATTTTTTTATTTTATTCAAAGGTTCAGGAAAGTGTTTGCCAAAGCCAGTGTGCAACTCTAGGCACTTATAAGTCTGAGAGGCTGGTAGAAATATTCAGAGATGGCCTGCCTCTGCTACAGGTGAAGGAAAGAACTCGGTGTCAGAATCTGATGAATGTGGAAAACGGTGAAGCTGTTTTATTGCATAACTCTGAAGAAAAGCAGAATTAGCAGTGGGAGTCGTCTGATAAGTAAGGCGTCTCATTTGAAAGAGAGAATTAATGAATCAGAAAGAAGACCTGTTAAAGTCTCTCTACCATGTTGAAAAGGCTTGTCTTTTTGTACTTGAACCAATTTAATCAAGCTTCACAAACCAAAACAAACATTTTTCATTTTCGATGTGTCATGTCGTGACATTCAAGTGTCTTTTGTGCGCTCCTGCCGCTCACCAGCAGTAAATCATGAAAGTCCTTTACCTATCACCGTCCCCTTATCTCAGTGCTGCGTAGTTAGCATAGATTCTGCTGTGTTCACAATAACAGGAAGCTGCTGCAGGCTCGACACACACGTCAGTTTTGCTTCATAATTGAAATGGATTTTTTGTTTCCTTGATAGGCGAGCCTGCTGTATTCGCTCAGACCTTTAAAAAGCCTTCAGGGCCAGGAAAAGAGTGGGATTTGTTTAGGTTTTGCATCTCTTTCTCTTCCCAGCGTGAGAGCGACGTGAACATACACTGATTCTCTCATGTGTTCGAGCAGAGCCTCAAGAGTTTGAGGTGAGGCTGTGTGCTCATTTCTCATCAAATGTAAACCACAGCTCATAATATAAGTAAGATTCCAGTCGAAATAAAAAGAACATTCTTGCTGAGTCACAGAGAAGAGTGACGTGACAGGGAAAACCCAAACATGGAAAGTCTTTGTAAACTTTATTTCCAACAAGACAACGTGAACGAGGCAACTGATGGTCAAGAACATCTAGAGCAGTGGATTCAGCACCTGATTCAAATGATCAGCTCGTTATCAAGCTCTCTAATGGCTTAATAATAACGAGCTGATCATTTGAATCAGGTGTGTTGGAAACATCCAAAACATGCAGGACAGTGGTCCTCGAGGACGGGACTTGAGAACGAATGATCTAGAGAAACAGCTGAAGGAGCTAAAAATCTCTTTCCTGTCACAAATTTACCATGTTGACTCAGTCTGAATCATTTTCATTGCTTTGTTTTCATCCCGTCAGCTCGCATACTGCACATCGGTCAAGATTCAGTGAAATATCTACACTACAGCTTAAATAGAGCGAATATCAGACCTGCAGTTGTTCAAACACGACTCTGTAAATGTTACAGTAGTTACGCATCAGGTCACGGACGAGTCTGGCATGTTTACTTTAACTGAAATCATGATTGTGTTGACCTCATTCAACTCCTTTCTGCTGCTCTTACGTACACAGAAAATCTCAAATTGCAGAGTCAAAACTTGATTCCTCAATACTGGAGATTTTGGCTCGTGGCTTATTTAATAGGTTAGGGAATTTTTCAACATGTGGCAAAGAAACTGTGGGTTTTATGGTAACAGCGGGGAACATCGTGAAGTGGGTTGAACTGAAACTTGTTGACTTATTGTGTATTTCACAAACTAGTTTATTTAACGTTGAGGTGGACCACTCTCCTCCATGCGTCACTGTGAGGTAGTTAGTGGATGAAGATTGTCATGAGGTCGCTGCGCCATCTACAGGATAAGTTGGGGAACTTTTCAAATGGTGGAACAGTTTCAAAGTGTAACTAAATCTTATTCTCCGCATTTTATTTCTGAAAATATCGAAGAAAATCGGCGAGTTTTTGCCGATTACCGATTAGTCTCAAAAGGGCTAAAATTGGCCGATAAATGGGTCGGGCCCTAGTAAACACTGACTATTAAAGTATGAAATTATAGATATTTTAATTAGTACAGTGGAGTGTCAGGCCTCTTTTCTAGCCTGTTATGATAAGGCCGAGGTGGTGACAACTTATTCAGGCAACCATGACTGTGAATAGCCAAGAGGGAACAGAACTGGAAATTGTTTCAAGTGTTGGAATCATTTAAAAAGTTCTGGTGAGTGTTTGGACCTTTGCAACAAACTTTAAAAGATGAAATACTTAAAGAGAAAATCATTAAAATGTTAAACGACATGGAGAAGATTTTGAGATTCCTGCAGGATTGGATCTCTGCTGACAGTGACTGACAGCTGTTTTATATGGATGATGCTCTTCATGAGGAGGAGGCATTATTGATCTGCAGAGGGGCCCCAGGGTGCAGCTGGTGTTCAAACCAAAGAGCCAAACTCTCCCTTATGAATCAGACCTGAGTGGATTATTCATGCATAAAGGTAGCTCATTGATTTGCTCATCATCAGGCGTATTAACGTCTTTGTGTGGAGTATCGGGAGAACTTTTCACTCTTACTGTTCAGGCGTACTGCTGCTGTCACCGGTGTTTTACATCGTCCCTAAAGCCAGACTCTTTGTGTTGTTAAACGCAGTCCTTGTTCTTGTCTTGAACTATTTTGCCGATGTCCTTCAGACGCTAGAATATTGTGTCTGCCTAAGCTTCCCCAGCTCCTCAGACAGTATGCAGAGGCGGGGCAGACATAGGCTGGCATCTCTCCCATGCTCATATTGATAAGAAGCAGAGGTGAGTGCTTCTGTGATGTTGAGGAAAGTGGGTCACAACTTACGCTGAAAACGTTTTATCTGAACTGACAACAGAGGAAGTCGCTGGCTGTAAAAACGAGACTCATCCTCGCTCGTGGAAACCTATGGACTCATCGCAGTATCGGCTTTAAAAGGCTGGACTCACTCCTGGGATCTTTATCAGACATGTTTGTTTATATGAAGGGTTCACATCCGCTCCATGATCAGCTGTGTCTTTTCTTTTGTCTGGTGTTGTCATAGGATATAATTCAGTCTGGGAGCCTAGAGGAAATCTGCTGCTGAGTTATGTTTGAGTCACAAAGCTTCATGGTCGCCGATGCCCTCTAATGTGGTGTTAGTAAATAACCTTTGAACCCTCGTCCGTCTTTCCAGGCCGCAGAATATCGAGCTTGGTGCCACGGGGGGAGCCTCCAAAAAGGACAGCAGCAACATGGACGACATGACTGTGGAGCAGATCACCATGAGGGCCAACCAAGTGACTGATGAGGTACTGAGTCACACAGAGAGAGAATCTCTCTTCCCTCTTTCTCTTCGTTTTTATTTCTGAATTTGAAACTTGCCTTAAAGGGATTTTCCTCTAACCTAAATATTCTGTTATCAAATGCTACAACGACAAGCTGGAGACAGAAGTCGAGGTGGAACTGAGAGTTTTTGAGACAAGCTGAGCATCCAGATAGACCATAAGTTGTAGGAGTGTTTTGAGAAGTTTCTGAGTATGTTTTGATTGTGTATATTTCTATTACTCTTTATTTTTATGGATACTTGCCTGGTTATGCTCTCTGACACTTCCCTACTCTTACACAAACAGCAAAAGCGATCGAAACTGGAAAAAAAGGGAAACCTCAAGCAGACACTTAGGCTGTGTCTGAAATGGATCCCTAACCCCTACATAGGCGACTACATGGGGGTTAGCGCCCTTTTGAAGGGTGTCCTAAACCTGAGTGATCAATTCCAGTGCCCCATATAGGCGACTCAAAATTTCCCATAGAGCATTGCAAAATGTAGTGACCATCCGATGGTCACTCATCAGTGGTGGGGCATCCCGTCATGCATTGCGTCATGCCAATGCTGTTACCAGACAGTAGTGTTGTAGTACTTGAGATCGGTCTTTTTGGAGGATCTTGATGTCGTCTCAGAATCGAAGGCATTTTCACTCTTGTGTCTTGTCTCGGACTCGGTCCTCTCTGGTCTCGGTTGGTGCGGTCTTGACTACAACACTAGTTCCCAGGGAAGTCTTAAATAACGTCAAGAAAGTCTTAAGATGTCCTGAAATAAATTGTAAAAGTGTACAGCAATAAAGTTTTTTGTTGTTGTTGTTGCAAAAAGCTAGGATAGACGGCTCAAAACCACACAGGTTACAGGATTTTTTGTATTTTTTCTTCCAAACTTTATTTGAAATCACAATATTTTGTACATTTTGATTTAATAGAAATACATATCAATCTGCAAAGAACTCATATAAAGAAATTAGTGCCTGCAATCGAAACAGCACAAGCCCATAACACATTAACAAGGTAAAAAAATAAAATAACAGGAGGTGACATTTCAACAAAAAGTGCTTTAATCGTGTAAAAGAAATAGGATTAAATTAAAGAGTAAGAGACTTTGACATTGTCTGATACGGTTCATTCATAGACTGATTCTCCTCTAATGCACAGATTAAAGATGTAGTTTGCAGAAGCAGTCCAAAGCTAAAAATATTTTCATTTCCAGAACCCTTTAAAGTAACTCATTAAAACAGGAGCTGACTGAAGCATGTGCCTGCCACGTTTTTTCCCCGTATGTAGAAAACATCAAACTCTTTTTAAAATGCCAAGAAAAACCGTGATCTCATTTTCTTTTACATGCAAAGCTGCGGCATTGACAAATACGTGAATACTGTGATTTGCATGTCGAAATATTTTGTTCAGTCACACCCACCGTAACTGAAAACAATCCAGATTGATCACAGCTTTGATTGAATAATCATTTTAGCCGCCATCGTAGTGAAGGCGGCACATTTTGGCTCGCTTTGAAAAGCTTCAGTAGGTGGAGAATAAATAAGCCATCTTGGGGATGCTTCAGCGCAGAACAGAGAGAGAGAAGAAGCTGTGCAGCGTAATTGTATTCTTTGCATACACACACACACACACACACACACACACACACGGTTTGTTATTTAGCTAAGCATTTATAGGAAGCATGTGAAGCTTTACGCCTAATTTAGCCTGATGGCTCCCTTACCCCTCTGCGGTTCTGACAGTTTGAATGTCGTCAGCTATATCTAAGCGTTTTATTATCAAGGAGATAATTGTTTAATCAGCACTCCGGGGCATCATATGATCAACCATCTGATTCAAATGGAAGCAAATTAACCGACTCAAGCCGGGCTGGTCGCTGCGCTCTTTACCTTCCTGTGATTTTGACTGTTTAACTTTCCTCTCTTGTATCTTCTCTCCTACGTGTGCTTTCTAATCTAACCTGCACATTTCTGTTTTTTTCTTCCTTCTCTTTCTTCTTTCTGCTGCCGCCTCGTTGACTTAGCAGATCTTAGAGAGGGCGTGGGCGTGGGAGGGTCCTTTGGGTAACCGCTCATACCTGAAACTCTCAGAGCATGGCTGGTAATGTATCAGGGCAACATCGGCATTCATTGTGATAAGATTGTTACCCGAGCTGTTTTTTTGTATCATTTCAAGGTTGTTGTCCACGTTCAGAAGTTCGACACTGTGTCAAAGTTTTCAGATGCATTTGTTGGTGTGCTACTATCTCATTGTTTTGGCGTGTTGCTGCCAATTAATCCCCGTAGTGAGCTTTTCTGCCTTCATTTGTAGTAGAAAAACGCTTGAATTTCCGAGTAGAAAGCCTTGCATGTACTTTGCTGGAAACCTGCACGTGCCTCATCTATCTGTACTTCCATTAAAGCTGTCCCAAACAAATGATAAAAATACCACGCCATTGTCCCGCTCTCAAAGATTTCTTCACAGCATCCCAATCTGGAAAACTTGGCTAAGACTGCGATTTCAGGCTTAATTAGCCAAGTTCAAGGATTTTAGGAGACATAATGTAATGTTTATCCACCCAAGTGATGTTCTGGCTAAGCCAACAGAAACCTGGCCGAGCCCGGCTCTTCTCTCTCGCCAATTCTGTGTTTGTCTTTTTTTTTAATTCTCAACTCGCTGATTAATGTATTCAGAGCAAAGCTTCCACAGAGAGAAGGAGGAATCTGGTCCCCACTCTCTCTTGTTAACAGTTCATTAGCGGTGGTAACAATGGAGTCATGCCCCCAGTCGCTTCCGCGCTTCGCTCTCCTTTTGGAGGCTCTGCTCTCTTCACAGCTACGGTCTAATAATAGAGACACTAAGGCGGAACTCACCTGAACTGACTGCATTCCTGTTTGCCCTCAACACTAATGTGACTGCATGTATGTTGTCACTGTCTGACTATTAGATTATTAGCATGTGTGTGAGGCGTGTGTAACGTCACATTACTGGAGAGAGTAAAGACACGGTGACAGACAGAGATTAGACGAGAATGTTTCAGCTGTAAATCCCGAACTTCATCCTCACTCAGTGTTTTTTCCAATTCTTCTATCGTGGATTTAACAGCAGATTATCAAAAGTTGAAGCATTAAATAAAACAGAAACTTGAGATCATTAAGTTGATATTCATATCAGTTATAAAAAAGCAGAAAATCCTCACAAAGAAGAGGTTTTAAAAATTAAAAATTTGACATTTTAAACTATTAATCAATCAACTGAAACAGTTGAAATACATTTCTTATTGATGAATTATTTAATTGCGTTATATTCAAAGCTCGAGAAGAGGAGCTGCTAATGAAAGTTGGTTTTATAAAGCATCAGAAATACAGATAAATATTTAACAGAGTTTTTCAAAGCTATGAAGCAAAATCACTCAGAACTAAGAGGCTGAAATAATCAACTTTGATGATTTCTACGTATTTAGGTTTTATTTTTTTTAGTCTTATCAACCTTATTGATTTCCATATGATTTCAGCACTTTGTTAAAGCGGTGAAGAGGTGAGTGTTAGTGTTAGTGTTGGATTAATCACAAAATCATGTTCCTGCCTCAGCTAATGTGTACCACAGGGCTTCACTGATCTATAGAACTATTAGAAAAGGGTTCATCTGAGACTGAAATCAATCTTTTGACTCAGAGGAGCTTCTGTATGCAAGAGCAGGTTTTGAGACTGAGCAGGGTCTTATAGCTCAAAGCCCCATGAGATGTTTCTTCTCAGGTATGTTCGCCAGCCTTTTAAACATTGAATGAATATTAATGTTGCAGCTTCCTCCATGTTCGTCTTATCATCTGCATCTTCTCATTTGTCTTATCCCTCTTATCTTGCTCTCCTTCTTGTCTCCTCATTCATTCCTTTCTGTGGCTGGTTTTGTTCTGCTCTGTCTGTCACTCTCATGCTGTTTAGGTTTTTTATTTAGCCTTTAATGTCAGCAGTGGAACAGTAGATGTAGACCCCAGTCTGTGTTTGACATGTGGTCCATCCTGAATCTCATCTCAGACTGTGATTTCAATCAAAGCTGGTCCAGAAAGGTTTGAATGCCCTCAACACTCGCTGAACTCCTCGTCTTTTTTTCCTCCACAGTCACTGGAGAGCACGCGGAGGATGCTGCAGATGGCAGAGGAGGTGAGACTGGAACATTTTACTTCTGTTACGAACACAAAAGCACACAGTCCGCTGTCATGTAACTGTTGAAGGACCAGCTCGGTCAGGAATCAAGAATTAGAAGAGGGGAGATTTTTCGGTCATCTGAGCTGGTCTTGTTTTGCATTTACAAATGAGTTTCATTACTGTTGAGATAAAAGTGTTTTTAATAAAGCCGTGATTACTGTTTTGGAAAATAAGTCTGAGTATTACGAGGACAAAGATTGCTTCAGTGTTTAGGGACTATTGTCTTTATTATTGTCGTGTTTTGTTTCTTTTGTATAATCTGTCAAACTTGTTCTTTGCTCCGTCTCCTGCTAAAAGCTTTAGGAAGACTTTTTTTGGACGTCCTTTTCACGCACGGTTGTTTTATTGATTTGTCTGGGATGTATATTTTCTTGACACATAGGGAAATGAAAATGAAATATACAAATGACAGAAAACTAAATATGAAACTTCATATTCCAGTGTTGAATATAGAAAAAGTGTGTTATCCTTTCACTGCTTGTGAAACTGTATTTCTTCTTTTTCTTTCCAGAGCAAACAGACCGGCGTCAACACGATGGTGATGTTGGACCAGCAAGGAGGTAGCTGCTCAATGTTGACACCACAGTAGTTAACTGGAGCAAAACTGAGCAGATATCACTGTACCATCATACAAATGCTGTTATTCCAATTCTCTAGAAGATTTCAAAATCAGGCAACTGGACTGTGAAGACATTTTGCCTCTTATCCAAGAAGCTTCTTCAGTTCTAAATATTGCTAGTGTGAGGAGCAGATATTTATCAGAACACTCAACCACCGGGCTGAGAACATTCCCACAAAGAAAGAAGGAAAAGGAACAGAAGCACATCAAAAATGCCCCGACGACCTGTGGATACCCTAAGTGGGCCTTTGTGAAGAACAGAAAGAGAAAAAACACTGAAAGGATCTTTGGCAAACACCACATTCCTGTTCACTTCAAGCCTGGTAACACACTAAGGCAGAAGCTAGTCCATCCCAAGGACAAAACACCGAGACATAAACAGAGTCATGTGGTATATGCCGTCCAGTGCAGCGAGGAACGCTCGGACCTGTACATTGGGGAAACTAAACAACCGCTTCACAAGCGCATGGCTCAACACAGGAGAGCCACTTCCTCAGGTCAGGACTCAGCTGTCCACCTTCACTTAAAGGACAATCAAGGTCACTCTTTTGAGGACAGCAATGTACAGGTGTTGGCTCGAGAGGACAGATGGTTTGAAAGAGGAGTTAAAGAAGTCATCTTTACCAGGCTGGAGAAACCTTCTCTGAACAGAGGGGGTGGACTCAGGCACAACCTCACAGGCACTTACAATGCAGTTCTCAGCTCTCTCCCCAGGAAGCTCCACAAACATTCACACATGACAGAGGTCGTTAACGGGGGGGAACACCCAGAGATGGGTTTCTATGACCCATTCTTTCAGACTCCTCCCAGTCGTCGTTTTCCCCTTCTCCAGTAAGATAATTATCTGCTCCTCCCACTAGCAATATTTAGAACTGAAGAAGCTTCTTGGATAAGAGGCGAAACGTCTTCTCAACTCTACACAGTCCAGTTGCCTGTTTTAAGTCTTCAAGAAAACCATGACCTGGCTGAATGAGAATCTACATGAGCTGTTATTCCAAATTTTGTACATTTTGAGGTGATTTAAAAAAGGAAGAAACGCCCTCATTTAACATTTACAGAGAATCCAAACAGTCTGGTGCCTTCACGGACGTGCACATATTTTCAGATATAGAGTAGAAGTCAGTTGTGCTAACTTCCCTCTGTAGCTGTGAGCGTTTAGAAAAGATACTGAGTAATAAAAGAGAGATCGTGTGCACATAAATCTGTGTTTTAAGCACTTAGTCACAGTGTAACAGAAACACTTCCCCAGAGGGAGGATGTTGAAACTAAATGAAAATATCTGTGTTAGTAGAAATAATTTAGTGTTGTTAGTCGTTTCTGTAACTTCATGTGTGTCCGCTGTCTTTGATATGTGTTCCCAGTGTGTAAAAACCCTGATTTTTTCATGATTAGTTCACTCGTTCTACCTGCGGTGCTCTCTTTTATCATCTTTATCCCGTTTTTCCTGTCGCTGCAATGACCCAGTTACCGACCCATTTTAGGAATCCTCGCAGGGATAATTAAAGTTTAATTAAATCTATTCCCGAAATTGATTAATAAAGGTGATAAACTAAACAAAATTAACAGTAAAAACCAGTTCCTGCTGCAGAAAAAGTTCCCATGTATAAAAAAAATAAGAGTGTGTGACATGGTGTTGTGGTACCTTTGTGTGTTTCAGAGCAGCTGAAGCGTGTAGAAGAGGGCATGGACCAGATCAACCAGGACATGAAACAGGCTGAGAAAAACCTGACTGACCTCTCCAAGTGCTGCGGCCTCTGCGTCTGCCCCTGTGACAGGTACAGCGTGCACTCAGAGCCCATCCAGGCCCCAGATCCCTCATGTGTGTCATCGGGCGTTTTCTTCCTCCTTGTTGTGTGCCGTGCTTCTCTCTTAGGAACTTATTTTAGCAGTAATAATATTCAAACTCATTTATGCAACATTTTTCAGACAGGGCAAGCAGCTCAAAGGGCTCTACAATAAAATAAAAAGCCAGGAGAAGAAATGAAAGAGAGGCAAATTTAAAAAAAAAAAAAAGTGCAAATGCAGCGTGTTGAAATCAAGCAACAAACAAACAAAGCAGGCACCTCAAAGGAAGAGCAGATTTCTGCGAAGAACAACAGACTGTGTGAAATATGTTGGTCTTAAAAGCGGTCAGCATTTCCGATCCAAAGCCCAAACAGACTGTTTTCTAGATCCTGAAAGTTTTTGAAAAAACAAAGAGGGACAACAAACAAAACTAATACCAACAAAGACTGACTGTAAACCAGGAGCCTTTTAAACTTTCAAATCTCTCCTTCTAGATGTATACGTTGCCAATGCCATAGATGCTTACTGATGCTTCCTCATACCATCAGGAGTGCAGGCCCATGTTTCCAAAAAGAGAGTCAGAATTTGACGCTAATATTTTGTGTCAGTCCATTCCCTCTCTGCACAGTTTCAGCCTGCGTTTGTGGACTAAAAATAAATGTGTGCGAATTGTAGGGATGTTCCCAGCGGTTAATTTCACTGACGTTTAAACGACCATTTTGAAACTGAATATTCAAATACACGAAAATTAATGAACTCCCAGAAAAATAGCCCAAATTGAGCACATGTCGATCTACATGGCCAGATATCATCTGAAATAAATATGAAGAGTACATGAAAGCCATACATATAATATTAAAATATGTTACAGAATCTTATTTTAGCGCTGGAGAATGACATAAAGTATGTGAAAGATCAAAGTAATTAAGCTCAGCTCCGCTGCGCTCAAGCCAAGCAGCCATAAGCACAAAATGAAGAGTCTTCAGAGTCGGACAAAATCACGTTCAACAACGTTTATTTTCTAAACTAGACTTAAACTTTGCTGTTTTTTCTTACCGACATCTCTCTGGCTGATCGCATGTGTTGATTCACTCTGAGGAAGTTAACCCACGATGCCATGCATGCTGCAGGCCAGAGCAGCGAGCCCAGAGCAGCGAGCCAGGCAGAAAGAGTCGCACGCAAATGATCCACACATTTGAGCTTGTTTAATGCACACTTTTATTAAGACATGATGGTAAAAACGTAATTTAAAAAAAATAAGCTTTTTTTTCGCTTTTTTCTTTTCTTTTCTTTTTTTTTAGAATAAACAAATATTATTTACTAAACGGATAGTGAGGACAGCCCCGTTTACACGTATAACCGCGCATATCCCTAGCGAATTGTAAAATGTGTTTAGGGGCTCGTGTGGAGGAAAAAAAAAATTAGCCGAGACGACAAATGTTTTTTCATGTAAATACCACGGTGAAGTTAGTTTCAGGTTGGATATCTAAAGGACATTCACGGCGGATCTACCGGTGTCTTCTCACTCTCCATAATCGGGAATAGCAACAACAGCAGTGCGGTTAAATCTTCTCGGCACCCTCCCTGTCAACGTCAGGTGTTGAATAAGGGACTGTCAATAAATTACCGGTTGATTTTCTCAAAAAAGGCTTTTTTCCTTCAATAGCTTCACTGTCACCAACTGACCTAAAATTAATTTAAAATAATAGTACTTATGTGTGCTCCTTGTGAAAAAAGTCAGAGTCAAGCCCTCTCCTGTCTGTTTTGGATGACGAGATCACAGAGATCTAGTCTTGGATTTGGACCTTGTGCCTTCTGCAAAGAGATTTTCTGAATTTTCTTGAATCGTATCGTGTAAATCATGAGGCCCCCAAACTCCCCAAATGCTTTTTTTTTTTTTCTTTCTTTCCTGGAACCCTTACTTGACTTTTTCCGCCTAGCAACAGCAGACCACGCTCGTCGGGTTTGTGGTGATGTGAGCAGCTTGCGAACCCACAGAAGAAGTTTGAAGCGAGTGTTTATAACCTGCGGCCGCTCTGTGACACTTTTCTCAACCTTAAGTAACAGTGAGAGTCAGCGACACTGATCCAATCTGAAAGCGTGATTACATGTGAACACAGCATGAACTGCAGCCCCCGTTCACAAACACGGCAGGTAATGGAGTGTGACGGGGAGAGAAGGAAATACAAATCTACATGTCAAATGTGTCCTTTTTGCTCAATAGACTTTCTTATACAATTTGGTGGTTCTCCAAGTGGCAGGTGCTCTGCTCTGTGCTCAGCATACGTAAAACTCTTTGAATAGCATCAGTGTGTGTGTAGAAAGATGATACCTGGTTCTAAATTTGACCCCAAATCTCCCCAAAATGCTTTCACACTGGAGCAGAGGAGGATTCTTTGATGAGTACCATAAGATAAGGTAGGGGATCATTATTGTTTGTAGGTAGAAATCTGGATTGTACTAACCTCTTGTGCATGCGCTTTAGTGTGAATTAGAAATGTAGTTTTATTTGAATAAAGAGTTTTGATTGTGTAGAAAAGCCTCTGAAATGATGTTTTGTTTTCTCTTCCAGGGTGTCCTCAATCGAGCACGATTCCCGGTACAAGCGTACCTGGGGTATCGGAGGAGGTGAAGGCGATGAGGCCAACGGCTCCAAAGTCGTCTCCAGGCAACCATCAGCTGTCCGCAACGGGCAGGCTGCACAGGGCGTCTCCTCAGCACCATCCGGCCCATACATCAAGAGGTGAGGTCCAGAATGTTGTCTGAATCAGGTTGTTGATTTAGAAACCACACACAATTCCCCCCACAGCCGCGAAGGACAGATTGAATAATAAACCCTCCTTCCACGTGTGCGCTGCAGGGTAACTAACGACGCACGTGAGGACGAGATGGAGGAGAACCTGGACGCGGTCGGCGGCATTATTAGCAACCTGAAAACGATGGCCGTGGACATGGGCAGCGAGATAGACAAGCAGAACAAACAGATCGACAACATCACTTCCAAGGTTAGAGTCCCGGATGAATCTGATTATTTTCTCCCTCTAAACTCTTTGATCAGACTTCAGACACACAGGGTCTGTCATTTAATCGCTCTGAGTCCCTCCAAAATAAAACGTCCTGAAATTATTATAAAAAAACAAACACATCAAACGTGGACAAAAACAATGAGGAGGAGGAGGAGGATTATCGCTCCACATTTACCGTGTAAACCCTGTGGAGTCTTCCACCAGCAGGAACATTACAGAGATGTTCTGAAATCCTCCTTTTTCCTGGTAAAACATGTGCATGTTATTGATTTATTTATTTTATTCTGGAGTATGTAAATCCATGTGAAGTTGGTGGCAGTCTTCTTTCTCTCTATCTCTTTTTTTGGCGCACTGCTGAGGATCTTGGTGTATTAGCACCATCTGTATGAGACTGAGACGAGCGTGAAACAAATGGCGCGACCGTGTGTTGTTTCCTACATGTGCATAAAACATCCTCCAGTCTGCAGTTAAAACAACAAAAAACAACTTTTATTTCATTTTTTTTAACTCTCCTTTCTTTCTGTTTGTCTTCTTCCAGGCGGACATGAACAAAATGCGCATCGATGAGGCGAACCAGAGAGCCAACAAACTCCTCAAATAGATGTGAACCAACTTGGAGCTTCTGTCGCTGCTCACACACAAACTCCCACTTCTTCTTCTTCTTCTTCTTAAAAAAAGATACATTCTTTTTCGGAGGATAATTTTTCCATCAGTTTGCACTAAAAAGTAATTCTGCGTTGATACCTTAAAACATATTGTGAATTTAAACCCCCTTATGATGGTCATGTCGGACGCTCAGGCGGGACAAACTGCGTGATAGAGGAAGTGTGTGACAACCACAGACACACTCAGCCTGACGTGTCACATTTCAACATTCACAGATACGGAAGCAGCTGCTTCTCTTTCGAAGTTACTTTCTTTTTTCTTCCTTATAGTCAGCGTGTATGAATCCTCTCTGTGTGTGGGCTCACAGATCTAAACTCTTCTCTATCTTACAGATTTTATTTATGTATCACCCTCTCTTGGTCTCTCTACCTACATACAGTTAAAATAGTAAAATCTAGGATCTTTAGTCGACAGCGAAGCTATTTTCTTCCATTCTTATCGGGGAAGTGTCATTGTATGGTTTGTGTTATTTTGCTTATTTAATTCTTCCTTATTAAAAGCAGAAATGACGTGTGAGTAAAGTTGTTTTTTAACACTTTGTTCTCATGTCATTTGTGCCTTTTTGCGTTTCAAATGTGCTTTGGAGTGAGTCACGGCGAAGTCTTTCATGCTGGAATTCAAAGCACCTACCCCTGAATGAATGAAGCAATTCAATGTTGTTTTTGTAACTCTCTCTAAGAGCTCAAGAGTCAAGGTTGTTAATATTTTCATGAAACTTGTAACCTGGTGTTAGAGAATTAATATATACCAATCGCTGGTGGAGGCAGGTCAGTTCATCATTTCCTCCTCCAAGGTTTTTAGTTAACATCATAACAACCTCGTAATGTTGACTCTCTCTTTTAATTCTCTGGTAATCTAACGTCTCCATTACCTCTCGCTTAGTAGAGATTCATGGCGCCCCAGAGGAGGTTTGACAGCATATGCAGGGTCTCCTATAATATAAGCGTGGGGCTCCTCAGAGAATTAACTTCCTCTAGTTTGATAACTAAAACACAAGGATGTCCCTTCTCAGTTTCAGCACTCACTCATTAGGGCATTTGTTGCAGTCCTTTCACGACAAAACCAGCCTGGGGTCTTTAAATCAAAGTTTAGACGTCCAGACTTGCAGAAACTCTGTCACTGCCTTTTAGATCATCCACGGTTGTGTTGTAACAGCCGGTTTATCCCAAACTCCTATTTCTGCATCTGTTTTGTAAATAGCCAGCTTGCACAGCAGAGCTTCCTTAAAAAGATAACATCTGATGATGGAAAGCATCATTTGTTTTTGTCGACGCAGAAGCTGCCGAGGCTGAGAAATTACTGCTGGCAGCCAGACACAGAAGTCTACATGTAAATGAACGATGTTCGAGGAGGTAAATGCAGAAGCAGAGAAAGTCCTGGCGGGCTGTTAAGGCACCGCTGTGGAAAATTGGCTAATGATGAAGCGATACAGTATGCTGAAAGTATCTCTCATGAACCTTCTGGTGTATTTGCTTTGAAGAAAAATGATCATTTGTGTGCTCTGCTTCAGGCGTACACCTACTGAGTTAGTAAAGATTGAAATGGACTGATATCAGAGTTCTGCACGGCTATAAGTGATCATCCTCGGCCTGTAACGTGTCAGCTGAGATCTAATTAGTCCAGCCTGAGGCTACCTCGCTGTCTTGAGGCTGTTTACTCATCGATTTACCAACAGCCACTGGAATGTAAAAGCAACAGTATGTCTATTTTAATATGTTTATATGCAGCTTCACCTTTTCTGAAATTAGCTCTGTTATCGGACAACAATGTAAAAATGCCTTTTTTCCACACCTGCCTTTGTATAATTGTTTGTAATCAATAAATCTATTCTGAAAATTCTTCTGTTGCTCTTTTTTAAGCTATTTTATCCACAAATTTAAAGCTCTAGTACAGAACTTTTGACATACAGGTTTTAAAAAATCAGTTTGAATGATAAAAAATGTCATAGAATAGTATGATTTAAAAAATGTCATTGTATAGTATGAAAAATATGTCAATGTTTCAAATGATAATAAATGCCATGGAAAAGCATGATTAAAAAAGTCATACAATTGTGTGTTGAAAAATCATAGCATAACTTGATTAAAGATGTCATAGTATAGTATGATACAAAAAAGGTCAGCGTAGTAGTATAAAAATTGTCAAAGTATAGTTTGTTAAAATCACAGTCTAGAATGATAAAAAAAATGTCAGCATAATTTGTTTGAAAATATCATAGTAAAGTATGTTAAAAAATGTCATATTATAGTATGAAAATAATGTCATATTATAGTATGATAAAAATGTCATAGTATAGTATGAAAAAAATGTCATTGTTTTATTTTTAAATATTTAAGTATAGTATGATAATAAATGTCAAAGTATAGTATGATTAAAAATGTTATAGTAAAGTATGATATAAAAATGTCATAATTTAGTACGTTTCAAAAAGTATCATAGTATAGTATGATAAAAAAATATAGTACAGAATGATTAAAATGCATAGTAGTATATGAAATAAAATGTCATGGTATAGTATGACAAAAATATAAAGGATTGTCTATTTTGAAGAGCAAAGTATAGTTTGTAAGGAAATAGAATAGTTTGAAAAAAAATGTCATAGGATACTATGTTTGAAAACGTCATTGTATACTATGATAAAAAATGTCAAAGTATCGTAGGATAAAAAAAAAGTGATAATATAAGATGTGAAAAATCATCGTATAGTATGTTTAAAATCATGGTATAGAATGATAAAATATGTCAAAGTTTAGTATGTTATAAAAAATGTCATATTAAAGTATGATAAAAAAATGGTCATAGTAAAGTATGTTAAAAAATGTCATAGTGTAGTATAATAAAAAATGTGGGAGTGAAGTATGATTAAAAAGTCGTAGTAAAGTGTGATAAAAAATGTTATATTATAGTATGTTGCAAAATCATAGCATAGAATGATGAAAAAATGTTATAGTATGGTATGTTAAAAAATGTCATATTGAAGTATGATAAAAAATGTCATTGTATAGTATGAAAAAACTGTCATTGTATTATTTTTAAATATCAAAGTTCAGTATGATAATTAACGTCAAAGTAAAGTATATTAAAAAAAATAGGATAGTATAATAAGAAATGTCATTGTAAAGTATGTTTTAAAAAACATTATAGTATAGTTTGATAAAAAATGCCAAAGTACTGTATTATAAAAAATCATAGTATGGTATTATTAAAAAAATGCCATAGTATACATGATGAAAAATTATGGCATAGTATGATAAAATTTGTCAATTTATATTTTCATAAAAAATGTCATAGAATGGTGTGAAAAAAGGTCGTAGTTTGGTACTTTAAAAAAATCATAGTATAGAATGTTAAAATATGTCATGTGAAAAATGTCACATTATAATATGATAAAAAAATGTCATGTATTTAGAATTTTAAAAATCATAGAATAGTATGATAAAAAAATTTCTTTGTAAAGTATGACGAAAAATGTCATAATACAGTATGTCAAAAAAAGTCATATGCAAGTATAATAAAAAATGGCATATAATAGTGTGTTGAAAAATTTAAGTTGTTAAAATCAGTCTAGAATGATAAAAAATGTCATAGTATAGTATGATAAAAAAAATGTCATAGTATAGTATGATAAAAAAATGCCATATTTTAGTATGATAAAAAATGTCAAAGTATAGTATGATAAAAAAATATCATAGCATAGTATGATAAAATATATCATAGTATAGAATGATTAAAATGTCATACTTGCGTATGATAAAAAAAATGTCATAGTAGTGTATGATAAAAAATGTCATAGTATAGTATGACAAAAATGTCAAAGTATAGTATGCCATAAACGCTTCTTGCAGCGTCGGCTTGGGCCTTAATAAGGCTTTTCTCTTCTCCAGGTGATGCCTACCCCCGCACACTGTTTTCGAGCATTAAAATTTACAGCATAAAAATCACCAATCATGTCACTGACGGTCTTGTTTGCTTTTGGATGTCATGAAAAGCCATAAACACAAATTTCAATCCATTTTTTATGAGTCCTAAAACTCCTTACAGGAGCTTTAAATGTCAATAAATCAACACCATCTGCTTAGTTTGAGAAGTTTATTTTAAAGTTTATTCTCTCAAAATGTTTTTGATTTTTCTGGTTGAACATTTCTGGATATTTTACATAGCTGCAGAGTACAAAATGCAGATTAAAAACCACCAACAGAATCGGCAGGTAGGTAGGAGGGAAGGGGGGAGTGGCGGAATCGACAAAGTGGATGGAGGTGACTGAATAGGAAGTGACAGAGTTACTGCAGATAGAGTGACCAATAAAAACAAGACTGTACGTTTGATGGAAGTTTCTCAAACCAGTTTGAGGTGCACTAAGAACAGAAAAACTCGATGAAACCAAAAATCTGTATTTCTACATTGAATACATATTTTGTGAGTTTAAATAACTGAACAGAGATCATCACAATGCTACCGTATTCCCTCTTGAGCTGAACAGTCACGTTTTTCTCTCTCCACCTGACTTCTTTCTTTTTCATTGAGGTCACTTGAGTTGAAATGTAGTCCAGGGTCGGAGCCCACAAGGCAAGACGGCAGTGGAAGAGTGTGTGCTGAGTGTGTGTGAGCCTGTCTTAGTGACAAGTTAAGATGTAAAATGCATTTCCATATACTGTACATATAATCCCTGTATGTGTGAATCAGTTGAAAGTTTTTACTCTATTATGGCTTTTACTGTTGAAACTCCTATGTGAACCAAATCTCACTCGCCTCTCTTCTCGATTTACATTCATTTTAAAGACACATTCCCTCAGCTCCAAACTGCTGCTGTATGATCCTGGTCTTACAGAAAGAGCATGCCTGGTCCTGTTGTGGAGTTTGGAAAAGCAGTCAAGGTTCATCTGACCCACAGCTTGTCCTAAACTTTGGCAAACAAATCGTCTTTGAAATTATTACCCAGACTCTTTTTATTCTGGACCTGGTTTGATTGTCATTGACTCTTTATTTCAGGTAAAAAGTAACAAATAAAAGTTTGTGAGTTTAGAGGCGTGTTTCATAAAGTTAAACCAGGCTATATTTCATTTTTATCTACAATACATTTTAAATATAATAATCTGGCATGAGCATATACTGTTTATTCTGTAAGTGCTTACGAATGGTCAACCCAAAACATTCAGAGCTCCCCCTGCTGACCGGCTGCAGTATAGGTTTTAACAGATGGAAACGGAGGCTTGCTGAGTCTCGTTATCAGATCAAATTTACATTTGAAAAAACTAACAATTGAAGTAGGACCAAAAATAAATGTGTTTTTTTATTCTTTTTATGCACCCAGAATAGAGAAAGGCTAATTTACGTGCCTGCTGATTTTTTTGAATATCTGCCCTTTTTAAATTTTAATCAGCGTTTCTTCAAAACAGGAGGCTTTTATTTTACTCGCGTAAGTGCCAGCTGAAGTTCAAAACACAAATGAAAGAGAATTGGTTTCCAAAACTGCCTGAAAACAAATTTCTAGCATCTAAAACTATCTACATTTGGAGCTCTTGTTATGCAAACGAATTGAATCAGGCTTTCACAGGACCCCTTCTGTGCTTCTTTATAATTGATGCCATTAGTGCTTGCATATCAATCTCATTTTACGTCAGGCTTTTCAAAAATGAGACCTGCTTTACTCAGCAGACTTTATGAAACACCCCTCAGATGTTTGCCAACAGACTGCCAAAGTTTAAGTCAAACACCGTGGGTCGGCTTGATCTCGATTGGAGGTTTGACAATTTCACAATAGCACCATATCAAACTAACATAAAACATACTTCATGCATCTGTAGATATATAAACTGTAAATGTATATATGTCCATGAATAGATATGAAATTGAGGGTTCAATACACAAGTGTTGGATATAGTTCAAGTTCACAGAGATAAGTACTGTCACAGTTCAGCTGAGAATAAAGGATCTTTATCGAACTGACTGATGTGGTGTCTCATGACGTCTCGCATGTCAAAAATCTCAACAGTCAAACCCTTCACAGTGCATAGAGCATTTCGTTTGCATGCCTGCAATTACACTTGGTGTGTTTGTGTGTGTGTATGTGCACTGTACAGCACTGCACTTTTAAGTCTCTACACCGCATTTACAAAGCTGTTCAAAGCCGGGTTCGACTCACTCGGGCTCCGCTCGTAGCGTTTAGTGCTCCAAATTCAAACAGCACAGTATTACAGTTCACAACCATTGTATAAGGCAGGTTAATAAAAAGTACTCCTCGGTACTCCGGAGTCACCCCCCCTCCACAGCTTCACAGAACATGCCGTACTAACGAAAAAGAAACCTGCAGCGAACAGAACAAAGAAAAGTTTCTACGAACAATCTTTGGTTGAGAGTGCGAGGAGCATTCCTGTGCTTTAATTCGATGATCTGAATTTGGCTTTCGTTAAAAAGAACACAAAGAAAAACGTGGACTTATTTTTGCAGAAAACACAGGCTTAAATACAGGCAAAGAGTGACGGCTGTAACCTAAACTACTTTATCAAGGTCTATTCTCGCAAAATTATATAAAAAATCTAGTGATAAAAAGCTCGCTCTGACTGATTGTACACAAATACTACTTCCTCTTTCCTGGTTGTCAAGGCAATCACTTCTTCTTGACGAAGCGACTGAACTTCTTCTCCTTGTCTTTCTTGCCAGAGCTGGACTCAGGAGGGGCAGCCGGGGAGGAGGAGGAGGAAGGAGCGGGTAGGCTTTGGGCTTTGGCCCCCGAGGGCCCCGACGCCTCCTCTGCTGCCAGGGGCTGAATGGCGCTCTCCATGGCCTGGCTCCAACGCTGGAGCTCCTCCTAAAATTAAACACACACGCACAGAAACAGGAGCTTACAACGGGGAGTCCGCCTCCTGAGGAAGCCGTGTTGATTTTGATAAGTAAACAAACCAGAGGAGGTGTTTGTGGGTTGAACAATTAAACTTAAACATGTTATTTATGCAGCAGATGAACCTCTCTGAGTTAACCCGTGTTTTACATTTACATACATGCTGTGGGGGGAAACTGGGAATTGTAAACAGAAGGAAACTGGAAGATCCTCATTAGCGTAAGCTATATATTTATGTGTGCAAACATGTCAAACTGAGAACAGCTTAAAAGTAAAATATGTATTTACAGCATGTGCGCAGATTTATACACTCTATACAGAATTTTCACAAAAGGTCAAAGATTACAAAAACACACGCCAAGTCCACAACAATGAATCTCCTGTGGTTCACAGACAGCTGCAAAAGTTCTTCATTATTTTTATCTCTCAGAAGCACAAAACTCACCTCGTCTTTACACTGGAACAGATATTCACTGCCGTCTCCCAGACTGTGAGGAAGAAACAAGATGTTAAAAAACTGTTTTTCCTCAAACAGATGTTGCAGTTTTCTAAAGCAGCTCTTTGCCCATTCATTTGAACAGTTGTGTTTCTGTGTTTCACTCCAGCAGCAGACTTTAAACATCCATTAGCAAAGTGAGAGTTTTCAAGGTTGCTCAAGTTCAAGACAGCAGCTGGTTCGCTTAGCAAAGTATTATGATATTTATGTGGGGGGAAAAACAGCCCCAGCTCCAACCAAAGTTTTTAAACTTCCTCCTACAAACATCTTTAAGACTCAGAAATTAAAGCTCCAGTAAGGAACTTCCAGTTGGTATAAGGTTTGGCGCCCCCTGTGGACAACGCAGTCTGTTGTTGACACATTTTTTCAATCTTCAGTTATCTTCTTTTTTAACTTTGATGCAAACAGGAAACAAGAGTTAACAATCAAAACCTGAAAATTAAGTGTTTTCTCACCGTAGTTTGGCGATGTGCTGCTTCTTCTTCTTCTTGTAGTCCGTGAGGATCTCCCAGCTCGCGTTGTTAAGCGACAGCGGGTCCTCGCCGTGATACGTCGTGCCGTGTCCAAAGCTCTTGGCATCTTTGTAGACAGAGAGCTGACCGGGCTTCAGCACGCAGTACAAGTTGTTCCACGACCTGAGAGTGAGGAAGAGGAGGAGAAGGACTTTAAAATCCATCATTTCAGGTAGTTTTTTTTTGGCTAGGATACAAAATCAGCTCAATTTTATCCATATTACAAGAAACACTACAACACAAACACTTCATTAGATTTAATTTAGCGAATAGGAAATTAGGAGAGCAGGTGGTGCTGCTCACGGCTCACACACCTGTGAAGAGTTTTCTGTTTTTAGCAACAAAAGGAAAATAAAACTTTTGGTAACACTTTACAAACACCATAATTTATAACTGGTAAGAATAAGAATAACTTTATAAATCCCCCAAGGGAAATTCAATTGTCTGTTGTATTACATAATATGTCTATGTAATAAAAGTTGTAGAGTAGAAAATTCAGAGTTATAGTTATAGAGTAGATAGATAGTTTATTAATGTTTAATCATCATTTAAAAACAGCATATAGACCAATTATAAATGGCAATTAGACAGTTTATTAATGTAAGTTAATAGTTACTTTATCATTAACAAGCAATGAAATTATGATGACTATTTATTAAAGGTTTATATAGGGTTTAAATATTGGTTGTAAAACATCTAGATTTAAATGTGTGTCAGTAGCACATTATAAATGGTTAATATTTGTTTTTTAAACCATCTATAAACATTACTTAGATGGTTATTGTAAAGTTGCAACTATTGTTTGTAATACTTTGTAAATGATTAATAAGTGGTTTATAAACCATCTGTAAACATGACTTAGATGTTCTTTGTAAAGTTAGGGTTAGGTTTTTAAAACTGTAAAATTTACAATTTATTTATCGTCTATACGCTATTTATAAATGATGATTAAACATTAATAAACTATCTGCTTACCATTAATAAATGGTCTATTTACCCTCTATAAGTTCTGGTTTTTGTGAAGTGTTACCAAACGTTTTACAAAACTCTCTAATATATAGATGACAACTTCCAGAAACAAAGAGTCACACTAAAGTCTTATAATCTCTTGTGAAGTTGGCTGAAAAATATTCTACCTGTTTGACGCTTTCTTCCCTGAACCCTCCACATCCTGTTTACGTCCCAGCATGCCCTGCTGCAGCACGGGCTGGGCTCTGACAGGCTCTGAGGGCATGGTGGCTGCCCTCTCCGGCTCTCTAGGCGCCGCCACAGAGACAGAGGGTTCCAGCTCCAGGGACCCGCTCTCCTTCATTTCCGACTCTATGGGGACGGTGGAGTCACCCGCTGTCCCCTCCTGCACACCTGAAGTGGGCTCAACGGCACCAGACTGGAGACCAAAACAGAGTCAGTCAGAAATCTCACCTGCACTTTTTTAGGGGATTAAAAAAAGAGATTGATTTATGCATCTGCAAGTGCTCAGAGAGGTTCCCCAGCACAGTCAAACGCAGAAAGCTCTAAGTGGGGAAAAAAAAGTCAAGGAGCTTATTTAAATGCAAACGTTAGAGGGAACAGAATATAGACGAGGCTGGTTTTTTCTTTCATAAAAATTTCAATATGCTTAAAAGAAAGTCAGCAGATGAAAGCGAAGAGAGGACAGGAGCTAAGTGAGCGTAGTTACTAACCAGAGTCTGTTCCTCAATAGTGTAAAGTTGTGAAGATTCCTCTCCAAAGCCGGTGTCTTCTCTCCTGCAGAAAAGAGGGCAGCATGGGGTCTGCATGAGACGCTTTGTACAGCAGCAGCAGGTAAAAAGATGTGTGTGTCTGTGTGTGTGTGTGTGTGTGTGTGAGCGTGTGTGTGAGTGTAGAAAAGAGACAGACTGTGCTCCTGCATGAAAGTCTGAGGGATACGGCTCACAGAGTTGAGTTTTTTTTGTTGCTTTCAACAAAAGGAAACTTTGCAGGTTTTCTATCTCTGTTTTTTTTTTTTCATTTGTACTTACTGTATTAATGAAAAGTGCTTTAAATGTCGTTGTTTAGGCTGGACTAATAACCAGACAGAACAGCTTGGCACTTATTGTTTTGCATATATTTCGCATAACAATGAAATCAACACAATTTTTATGGCTTCAAACTAATTTGAATGCAGGAAAAACAAAAAAAAGTCAGGCTGTTTTCAAATGCAATACCAAAAGCAGAGAAGCTTCAGTACTTTGAGGTACAGTTTGTTCCTCAGTGAAGATATCTCACTATTTTAATAACTAAATCTCTTTTTTCCACGTCCAAAAAGGTTGCAGCTTGACTATGGTGATGTCTTAAAAGCTGATATGCTCTGGAAACTGTGTATCATCCCCAAATTTAAAGCCTTCACTCATTGGTTGATTGGTTTGTTTTATGTCTGCTTCCTTTTTGCCTTTGCACATCAAACAGACCAGCACAGGAACTTTTAATCTGCTGCCTTTAGACGTCCCTGTCTGTCTGAAAGGTCAGGACAGAGCTGAGAGAAAGGCGTTGAAGTTTTCTGCTCCTTTTACTTTGAACACACTAAAGAAGGAGCTGAAGCTAAGTGAACTGCTCTGATTGTTTTATTTCATCTACCCTCATTCAGTACAGTCATTTCTCTTACATGCTCTTTTTTCACAGCTTTATTTAAAGGATAGGACAGAGGGAGCAGGACGCTTGAGGCATAACCGAAGTATACGGGGCGTTCACTCTTGAAAAAGTAAGTTTTCCTCTGGGTTAAATAAAAAAAAGCTTTTCCTGCAGCAGATGTATGGCTCTTTCTATTGTGTTTGTCAGCAGATAGTGATCATGCTGAAAAAGGTGGAGGAACGTGTCGGTCAAAGCAACAGAGAGGACTGTGTGTTTTCTTTTGTTTTAATGTTTTCTGAGTAGAAGTGGAGGTCATGTGTCAAACACCAGAGGTGGGGGCTTGACGACTCGACTTGAGACCCGACTTGGACTTGAGTCCCGTTTTTGACTTGCTTGATGAAATCAAGAAATGACTTGGACTCGCTTGGGACTTGATTCCTAAAGACTTGAGACTTGACTTGACTTGACTTGAGCCCAGTGACTTGAAAAGTCAAGTCTTTTCAAGTCACTTAATACCTTACAGCCCAAACCGTTTAAAAAGTGTCGCATCAACTAATAGTCAGGAATTACGGCCGTTGGTAACACCGTGTTGTGTTGCCAAGTCTGCTTCATATCCGCAAAAAAAAAAAATGCTTGTTTTTGGCTTGTTTCTGGAGGTCTGTTTCCTGATTTCTCTCACCAAACTTGGCAACACTGTCTCAAACTCGTCTCCCTCATAACAACAACACCACAGGAGGACTGAACATAAATCACTCGCTAGTATTGCCCGCCTGTTTCCACGTGTTTCCTTGTGTCTCTTTTGTTTTGTTTTGGAACAGTGAATAAAAGTATCAGTTTAATGTTTAATTGTATTTGAGTCTTCCTTATTTTTGTATTAAGTTTCCAATTATTGAAGTTTATCTGAATATTTTTTGTATGACATGTAAAATAGTTTGGTTAAAGCTGCACTATGTAACTTCACACAAACAAGAACGCTTGTTTAATAATAAGTGAAAAATGCTCATGATTGATGTAAATCTTTACATATAACAAATGGTTTATGGCTTTGATATGACTTCTTTTTGACTTGAAAGAAATGGTAAGGACTTGGACTTGACTCGAGAGCAAAGACTTGAGACTCGACTTGGACTTGCAACATAAGGACTTTCCCCCACCTCTGTCGAACACGTCTTAGAAAACAAAGGTCCTTTTTAACTCAATCGATTTATCGTTTGATCGAATGCACTTAAAGGAAAAACTAGAATATCCCCAGAGTTGCTGATGGTCCTGAAGCACTTTTACAGTAAATGACTTCCTACATTAAAGTGTGTTTTAATGTGTGTGTGTACCTGCTGTCTCTATCCTCTTTAATGATCTGCTCCATCTCCTGCTGCTGCTTCCTCAGCTCCAACAACTCCAGCTGTAACACAGAAGTGAACTCCAATCAGCCCCTCATCATTTCCTGTTTTACATGAACGTGGAATCATCTTCAGGCCCCAGTTACTAACGTTTGTTAATTACGTTTTTCTGCGTCTTCCCCGAGAGACATTTCTTTAAAGACGGCAGAGTAAATCTGGGTTTCTCGGAGGTTGTAAAGATGTGTTTTTTGTTTTGTTTTGAAATGATTGAAGATGATTTTTCAGGTTGTTGTTTTTTTTTTACCGTAGTGAGGCGCTCCAGGGCAGAGAAGCGCTCCTCCCAGGTGGCGGTCGATTTCTCGAAGGCTTCATGTCTCTTGAGGAGCTTCTCGACCTCGTCCACAGTATAACCGAGGTCTTTGCTGGTCACGAAAGGCTCCTGAGCGACCAGCCAGGCCTCCGCCACCGAGGCATCGCGTGCAAACTGACACACCTCCAACACTAAAGGCAATAAAGACAGGAGTAATTCATCTCAAAGACACCTTATGAATGAAAGTGTGTGAATAAGCGTGGGATAAAAAGGACTTCTGAACGGTAGAGATGTTACAGAGAGTGAAGGGATGGACATTTTTGAAAGGTGAGGACATTTTTTCTCTGTTCTTGAACTGAGGGCTTTTTTATATTAGTGGGTGAAGTTCTTTCAAAGTGAGGACATTTTTGTGAAGAAGGACATTTTTACAAGGTTACACAGTTCTTTGGAAAGCAAACACTTTCATGAAACATAATAACAGGATGAGAAAAGTTTGTTTGAATGTAAAATCAACTTTAGAGATCTGCAGACACTTTTATATAAAGCAGTGAAACCTATATCTTGTTAACTTCATCATATTTGTCTATTTACTAGATATTTTATTTAATGTGGTTTCAGCTGTGTTGATTCGGTCAGGTTGATCCAAATGTCAGACCAGATATAGATCAGAATATATCTATAGATCTAAATGTATGTGCTGACTCAGATTATTAGTTGTTGATGATTATTATTTATTTCACTGAAAGGTGCCTGACACTGTGGAAACCTGCCGGTGAAGCATCGGTGACGTATGCGCAACACGCCGCCGGTCTACCAACATACCACTACACCACCTTTGCTCCGCCTGCGCTGAAAGCTGACCAGGTTTGAATCGGCGAGCTTTCAGCGCACTTTCTACGCCGCCGGCGAGCACGAAAATGTCACTATGCCAGCCGATTCTATTGACACCTGCCCCTACTGCGCCACCACGCCCAGCTTGGTGGACCAGCCTACGAAAATACCAAACTGGCTGGGCGCCGGGTTCCGCCAGACGAAAATACCACTGCATGGGGTGCGCCACCCTCCGCTTCGCCGCCGGTGGGCACGAAAATAGAGCCCCATCTGGATGCCTGATTGGATAATTGCTCCTAATTTCCCCCAATGTAACTAGTCTGTGCTGTCTCTGCTGATCTAGAGTTGTAATATAGATGAACGATTCCTACTACAAGTCAATAAATGAAAAACTTTTTGTTGCTTTTTGTCTTCTTGAACTTCCAACAACAGTCCAGTCAACTCATCCTCTCTGAATCTTCATCTTTAATATTTCGATCGAAATGTTGAAACATTTGACTAAATATTCTCTTACTGTTTCCTAAACCCAGGATAAATCTGGGCTTTGACTCAGAGCGAGTAAAGTCAACAGTGAACAACAAATAATGAAGTAGGATGAACATCATTAATGACAACAAATAAATAAAGCTGTGTAGTAAAAATATTACCTCATTATTTCAGTTTGTCTGATTGGTTACCTTACATCTGTGGTATTAAATATTGATCTCAGTGTGCTAAAAGGTAACACAACATATAGTAGTTGTTCTTGAATTTTCCCAGCTTGAACTCAGAAAGAAGTCGTACATTTTCATCTGAAGTTTGTTCATTATCCTCCTCCTCCTTTTAAGCTTTTCTCTCGTTATAAAACTGCGAGGCGCCCTGAAAACAACTCAAAGAGAATAAATAATCTCAGAGCTAAGTTGATGAAATCATCTGATGTTAGAGATAAATTTTACATTTTTACAGAGGAGAGATTTTTATTTTGGTCTCAGACTATTTATACAGCTACAGCAGAAGATGGTTTTGATGAACATAAGCGTCGCCGCTCTTTCATGTGCAGAGCTTTGAATGACATCAGTTAGTCGTATGTCTGTTGGCAGGTAAGTATAGTTTCGTGTGGAGACTAATTCATGTACAGGATTTGTGTTCATGATGGAGGTAAGTGTGGGTTTACTCACAGAGCCGGAGCCAGTCCCATCTGTCGTCCCACTTGAACATCATCTCCTTCCTCTTCTCTGTCAGCTGCACCAGCTTCTCCTTGATCTGACACAAGCAGTTAAACAGTCGCAGTTACATATCAGCGATATGAAGCGACTCAGCACCAGGACTGGCCATTACCCTCCAAGAATGAGCATTGTGAAGTAATTAAGCGCACGTTAAATTCAGGCCGGGGTCAATTGCTCATTTAAATTCTTTTGGCTTTTCCATTTCTAATTAGAGTTTGCTTTAAGGTCTCCCCGATGAGAGGAAGATGAGTGGAAATTTTTCTTTCCTGGAGATCCAATTGGTTCCATAGTGCCAGACAGGAACAATCACTCCCAGAAAAGTAATTAAATCTAATGAAAGCAGCAATTTGAGGCCCAGCTGAGGATGAAAAGAAGCTGTCTGCGCCGCTGAAGTCTTACCTCAGCAGAGTCTCGGTGCTTCCGTGTCAGCAGGGTCTTGCCGAGGTCTATGCAGTCAGTGAATTTGGCTCCCCTGGCCTCAATCTCTGAGCGGATCCCCTGGTGGTACTTCTGCAGGAGCTCCACAGATGAGACATCCCTAATGTGGACGAGGGAGGGATGTAAAGTGATAACGAGTAATGCGTGAAGTGTATCTACCTCTGTTGGTAGATACTGGAACTACAAGAGTCATTATAAACTCTGAGTACACAGCATCCTTTTATTCTTTGTATAAAACAACCAAAATAATTTCATAATTTTATTTCCTTGAGGGAATTTTCCCAAAAGGATAAATAAAGTTGTATCTAATCTGATCTAAAATGACTTTAATGATGTTCACTATCATCTTCAAGTCTCATTTTATTCCTGTTTAACATTAGCAAACCAATAAGGACCTCATGTGCAATCCTTGTGAGCATTCACTGAAAGTCTGTTTTCTATTTACTCAAACCGCTCGTCTAATCAGCACTTTTAAACTACAACTTTTTAACTATTCAAATTAACGCTGAATGATGGATAAAACTTAAACATCTGGCAAGAAATAAAATAAGTTTAATTCAAATACTCAGATCAAAGTTTTTCTAAAGAAGAAGAAAAGTTTTAAAACTCAGTATTTAACCCTAGAACACTATCGACGGTTGATTTTCACTTGACCAAACATGTTTACATGATTTTCATGATGATGCGTTTGTCTGAGTATCATGGGTCCCTGGGTAACTTCAGCATTTCCTTTGACATCTTTGAAGGCATATTTGTTTCCCTGATCCAAAACCTGCTTTTTCCTACAGGTGATTTTCACCCTGCATTAGTGATAGAGGGTAAAGTAGGTTTGGGTGGATTTGATAGCTGCATGTAGGCGAATAAGGTCAGTAAGAGTGGTCCTGGAATTTGCATGTTATCTTTATTTAGTGCAGTGGTTAAGAATAACTATCACAAAGTAGTGATTTTCAAAGGAATTCATATGGTGATAAGAAATATTGTAGTCAGCTGCTCATTTTTACTCACTGAAAATCTGCCATATTTTGGTTCTCTCTCCTGCAGCTGTTATTGTGCCGAGGACCCTGAGTCTTCACCAGGGAAGACTCACATGCCTCATGGAATGGATGGAAAATAAACTAAGTTTACAGTTTCTATATACTATTATTTATTTTTAGAGATTCTTTGTTCATGAATGCCTAATTTCAGTTATTTTGTTGCATTTATATATGGTCCCCTCATGGTGCTTTATTCCCTCCCTTTGCACATTACACAGTTAAAAATAAAATAAAACTACTTTAATTTGTCATGTATTTTGATATATTTTAATGACAAGTACTTTTTCTTGGATATATTATTTCGGGTAAAAATCACCCGCCGATAGTGATGGTGTTACTGATTTTAGTGAGAGTGTTCCAGGGTCTGTGAGAAGTCTCACTCTTAAACTGATGCTTCTTCATGAACTACAGAGTCAAAAGAAACTATCATTGGCTTGATTGGTTGTTTCTTTGTGTTGGATTTTGGAGCCTGGGTTTGATATTTTTATAAGAAAAGCTGAGGCAATATTTGGCACTGGTCCAGGAGTCTCTGTGTTTAGAAATCTGTTGGTAAAATCAGGCAGCAGGAGTTTTTTTTTCTTCTTGAGAATTTTCCATTTCACAAATATTCTGTACCTAGAAAAACACAGCTGGTCTGTTGTCCAAATCCAGAACCAAATCAATGATAAAACTCCTCACAGCGCCTCAAAGTTCTCTGCTCCGATCAAACCGTGAAGTTCTTGTCTGAGTCGTGCTCACCTGGGTTTCTCCTGAGTCTCTATCTGCTGGATGATGCTCTCCATCCAGGCCATCAGATCCCGCACCATTGTGAAGAAGCGGAACTTCTCGGCCGTGTCCACCAGCTGCGCCCTGCGACCATCGCAGGCATCCAACAGACCCTTCCAGGCCTCCATCACCTCTCGCTCCGTGGCGTGGATGCCCTCGGCCTTTTGTCCTGCGTACTGAGCCTGGAGCCGAGCAGCCGTCTCCTGGAACTGCTGAACCTGAAGGAAAAGAGACGATCATCGATGTTAAATGACATATCTATGTTTTACATTCAGGTTGATATAAACCAAGAGTTTCTATTTATTCCCAAACGAACATTAGATTAAAAGATATTTCAATTCTGGCAATCCAGCTGTTGTTGTGCCTCCAAAGTGTCGCATTGATTTACTATTGGCACATAAATAACCATGACACATGTTTCTACCTCCTCATACAGCAGTTTGATTTATTTCTCTCTTTGGCTCATTATTTTTATCTCTAACTAAAGTTTGATGAACTGTCTGAACCCTGTGAAATACTTTTTAAGTGGCCTCTTCATCAAAATTTAATCAAACAGAAGGACTTCACAACTCAGACAGACAAGAGTCGACAAAGACGAGTTGAGACATCTGCCTGTGCCGGCCTACGGCGGCTCCACCAATCCTTTACCTCTCGCCACATCCATAAAATCAAAGTTTAAAGTGAACTGAAGCGGAGATGATTAACACATACAGCTAAAACTACAGGGTCTGAGAGGTTTCTGTAGATTTATTTTTATACACCTGCAGTAAATAACTTCAATAATGTAAACTTAATGGAACAACTTTCAGGATCTTCCGTTTCCTGCTAAAACTGCAGTTTTTCGGCTTTATTTTCACAGATCAGTCGCAGAGATTTGACTGTAATAGAGCCACAATCTCAGAGAAGATAGTCGTAGTTATAAATGTTAGATTTCTCTTCCAGGGAAACTATTTAGGGGTCTCACCCTCTGAGTAAAAACTCCTCACAGTTGCCCAACAGATGCAGCGTTCTCTAAACATGAATCATCAGAGTTTGCCTCCTGGCCGCTGCCCGCTGTGCTCCCTCAGAGTAAAAAAGTCTGATCCCCTGTGTTGTACCTGTTTGCCTAGAGCGCTGATGTCTCTCTCAAAGGCGGCGTGCATCCTGTGGAAGGACTCGGCTTTGCTGAAGTCCTCTCCCACATCTTCAGGCAGCTCTTTCTGCTTCTCGTGGATCTGAGCCACCAGCTCCTTCCCGTCGTCAAAGTACCTTTAAAAAAAAATAACACGATTGATTACAGGGTCTCTTTGGCTTTGTCTGTTATTACCACATTCATCATCCCACCAGCTGTGATAGGTGTAATGTTATCAAGTTCAGGATGAATTATTTCTAATTGGTTTGATTCGAGAAATTGAAGCTCCTATCAAAATAATTCACAGTCATTTGCAGGCAAAGAGTCTTTAAAGATAACTCGCACTCTTTTTCTCTTTTTCTTACTTGAGCAGTTCGTAGGATGTGGTGAGGTGCTGAGCGCGGGTGTCGATGAGCTCCAGCAGGTCTGCCCAGCTCTCATTGATGCTGTCCTTCCACTCCGCCATCGTCGCCGCCTCTGTGTGGCCGGCTTCGATCAGCTCGTCTATCGTCTGGTTCACCAGGTCCACCCGCTCCTGACCCACCATCCCCGTCTCCCGTGCGAACTCTCTGAACTTATCCCTCAGAAGCTGGAGCAGAAAAAGAAAAATACACTTAAAAAAAATCAAGCAACACTAGATGAAAAATGTTGTTTTTCTCTCGTATGGAAGTTGGGGACACAGTTTCTTCTGCGAGAGAGGATTTTGGAATTAAATGCTCGATGATCATGCAGCGATTGCTCATCAAAAACAGTCGCTCTGTGATCACAAGGCCGCAAAAGCATAAAATAAGCAAATGATCTCTCCTTCTGTATGAAACACTCGCATAATTTGCAGAATTCTGTTTGTCTGAATTGTACAAATGGAGTTTGGGATTGTCTGCGAGATAAAATCAGTTTACATCTTTTCTGCATGCATCTGTGAGTTCATTTGATTGTTATAGTCGTCACATTTTATCATCACAGCACCTTTGAGAGCTATTTAACATGCTGCACAGACAACCGACCAGCTGACAACAACACTGGCTGATTTTTCAACAGCTTGAGATGAACGTGTGAAATAAATATACGTAAAATAATCAGTTTATTTGTTATCTATTCTGCTGATCACATTCTGGGTCGACAGGGTCCATACCAGCTGTCAGTGTCATAGAGCTGACAAGAGGGACAACCGTTCATACTCACACCTACAGGCAGCTTAGAGTCAGTTAAGAAGAAGAAGAAGTAAATAAAACTGTGGGAATTCACCAGATCGCTAAGAGGAACTCAGACCTGCACAGAAACAACATTTCAACTCCACAGAAAGTCCCAGTTGAGACTCAAACCAGAAACCATCTTATTGTGAGGAAACAGCGCTAACCACTGCAGCTCCAGTCTTCAATAATGTAAAATCTCCACTTTTTCCAGCACTTGGACTCGTTTTCAGTGAACGGTTTTGAGTTTTATGTTCATGTGAGGAACTTTTTAGACAAACTAATCTTTACTGATTTCACTGAGTGAGTATCACTCACTGTGAATCTTTGCTTTGAAACATTTGCACATGCAAAATCTGCAGTATTACACATGAAATATGATTATCAGCGAGTAAAAACTGGATCATTGTTACTTTCTTAGCTCCAACAAGACCTCCTTCACATTTCCTCTGGTTAAAGTAAATTTTCAATAACCTAATACATGAAAAAATTTGATATACATTAAAGAGGTCCTCTCGTAAATTCAGAGAGGTGTGGGGTCCCCTCCTTACTTATGCAGAAAAGACTACTTCCCCACTTTGTCCTGCTGCGGACAAAGCCGACACTTCTGTCCAGCTGTCAAGCCTGGTAATAGGTGTATTGCGATCTGTATTTCTTTATTTTTTCTTTTGTTTTCCCTTTACGACCCTGCTTTAAGGACTGAACTTGTTATGTGTATTAACAGCCATGATGACCTGGCTGACCACCCTGTACCAACATTGTTCATATTATTATTATATTTTATTTCATCAATTCTTTTTTGTTTGTGTGTTTGCCTGTTTGTTGATGTAAGTTTACAACACTGTCATTTATGAGTACTGTTAACCTTTTACCTGTTTGTGTTTAAAATCCAATAAACAAAAATGTTAAAAAAAAAAAAGGATTATTTTCCTCATTTGTTTTGTGTATTTTAAGAAGACACAAAACATTAAAAAGGTGAATCTTCTTTTTTTAATTTTTATGGCAGGCTTGTTTGGAGCCCTTCCTGTTTTTTCTGGTAACACTTTACAATAACAATAATTTATAAATGGTAAAGAGATAGTTTATGTTTAATATAAGTTAATAGTTACTTCACCATTAACAAGCAATTAAGAATGTTCATTAATTATTAATGGACTCTTAATTAAAGGTTTATATAGGGTTTAAATATTGGTTGTAAAACATCTAGATTAAAATGTGTGTCAGCAGCACTTTGTAAATGGTAAATATTTGGTATTTAAACCATCTATAAACATTACTTAGATGGTTATTGTAAAGTAAGGGTTAGGTTTTTAAAATTGTAAAACTTACAATTTATTAAAGGTCTATATGCTATTTATAAACAATGTTTAAACATTAATAAACTATCTGCTGAACATTTATAAATGGTCTATTTACCGTTTATAAGTTATGGTCATTGTAAAGTGTTACCCTTTTTTCCTCTAAAAATCTGATTATTTATCTCAGCGGTTAAAACTCACACTCTATTTCCACCTCCATCCACTGTCTTCTCAATAAAGTTACAAAAAGCCCCAAAAATAACCCTTCAAAATAAAAGACTCTAATCACATTTTGTTCTCGTTAATGTTACGTACTGTGACGTGATCCAGGTCCTGGCCCATCTCCTGAGAGGAGGCCACCACGTCTCTCTCTGAGATCCAGTGCTCCAGGTCCTCCACCTCCCGGCTCAGCAGGAAGTGGTGGTAGGTGTGGTCTAGTTTCTTCCTGCGGTCCTCCGCCAGCTCCTTCAGGCCCGCGTACTGCTTATCCACCTGACCCTGCCGCCTAATGATCTCCTCACTGCAGACGAGAGTGAGGAGAAAATGAGATGCGACAGGAGGGAGAAAATGAGAAAAAGATTGGATTTAGGTTTACACTAGATGAGAGGCGTGATTATGTAACAGAAGTTATCCCATTTTTAGGGCCTGTCTTCTTTATCACGCTAAAGCACATTTGACTGAAACAGCGGCAGTGATCGGCATCCTAACGAGGAAACACACACCCGTCAGGATGATCCTCAGAAAACAGTTTCTGGGCACGGTCGGCCAGTTTCTGAATGGAGTCGGCGTGGTCATCCACAGCCTGCTTCAAGATCATGTGGCGCTTCAGCATCAGCATGGCACTCTGCTCATCCTGGAAAGAGAAAGAGGAGGAGGAGGAGGATGAATGAGGAATAAAAAAAGAGAAAATTGAGGTAATTATGCAAAAAACAAGAGAACAGGAGACGTCAAAGCAGAACCAAATACTCTCAGCAGAGGATGCCGTTTTTAAAGAAGTGTGTCACCCTAATTGCGGGGAACACTAACCATATAATCATGTTACTGCACACACTGCCTCTTGGTATTTACACGACGTGACACGCTTTGTTTTGTTTTAAATAATAAGATCAGTGTTTCAGCTGAATTCTTCGTCCATCCGTCTCACTCCTCACCTTCGCCTTCTCGTCAGCGATCATGTAAAGCTCCTGCTCCCCGATCCACGCTTCAGCCTCGTCCGCGTCGTTGAAGTACTGCTGGGCCAAGTTTGAGCCGTTCAGCCTCTCTCTGCGCTTGGCCATCTCGTCCTGCAGCCGCGCCCACGCCTCCTCCAGCTCCTTCACCTGGTCGGCGATCCGCTCGGCCTCCGGTCTGCCTTCTGCGCTGGCGGCCGCGGCCATCCTCTGCCCTCGCTCCAGCACCTCATCGACGCGGGGCTGGTGGCCCTCGATTTCTCTCTGCAGCGTCTGAGGGACAGAGACAGTGTAGGTATAATAACAACAGCTTGACTCTGACGAAAGTGAAGTCTTCCTGCTTTGACAATCAACTAAAATCAGTTCTTTCCTTTCTCCTGCTGTTTTAGACAAAGTCATCCGTGCATCTATTTCTTCAAGACTTGACTGTAATGATGCAATCTACTCCTGCAACAACAAGCGCAACATCTAAAGGCTTCAATTATATCTAAACGCTGCTGCTGCTGCTGCTGTCGGGCTTTCAGCACGGAGCAAGAGGAACGATTATAAAACACCATCCTCGCTGCCCTTCACTACCTCTGAGTTTCTGAATTGATTCGGAGTTTTTACTGCTTGTCTTTGAATCCACTGAACTGCTAACTCCCTACGAGTCGGACTGAATCCTGAGGTCTTCCAGCAGGGCTCTGCTAGTGGTTCATAAATCTCTACTGGTTTCAAAGGTGACTGAGACTTTGGGCTTCACAGCTGAGGGACTCGCTGCTGTAAGATGTCAGACTCAGTGTCCTCTTTTCAATCCTTTCCTGAAACGCACGTACATCATCTGGCCTTTCCTTGACTGCTGGCCATGCTGAACTTCTTACTTTATACTGTTAAAATACTGGATCTAATTTATATGTTATTTGCCTTTAATATTTGCTCTATTTTCGTTGTGTTATGTCTTTCTAACTAGAGCTTCTTTGACAGGAAGTTTGCACAGTATTTTACATCTGTACCAAAAAGCAGCTTCATTTACTACAACTCTTTCTCAACAGAATCAAACCCCTTACCTGGTTCTTCTTCTGCAGCATTTGCACGGTCTGAAGATTGTGGCCGTGCTCCTGTGACATTGCCAGGGGCATCCTCTCCTCGATCCAGAGCTGAGTACGAAACGAAGAAGGAGTAAAGAGTTATTGCGCCGGCGTTTGTTGTGAGATTTTACAGATTTCTGATAAACGGAGGATAAAAATGTTAAGACCACCTTTCTTATGCTGCATTTTACTCTGAAACAAAAGTCTCCAACACCTTAAACAGTAAAAAAAACCTCCTCAAAGCTTCTTTCCCACCTGATTTTAGTGGTTTTAGACAGTGAAACCTATAAGGGATTAAAAGCTTTTTTACAAAGATTCACCTGGAGAGTCAATTTCATGGAGAGAGTGGGTGGTGGTACTCTCATGCATACCAAGTACACAGAGTGTAATTGAATTCTTAATTTCCGAATTAAAAAGTTCTCAGACACCCTCTAAAGTTCCAGCTTGAATGTGTCTGAGCTGTGAGTCTCAGGAGATCTTAAACTGTCAATCACAATAGACAGGAAATGTGGGGAGCAGAAGAATAGACATACAACAAAGACTTGAGGTCAGGAGTCGAACCTGTGACCGCAGCAATGACGGCTTTAGCCTCTGTACATGGAGCATATGCTTGTTCAACCAGCCTCTACATTTTCTTCATAACTGTTTGCATGCTTACGAGCTCATCAGCCAGGTCCCTGTAGAACTGATGGACGGCCTTGGCGGCCTCCAGCTTGCCCTTGCGCTGGGCCAGGGGCGTGGGGAGCTGCTGAAAGTCTGCCTGCAGAGCCTGCAGCTCAGCCTCCAGCTCAGGCTGGTCCTCCCTGCCTCCGCTGTGCTTCCTGATGGCCTCCTGGAGCTCCTCCAGCTCCCGCGCGCGGTCACGCACCTGGTTCTCTGTCATCTGGTGTGGGGGGGGACACAATTAGAGGAAAAGATAAATCGTCTCTCAGGTGTCTGATCAGGATGTAGCGGAGCGGTAACACACCAAAAGTTAGTTTGTTTGAGAAAGTGAGACTACAAACTTCTTTAGAATAAAACACAGGCTGTAATTTAATTTCAAGAACATATGGTGCACTTTTCCTCTAAAAAAAACAAAACCTTAGATTTTAACTTTTCATTTTTACTGTGTGAAGACTGCATACTCTGTATGATCTGAAAGAAGTCCAAACGAAGAAAAGTAAAGACACGGACCTGGTGCTTCTTCAGGAGGATGTTGGCGTTAGTCAGGTCCTTCACTTCCTCGTCCCCGCTCTGGAGCTGCTGCTGCAGCCCCACAAGACTCTTCTTTATGTCTGCCACGCTCTGGTCAAAAAGCTCGGAGCGGTTAGCGTCAAACAGCAGCCGGGCTTTCTCCTGGGTTGTGGACTCCAGTTTGTCCCACAGCTCGTGGAGTTTGGCCAGACGCTCCCTGATGATGGGCTCGAACTCTGGCTTTGCATCCATGAGCTCCTGGCCCTCCTGTATCCAGAAATAAACAGAGAGAAAAACACAAACCAGTTTGTTCATAGAGGCTAAATCTGCAGCTGGTTTTAAAAGGGCAAAGAAAATAATAGTGTGTTTCTGTCTACCTGGGCTCATCGTAACAATAATAATAACAACAATAATAACAATAACAAAAATAACAATAACAATGATAACAATAATAATAATAATAATAACAACAATCATAATAATAATAACAATAATAATAATAATAATAATAATAATAATAATAATAATAATAATAATAATAATAATAATAATAATAATAATAATATTTTCTCATATTATTATTATTATTGTTATTATTATCAAAATAATCATGATAATAATAACAATAACAATAATTATAATAATAATTATGATAGTAACAAAAAATAATAATAACAATAATTATAATAAAAACAGTTATAATAATAATAATAATAATAATAATAATAATAATATAATAATAATAATAATAATAACCATAATAATAATAATAATAATAATAATAATAATAATAATAATTTTTATTATTATTATTATTATATATTTTATTTGTTAGGGCGCCTTTAAGGCACTTAAGGTTGCCTTACAACATACATAGAACATAAAACATAACATCATACAATAAAATAAAAAATTAAAATTAAAATAAGATTCAAAGTACATTAGTTAAAGCATCTTTGATCGAACACTAAAAAACCTCCATTTAAACAGGAAATAATTCCTTAGTGAGATCCCTCATCTCAGCTTCAAACCTGCTTTGCAAAAAGAGAATAAACAACTTTTTATGTACTACATCAATCCTTTTTTGTCATCCTGTAACATGTAAATTAACCTGATACATCCAATGTTACTGACCTGGTCCAGTTTGTTCAGCCAGTCCCTGTTGGCAGCCAGCTCTGCCATGAAGGCCTGATGTTTCAGCCATTTACTGTGAAGGTTCCTGGCCTCATCGTACGACGTGTCCTGAGCTGTCAGCATCTTCTCGTTGATCCATAGAGTCAGCTGAGAGTGAATATGAGGAGCATTGATGAAAAAGATTTAAATCACTTCTTTAAACTCAAGCACATGCAGCCAAAACCTTGGGAAGGACAGTGTATTAGATTTAGAGAGAGGTGACTTCATTTGAGCAGGATTTACTCCTTAATCACTGAGCAGATCGATTACTAATTACCCAAATGGGGCCCTCTATTCCAAATAAGGAAAATGTACATTAACTCTGAGAGAGGTGTTTCACTATAGTAAACAGAGCAGAGTATGTTTGCAAATTGTGGAGTCAAGTTTCAGGGAATAATTAAACGTATGATTCACATAAAATTTGATGTAACTGCAGTAAGTAAACCGACGGTGAACTCACATCCTGAGCGTTTTGCAGGAACTGCTGCAGGTGGCGGTTGTCTCTCAGCTTCTCTGACACCTCCTGGGCTCTCCTTTTATTCTTGTTACGCCTGAAGGTCAAGATGAAAACATTTCAAAGACAGCCACCCTCTGAGTATATCTTCTCATTCAACCCCTCTACCTACCCCTGACGTATCAGGATGCATCGCTGAACAGCAAGAAGAAGAGAGTGAATCATTCCTCCTCCATACAAAAAATAAAACACCTGACACAGTAACCTAAAACAGTCATCTGTTTCTTTGCTACGGCGTGAAGAGTACTTCTTACTTTAAGATCAATATCCATTATTGCACCGCCTGTCTACCGAACTGAATTGTGGGAGTTAACGGGAAAAGCTCCCTGGCCCGCTCTATTGCCTCTTGTTGACACTAAAGATACAGTGATAGGAAAGCTGTTTTACTGCTGAGCTCGTAAAAACCTGATGAAGAAGAAGAAGAAGCAGAAGAAGGAGGGAGGAATGTATTTTCCTGCGTCAGATAAGCCCCCCTGCAGTATTTATTCTGGACTCAGGCTGCGATAAAAGAAATGAGAAGGAGGTTATCTCATGATGGTTTAAAGCAGAGAGATGCCTGCGGTTTAAAAACAAGAGTGAGCATCATGGGATATGTGCGGTTGTGCATGTTATTGATCATGATAAATAAAAACAAAAACATGTAAAACTCAGACTGTTGCAACTGAAACCTACAACTTGCATTTAGTCTTAATGTTTAACGAGTTATTATTAGAGACTGGCTGATTTATTAGTAGCTGTGGCATAAATTTGGGGTTTACTAATTAATTGTTTATCCCTAATTTACAGGGATAACTGTGTTATGTTTGTCCACAGCTCCATAGGGATTGCTGGAGGAGGCGGGATTTATGACCTATACTGCAGCCCGTCACCAGAGGGTGCTGTTCTCGGTGGCTTCACCCAGCGAGGAGGCAGACGGCGTCCATTCTATATACAATCTATAGTTGCAACACAGCCAGGCTATCATATTGGTGTCAGGACACTATTGTCCCAGACACTGTCGAGTATCTAAACCGTTTTATTCTGCGTACTTCTATGTTCACTATCTGCATTCAACTCACTATGAACAATGGTGGTTAGAGGGATTAAGTTTGTGATTTTCGTCATATCCAGAGTAAACGATAGACCCTCTGCTTTGTCTGAGTCCATCTCCTTGAGGCTGCACGTATTGATTTAGACTTTCAAACTTGTTTTTGTCGACCTGTCAAGGGTGAAGAAATAGAAACTGAAATCGATTTTGTTTGAAATAAACTTTCCATAAGTCTTCAGAATCTGCCCTTGTCAAGGTGCTGATTTAGTTTCTTAATAAATGTTGGATTTTTATAATACTTTTACATCCACCATCTGCAGAATTTCTCCCCTGTTTGTTTTTTTTATTACTGTTTCTCTCTGTATCAGTAACTTTGTAAATGTAAAACATAAAATTTTAATGGGACATATAAACTGAGAGTGGGAGGATTTAGTATTTTCCAAGAAAAATTACTTCACTTGTTTTTGCAGAAGAATACACCATATTCACACCGATGTAAGGCTGTTTGTTAATAATAAATGATGCCACAGATGTTTGGTAATTTCTGCCTTTGATTAAATATTCCTTCTGACGGGGCATTAATTAGATTAATCCTGTGTGGGAAGTAAACAAAAGAGAAGATTTCTCTGAGTTGAAATCTGTTCATCGATACCAAATGTGGTTGAAATAATAATTCTTTTGGTAAAAGTTTCTTGCAAATAAAAAAAAACCCATAATAACAGACCTGTCTCTGATTGAGTCCATTTTCTCCTGAACCTTCCCAGAGTACAGGTTGTTACTGTCCACCAGCCGCTGTCCGCTCTGCAGGGTGCCGTCGATCTTGTCCTCGTTGGCCTCCATGGTGCTCACAAAGTCCTCATGCTTCTTCAAGGCTTTCTCTGCCCCCGCCAAGGTGTCAGGCTTGTCTATGTGGGCCAGGGTGTACTCCTGCAAACAGAGGACAGGAAACTGAACAAAAAGACACACAGCCAGCTGACAAACAGGCGGTAACATGGTAACTGACCGCGCTGCATTCTTCTAACCACATTTTTGCGAGCACCTCTAACCCCATAATTAAACGTCAACCTTAACTCCGTGAAACTAAACGACTTTTCTGCCAGAAGAAGAACAATGAGTGTGATTTTTTAAAAACAGTACCTGATTGTTCAGAATTGCATTTACAGCCTTGCAGTCCCTCATGAACTGCTGGAATCCCAGACCCTGGTCCAGGAAGTTCTTCCTGCTGTCCCACATCTTCTGCAGCTCATACCACCCCCGGTCCAGGCCCTTCAGCCTCTGATCCAGCTGCTGGTACTGAGGATCATCCTCCTGACCCCGTGTGACCTGAGCACCAGTGTCCCTGACGCGGTGATAGTCCTCCTCGTGGTTGTTAATGTCTTCACGCACAGCATCGTGAAGACTGAGCTGCTCCTCGGCCTCGGGTAGAGTTGCAGGCATTTCCTCTGACGCTACAGCCTTCTGGGTCTTGAAAAGCCACGACTGGAAGTCATCCATGTCCTGGAGGAAGGTCTGTAACTTGCTCACCTCCCCCAAAGAGTCCTCTCTGTCCTTCAGGGTCTTTTTGAGAGTGTCCCAGGCAGCATCCAGGTCCTTTCTGCGGGCCAAGATGTCATTAGCGTTCTCCGGGTGGTCCTTTGCCAGCTGGTCGGCTTCATTCCTCAGGAAGGTGAGTTTGGTGTCAATGGCGGCCAAATCTCTTTCCATGCCAAACAGTTTTCTCTGGATGGTCATGACAGCTGCCAGGTCATTGCCCAGGTCCTGTGTGGACTCGATCACCCGTGTCTTGTCTTTGATCCAGGCCTCTGTCTCATCACACTCCAGCCCATAGTTGTGCAAACTGAGAGCCGAGTCCACTTTCCTCTTCTTTTCCTCCACCATAGCTTTGAAGGCCTCCCACCTAAAAGAGGAGAACAATTCATTTAATAGAAACCACTTTAAAAAAATCACTTTTGTGTAAGAAACTCCACCTTGAGCCTTTAAACATCTCTGTCAAACTTTGGTCACATTTTTACATCCTAAAAATTTCCAACAAATCCCAAAGCCGAGCAATTTTCCTGCTAATCATGACGAATGAGTAATCCCCCGGAAGAACGGCTTCATTCACTGTAAACTCAATTAAATTGGTTTAATTTCTCACCAAGTTGTTATTATTATGCATCCCTGTGGACAAATTTCCCCATTTCTGCATGTCCAAGCGGCCCGCCTCGCACCGACTGAAACAGCTTGTTTGTAATTAAGTGGAAATAATTGGAAGTTCATCCGATTGAACACCGACTCCATGTTCTGAATTTCCATAATTCCAATTATAGACCGGTTACAAACCAAACTTTTAATAGGCTTCATTGCAAACTGGGAAATTTCCTAGAATTGGATTTTTGTCATTTATATGTTACACTTCATAACTGACGAGGAAAGTGGGAAAAATTTTGACCGTCAAATTCATGAAACTGGCACTAAACAGAAAAAAACCTTGAAAGCACCTCTTGTTCAGCCGGCTCTGACAGTCTTTGACCTCCTTGGTGCGAGGGTGTCGGCTGTCCTCCAGCTGTTTCACGGCTTTGTTGACGTCATCCACTCTCTGCTGAACATTTGCCATCTCTTGAACCAGAATACTCAACCTGGAAAAGTGAAAAACAGAGTTAAAAATTAAACAAAAAATCATGATGGGGGTGAAAAGCCTTCGTTAATTTGAGGGATTTGTTTCAGTTTGTATGCTAATAGATCGGGATGTAGCTTTGTCTGCATATATGAAGATTTGTTTGTTTGCGTTTCAGTATATAGGCATGCTTGTAGCTTTCTATATGAATACTTAAACGTCCATCAAGGAACTTTTAACAAGATTTGAAAAAATCTCTTGTTTCTGCTGATGTCTCCCTGTCACCTGCAACAGCACATGAGCCCATCTGTGCTATTGAGCTATTGCAAAGAGCTATTTCTAAACAGTGAAAACAGGGAAAACGGGAGCCAGTGGTCGTGTCGGGACCAAAGACGACACATACTTCCCATTTTAAATACATTTACAAAGTTGCGTCAAACTACTCAAAAAAGTTCGTTTTTTGGAGCCATGACGTGCAAGCCAGGTAAGTGTCTTTATGACAATATGTGCTAAAACACGACTGATTTTGTCCATAGTGGCTGCCAAAATCAACAGAAAATGAAAACTCTGTTCAGCTGCTTTAAGTGTGTATATTAGTTGGATTCAAAGAAGGTCAAATTAAGCGGCTGTAAGTTGAAAATAATGATGATCATCACAGCGCTGGTAGATCTGAGACTCAGGGTTTAAATAATGCAGTTACTGTCAGTGCATAACAAGCAAAGATAAGGGTGGGTGTAAAAAGGTTGTAATGCCTCCTTCTCCTGATCACATGTGTAAATTGGATCATTTCAGAACTTTTTGATGGGATTTGTTCATCTTTTTGATCATTTTTTTATGTATGTAAAATAAAGACATCAATCATTTGGCGTGGCTTACATGTTAAACACTGTTTTTATTCATCTTTTACTTCCAGGTTCATTACAGTAAATCTAATAAAAGTAATAATATAATTAGGGATGTCCAGATAAAAAAATTTTAATTCCGAAAGGTTACCGATATTGTAGCCTTCAATCTTGACCGATGCTGATATTGATCCGATATCGGCATAAACTTGTGCATGACAAGTTTTTCACTCAGCTGCAGCGTCTTTTTCGAACTTTAACGAAAAGTACTGCCACAAGGCCGACATCACTCTTACTCCATGCTGCTTTATTAGTACCTTAGTACACACTGTTGTTATGATTCTGTGAGCTCAGCCTGCTGGATCAGGGCGCTGTTAGATAGAGGTGCAGGAACAGAGTCTGGAATGGACTGCTTGTATTGGAGTGCTGATATCAGAGATTTTAGATGCACGTCGATATAATCAGATATTCATTTTTTTGCTGATATCAGACCGATATCCAATATCAATATCATATCGGGACACCCCTAAGTATAATACAGAGGTGTTTAATGAGATTGTTTTTCTGTGTACCTGTTCTGTACGACTTCCAGGTCCTCCAGCTTCTCAGGCACATCCAACCCCACCAACCACGTCTCCTTCTGGCCCATCCAGAGCTCACAGGCGTCCGTCTCGCTGAAGATTGTGTACAGAGCCATGGTGTCGTCCAGCTTTTTCTGTCTCAGGTCGGCCAGAGACATGAGCTCCATGTAGAGGTCCTTGATGTCCTTGAGTCGTCTCTGGATGTCAGGGGTGTTCTGCAGCTCCTCTGGCAGAGCATTAGCCTGTTTGGACAGAGCGTCTATCGTTGCTCCGTTCTTGATGGCTTCATTCTTCAGGTTGTTGTGCTTCTTCAGTAGCCGCTCTGTGGTGTACTCATCGTGGCCGACGTCGTCGCTGCTCATCTGCCTCTTAGCGTCCAGCAGCCAGGCCTTGAGGTCATCAGCGTCTCCCTGAAACTGGAAGAACTTCTGCATGTCCTGGAGTTGCTGTTTCCTAAACGCAGCCAGCTCCTCCAGCATCTGCCACTGCCTCGCGATGTCATCCATGCACTCTTTAACCTTCGGGGAGCCAAAGTGCTTAGCCTTGATCATCTTGTCTCCTTCAGCCAACACCTGCTCCAGGTTGGCACGACGGGCCCCGAGCTCATCCTCAAAGGCGCTGTGTTTGCTCTGGAGCACCAGCACGCTTGTCAGGTCTTTGCCATAATCCAGAGAGGAGAAAATGTAATCCTTCTCTCTGATCCAGCTCTCCAGCTCCGCCACCTCCCACAGGAAGTTCCAGAAGCGGCGGGACTGCTCCAGACGGGCCCTCCGCTGGGCTGCAAGGGCTAAAATCTCCTGGTAGCACAAGTCGAGATGCTGGACTCTGTCCCGGATCACCTGAGGATCACATGGCTTGTAGGCTGGGGATAAAAAATAATATAATGTTTGAAATATGTCATTTTTGCTCACGTATTTACTGGCTTACAATATTTTCTTATTATGAAAGACTAAACAAATCCAAGAGTGTCTCAGACCTTCATCTGGGGGATAAAGTAAACTTAACTTTTTAAATATAACTGTGTTTAGGTTGTTTCCCCGACAAAAGCAGAAACTTTCTAAAGTGAACGAAATCACAGTGGGACTAAGAAGTGTGTTAAACCTGTTTGAAGTACTTTTGAGGAGTTTTTCATGATGCTGCAGACACATTTGTCCGCTCAAAGCAGATTAAGGTGTTATATTCGTCCCTGGTCAATGTCCATGACTTACATCCATTTAGTGTTCTTATCCCCGGTTAGAGGCAGAAGGAAGGATCATGGTGAACCGCTGCACTTACTGTCTCCATTGGCGAACTTGAGAGCTGCTGCACTTGCGTTCTGAACTCTCTCCGCCTGCAGAGCGATGTCGTTCTCCAACAGAGCGTGTTTCTGTAACAAATCCTCCACTTCCAGCAAGTGTTTCCCGAAGTCAGGAGACATGAGCCGGGCCTACAGACAGGAGGCAGGTATCTCATCAGCTTAGTGTCAAGAAAAAAAAAAGGGTAATTAGTGAAGAAATGATGCGTCCTGTGCAGTACCTTCATTTCATCCATCCAGCTGATGATGTACAACATCTCCTGGAAAATCCTCTGCAGGGTCAAATTCTTATCCAGCCGAGCCCTCCGCGCTTTCAGCAGCTCCTGCAGGTAATCCCACAGACGCAGGATGTTGTCTTTCCTCACGTCGATCCTTTTGGCGTCATGATAACGCTCGGACTCCAGCACTTTTGAGATATCCACCAAGGCCTGAACGCGCTCCTCGTACGCAGCAATGTCCGTCTCGATGGCGTCATGCTTCTTCTTCGCTGCTTCTACTGCCGGCAGGTCGTAACCAAAGTTATCCTGAGGAGGTACAGACACGACGATTAAGTACCTCAACGCTCCTAATTTTTTCATGGAAATCTGCTGTTTACCTGCCTTCTTGAATAATTAGGTGCATAATTAACCTGCTTTATTAATTGGTTAATGTTAATGTTTAAAAGTCTTCATTATAATTATATTGAATGAAGAGAATCTAACTGAGAAACTCTATCAGATCAGATCACACCTTTATATGATGTCTATTGTGTTGCTGTTGATGTTTCACCTGAGCCACTAGTCGCTGGTTCTCCAGAAGCCACGTCTCCCTCATGGCAGCCTTCCTGTCGAATCTCCTCGCCATCTGCTCCAGCTTCTCCTGTCTGATCAGCTCTTCCCGGAGGACGCGCTCCCGCTCATGCTCCGCCCTCTCCAGACGTTCCCAGGCCTGCACACAGACGGGGAAAATGGATCGTGAAGGGTTTGCAGTTTTTGTTAGCTGCAGACTGACGGCACATTTGATTTTCATTTTGAACCCGCTCACAAAGATGTCGGAGGTTAAGTTATACAGGAACACCTCTGAAGTTTGTTTGGATACAGATCACATTTCTGCGGATAAAAGTGAGTTTCTTGTTCTGCCCTTTATTCTCAGACACACACTCATATTTTGAGCGCCTTTGGCTCTGTCGGACCTTTATTTCTTTTAGGAAATGTCTCTTAATGTACAGCTGACTGAATGGGACTACCAACATAATTCAATTAATTTGTGGTTTAATAGTAGCCTTAGGTTTGTGCTCTGCTCAGTGAATGAATTCTGTCCAAGATTCATTGAGCTGAAAGAGCTTCAAACCGGACATTTGCATGAACTCTGGAAGAGCGACCAAATTCAAAGAAACATGTTTCCTTTATAGAATTATTAAGTGTTTTTGAGTGAAATACAACTGAAGCGTCACTTAAGAGGAATATAAACAGTGTAAGGATATTTTATAGTCAAAAGTAGTGCTCAAAATACCAAGAAGTAAACGATAAAGTGTTATCTTTGTTCTGACCCTGTTGATATCTGCGACCAGAGCTCCCTCTTTAGGCGTGTAGACCCTCTGGTTGTTGGCTCTCATGCGACTCTGGATGGTGAACAGCAGCACCTCGAGGTTTCCTTTCTCCTGGAATCTAAAGAAAACAAAACAGTGATGAAACAGCTGACACTCATTTAAGACGAATTATGTTACTCTCAAGAATGTCTTTTGTCCTCTAACAAAACTTTTGCTAATGCATTTCTGTAACGACACAGTTTCCTCCTTATAATGAGCGTGTTGTGGAAAAGAATATCATTAAGGGTTTATGATGATATCCTGTGACTCATACAACAAATAGCCAGAAATATGAAAGTAAAAGCCTTAGGGTGAGATTAAAAAAAAAAAAGACTCTCAAGATCCTTAAAAAAGTCATGTTGAAAAAAAACGTTTTTATTAAAGCTGCAGTTGGGAGATTGTTTCTGGTTATGAGACAAAAGCAACATAATCAATGTCAGATAAGATGATCTGAAACATCCTTTTTTTCCTCTGCCAGTTAAAAAAAGCAGAATTAAAGGAGCAGTGTGTAGAAATTAAGGGTCAGAGGTCAGACCCTTCACTGAATCTCTCTCTGGCTCACCCCTCTGCAAAAAAAATAGGCAGAGATTTAAGGATTCCACTTTTCCCACAGCGGTTTCCAAATTCTCCACAAAGACCAAAGTGTGATTAAATAATAAGAAGGTGCGTCTCCCTTTACTCACTTTGGCGGTTTCTCCACAGTGCGGTAGGTGTTAAAGGCCTGAAGCTGCTGCTGGACTCCGCTCAGGGAGTTGGCGAGTTTCCGATTGTTCAGCACGATGATGGTCTGTTCGATCCACGTCAGCAGATCTGAAGCCAGCGTCTCATATTTATCGATCATCTTCTCTGTCTCGATGGCCTGATCGAGAACCTGGAGAAAGGAGGTCAAAGACGGTCAGACGTCAAACAAACAGAAGCGAACACACACGTCAAATGTGTTTCCATCTCACCTTTCCGACTCTTTTGCCCTCGACGGCGAGCTGCTTCATCTTAGAGAAGTAGTGGTAAAACGCCACGACGTAAGTGATAATTGACTTCTCATCGGGGTTCTCCGTGAACACATCTGCAACGCAAAACAGCAGAAAGGTCAGCCAACTCGGGAAATCACCCGTCAAGCTCTTGTCTCAAAGTGATTTGATTTACCTTCAGGGTCCAACAGTTTGGTCACGCCGAGCCTCTGCTCTGCTACGTTGAAGGCGTTCTGCAGGTTGTGTGTTGGGTTGGATCTCCTCAGTGTGCTATAGTCCACCAGATCCGGCCTAAAAGAAAAAAAGAGAGAGTGTGTAAGAAAAAAAAACAGCTACAGTGATCGAGACAAGGAGAGGAAGAAGAGAGAGAGGCTTCTGTGTGTTTACATTTCAAAGCTGGAGAGTTTGTGCGTCCTTACCTGTGTTTGTGTATGAGCGCGTTGAAGGCCAAGCCATCTTTCCAGCTGGTGGTGAAGTTTGTGATGTTTACGTTGGGATACCTGCAGGACAGAAACAAATGAGTGTCATTCATTACTGAACACAACATCTACCCACTGAGAGGGACCTGTTTAAATTCACAGGAACGCTCATGTGAGGGCAGGTTCACTGGAAACAGAGAGTAACTGTAGTGTTAGGAGACAAACTTCATCTCTCAGTAATTAAAGGAGTAGTTTCACATTTTGAGAGACACGACTCTTATGTTCTTCTTATAGAGAGTCAAATTGGAAGATATGAATGAGACTGAATGTAGAGTCAATGTTAGGCAGGAGTGGGTTAGCTCAAGCTGAAGACGGATCACAGAAAAAAAATATTGGAGGCGGCAAAATCATATCAGCGCAAAATCAGCACGCTAAATAAAAACATGTAACTTTTAATTATAGAAATTTGATATCGAACAAAGATGTACTTCAGGTAAAGCTCAGCCAACAATACATAAGCTGATTTTATAGCGAGCTTATATCATATATAGCTCTAACCTTCTATGCATCTAATCAGCAAATGTGAAAATGTGTCATGTTTGGTTTTTAATGTATGAACATTTAACAGAGAGGAGGTCTGCCCTCCCCATCTGCAAACTATATTTATTTAGCATGCAAAGTATCAAAACTCTGTGTAACAGGGTGAAATGTATATTATTAATATTTTTTAATATATTTACCAAAGTTATATCTGTGTGTTTTTGTGTTTAACTGTGGAACTTTTATGTGAATTTCATTTATTCTAATTTGAGCCTCCCTCTTCCTGTTGGTTTCTTTTTCTTTATATTTGAGTTTCCTTTCTTGGAGGAGTCCGTTGGTTAATTATTGATTTTTCCATAATTTATTTATTTTCTGTGTACTTTTATTTTTCGTAGTGTGTTTATTAAACAGTTTAGTGTTACTATTGTTGTGTTTTGTCCGCTTAACTTACGTTCGTTCATTTAGTTGAGCGAGCTTGTGTTTCTGTCCACATAGGAGTGAAGGCAGGCTGCGAGTCTGTGAAGTTATTAAGGTTTCCTTTCATTCTGCTGCACAGGTATGATTGTTGTCCTTTTTTGTTTGTTTATTTAGAAGGTGTAAATTCATATTTTCTAATTGTTCTCCCTGGGGGAGAGGAGTGGAGGCGGGCTGCGAGGCTGTGAAGTTATTAAGGTTTCCTTTCATTCTGCTGCACAGAATAAACACCGATAAAAATCCTGCTGGTGTCATCATAAATGACAACGCAGAGTCCCACCGGTTACAGCTGCACATTCACAGCTTCAGGATTAAACATTTCTGTTTCTGATGAGTGTAATTTTAACCCTTCTTATACCTTGACAGAATTTAAACCTGTATCCCAGTGGGTCATTTTCAAACACTATGATAAAATAAAAACACTTGACTGTCACTGTGACCGAGTTAAAACACTATTTTACCCTCAAACACACTTAAAAAGTTCTTATTAACTACTGCAGAGATTTGCAGCTGTTCACAAGAAACTGATTCGACGAGGATATTTACAACAGCTTGATCGTGGTGAGGGGTCACACATCCCACTTACCCTGCAGTTTTCATCTGACACCACAGAAGAAGAGCGTCCTTGGCTGAGCGTGTCTCCTTCTGGTCTGCCTGGCCCGTTTCCACAATGATGTCCTGGATCTGATGTAGAACAACAAGCACAGCTGGATGGTAAATAATGACACTTGACTAATTACTGCCTGGTTTCCCATCAAAGCGGGATTATTTTCTGATGGTAACATGTAGCCAAGTGGGAATATTTTCACAAAAAGGTACAAAACAGAACATTTCAAACTAGTAAATCATCAATAATATTAGCCGGCTGGATAATCAAATTGATAAATTCAGGGGGGTAGTTTTGGAGGTTCTTATTTTCCCACACAGTAGGCCAGTAATTAGAGCAGGGATGTGATCTGAGAGACAGGCCCTGAGAGACAGCTAAATTTAGCCAGCTTTGGTTCTCCTTGGTTTCTGCAGCTGAAAAGATACCGACAGGACCAAGTCAACTCCTTTCTTTTTCAGTTTCTTCCTCTTCTTCCTCTTTGAAAAGGCTGAATAATGCAGGAGGCCATATTGTTTGAACTAACGCATCTAAAAATAACAGTGTTGCTGTCAAATTAAAAATAAATATATGCCCCCTCCGAAAAAGATAAAAGAGTCAAACAGACATGTTCTGATGTTTTGGATGGGCCTCTAACAGCAGATAATAACGGCTGGAACCTGAAGGCATCAGATTCCAGGAAAGGAAAAACATCCCAAGGCTGGAAATTGTTTTCTTACACCATGTGAACACATATCCAGCTCAGACTAATACCCAAAAAAATCCATGACTTGTCTGTCAAACTCTGCAGGTTTTATATTTTATATGCAAAACAGGGTTGTAACTGTCTGATTTAGAAAGCTCATATTACCACTATTATGACGGCAGAGTCTCGGGTAAATACAGATTTCAAATTCAGCTGAGGTCTATTATATTTACAAGCATATTGTGTTGATATTAAGAAGATAGACACTGATTAGCAGACGTTGTACCCTGAAATTTTCCATAGATGTACAACCTTCACACTTTGTGCAATCAATAACATCTATTGTAATCTATATAGAGATGTTTTCTATTGTTGCATATCATATTTAATATATTTTTGCACAGGAGTCTTGTCTCACACTGCAAAGTTACATGGAGTCTAACTTTTAAAACAAATTAAAGAGTAGGTGTGGGAAAATTTTACCTGGAAGCGAAGGATGATGGTCCAGATGAGGCCGAGGATGAGGCGATGGTTGCCGTCGACGATATCGTGGGAGCCCATGTTCTCCAGGTGAACCCTCTGCTCCTTGAGGAACTGCAGGGCTTTGTCCACATTTTCCAAACAGTGAATACGCATGCGGCCCTTTGTGGGTTTTGGCTGGAGAGGGAAATAAGACGAAACACACAGTGGTGGATTTTTAAAGGTAAAACCATGAAAACTATGCAGTGGTTGCTGATTTTCCTTTCTCTAAAGCTTCTTACCAATCGTTCGCCGGACAACACCTCCAGCAGTTTGATGAGCATGCGACCATCTCGCAGGTCCAGGTAGAGGTCAGAGATCCGGCAGCCAACCCGGGACAGGATGGAGTTGACCCATTTAGTAAAGGTCTTCTTCTGGACGGCCTCACGCTCATCTGACAGGAGAAATGAGTAAAGACAGAACGTAAATAATGAGCTAAATTAACATTAATAGGATAGCACTTCTGGGATGATGGGGATTATTTGTCCTGATCAAGGGCACTACAGAGAGAAGGAGTCGAAAAAAGGGTTATTATATGACAGAGGACCGATCATGAGGCGTTCGGCCTCTTAAAACACACATGTAAAAAGCCCCAACCCTCAAAGTTAAGACTACATTACTCATAAAAATATCTGAAGTGGATTGAATTGCTCCATTCTTTGAACTTGATTCTGGTTAAATGGTACTACAGCCTTAAAAAGCTAATAAAAAGGACAAGGACATACTGGATTGAAATTAGTCGGCAGATGCTCTACATTAAATGACTCTTATCAAAAACAATTAGGACAGCCCTCGTTTTATTCTGAGCACCGTGAGTTTCAAACAAGACAAGACTGTCACTTCAAACAGGAATTCTTGCCCAGGGCGAACACGTTCACAACTTAAACTTCAATAAGTCAAAGACATGGTCGACCTCATCTCAGTTCAGCCCTGCTGGCAAAGGATGGCCTCAGTCTGACACTCTGTCACCGTGGTGTCAAACGGGGTTACAGTCAAGTGAAGCAGAGTTTAAAGACCAGTCAAGTTACTATATATCAGCCTCCACTTACAGTCGTGTTTTGTTTGTCAGAGAAACTTAACACCTGATTTTTATCAAACTTGGCTGAAAAGAATGAAATAACAGATTAGTTTTGGCTAACTCTGAAGAAAGATCAAAACTTTGCTGCCACTTTCATGACATCATTGAAGTCTAATCACTTTAGAGCTCCTATAAGGAGTTTTTTGATGTTTATGAAACAGACTGAAATTCCCATGAATGCCTTTTTCCAAAAGCAAAAAAGACCATCAGGGACAACATAAATGGTTTGTGCTGTGTCATCGTGGTGAAATGACATCTATACACCTTTCACTTGTTCATCCCTGTCCGTTTGCATGGTGTGAAATACAATCCTCCTGAAACACAGAGTGTTTTACTTTGAAAAGAAGCCGGATGTTTTATTTTGTGTCTGTGCCTGACTTCCTTTCCAGCCCAGGTTAATCTGTGCTGAATTTATCCAACATGCTCTGGCACCCGGAAAAAATTAAACTCTTGCGATCAGCTGCAGAGTCCGGCGATCCACAGGGGAACGTAAAGAAGCTGGTGGAAATTGACACGTTAACTCAAATGATTACGATCAGCTATGATCCGCAGATGCAGCCTTTTTGCATCCGTTCCAGATGCGGTGGAAATTGGTGGTTACGCAGAGCAGTTAGCTGAGATTCAGTTGACTAGTATTTTGAAATAGTTCTTTCAATTAAGAGGGATTGGACTAGTCTAACGGCACATGATGGACAGAATAAATATTTTCTTAAATATTAGAACAATTACGGTTGTGAAACAGTGGAGAGTAACATCACACTTTCTTTTTACAGAGCTCTACATCCCTGAGAGTGCCCCTGCTTTCAGTTTGGAGAATTACATTAAACACACATCCAGACTCACTTTGATGTTTGCATACCAGAGTAGACTGGACTGCTGGCCTTGGAGGATCTGCACTGTCTGAGTGCTCACGTAGATAGATGCACAGTGCAAAGCTTTTATCGGATTCCAAACAGCATGTTACTCAACACTACGCTGGAGGTCAAATCATCTTGTTAAAGCTTCGAAATTCTTCCAGAAATTTGCATCTGTTTTTCATACAGCTATAGGAGCGGGAGTCATTATCGCTCACTCCAGCTTTGGTTGTTCGAAACAGACTTTGCATGATTACTAATATAACTTATGAATTTTCATAAACAGGCCTGCTGCAAACACACCCTCAGTAAACCCAACCCTCCAAAGAAAAGCTTTACTGTAAGCATCCACGTCTCCTCATCCTCCTCCCAGCAGAGAAGACAGAGAAGCTGCGCTGCATAATAAAATCACATGAAACAAAAAGTAAACACAGGAAGGTCCTCTGCATATGCAGCTGTAGGCGTGTAGTATTTATGCTGAAAATTCACAGACTTCAATTTTTGGCCTGAAAACACAGGAATGATGAGCAGAGAGATGCAGAGAGTCAGACTTGAAGAGCGTTTTTCGGGAGGGAGAGTGCTGCCCACATGGTGACACATCTTGCCGGGCTCACGCTCACACTTAAAATCACATCCCAATGCACGGCAGATGTGCCTCCCACTCAGCGGCAGAAATAAAACCAATTTTGATGGGACCATATGTCAGCATGACCCAATGTTCTATAGCCTGTTTATTTTGTTCACGGACACGCTGACTCGGGATGGAAATGAAGGAGGTGTGAGTGGGTGTGTGCATGTGACTGTACCTGTAAAACGGAATAAATAAAATCTACCTGTGCACTAATTCTGACCAACTATAATATGTATTAAAAACAGTGTAAGAAGAAAGTAAAAGGCACTGTGAGAAGCTTTACACTGATTTTAAAGTTACCTTACTAAAACTGTTATTTCCTCATGACCAACATAGTAAAATAAGATGATCAAAAACAGGATTGGTGATTTCCTTTCACTTTGTTTAAGTGTTTTTGTGTGATTTTCTACTGACAAAAGCTGAGCTGATATTCTGTACTTTGTTCATATTCACATGTTGACCATTTTGCATTAATTGGTTAAAAAACACAATTAACACGTTTGATATAGGGCTGGGCGAAAATTTCCTTCAATATCAATATAAATCAGGGTCAATATGTTTTTCAATAGTCGGCATTCAGCCATGTTTTGATAGACTACACGAATAGCCAATGAAAAGGGGAGTTGCTTTGGGTCCGCTTTGTGTGAACCAATCATGTGCTGAAATAGAACCAAGTAGCAAACAACTGTGTAGTAGCAGACTACAGCTACAGGCAACCATAGAACTTTAACACGTGAATCTGACAGCGCTGTTGGTGAGAAAAAAAGAGAAAAAGTTCTACCCCCCGGCAGAAATGACCATGAAGGCTCAACAGATGATGACATTGTCGACAAGACTGGCACAAAAACGTTGGCGGTGTGGAGGTATTTTGGTTTTTCGAGGTCGGACATGAAGCAGAGGTATGTGCACTGCAAATGATGTCGAGTACATTTTCTCATAAAGTCGGGGAATACCTCAAGTCTTTTTCTCCTCTTGGAGCAGCGCCACGCCGCAGAGCATGTGCAAAAGGTTACAAACCCTGAGCAGAGCAAGGAGCCCATGACACAAAGACCTCACAGATGCAAAAGACATTCTACCAATAAGCTCTGTTAAATTTCATTTTTATATCGTGATATATATCAATATCGACCTATTTGAAAAAATATATCATGGTTAACTTTTTCCCATATCGCCCAGCCCTAATTTGATATATTTGACAGTTTATTTAACAGAGAGGGTAACTTTGTCGTGAACGTAATCGTCTTTAAATCAAAGTTTTGACTGAAACACTCAGCCCAGGTGAGGTATTTTCAGACAGCATTGAGCGAGGATGAAAGAGGGATGATGCAAGCCCGCTTCAGCACCTTGAACGCTCCCTCAACTCCCAGCAGATGCACACACTCAGACATATTGTATATTCACACAGACTCCGCTCTCTAAAGTTTATCAGGTCAGCCTCTGGTGATGAGACGTTCTCCGTCTCAGCTGTCCCATCCTCACACACGTGACTTCCCCTCTGGTCTGCCGGCTACGGTTTTCCCTGTTTATTCCTGAACCCAAATATGACTGCAAACTAAGGAGCGCAAAGGACTGCATCCTTAATGACTTCTGCAATGAATGATTTAGAGCCCGAGGCTGTAGAGAACAAGCGAAGAACAGCTGAAGAGAGGGGAGCAGAGAAAGACGAGGGAGCCGAGGAAGGAAAGAGAGATAAAGAGAGGATGTCAAAGAAACTAGATTTAAGGTTAAGAGGGAGGCAATAAAACAGAGTGAGATACAGAGAGAGGTAAAGAGACTGGAGCAAAGGTAAAGCAAAGAAAACAGAGTGGAGAGTGAGTGAGAAGCAGCAGGCTTTCAGCTTTAATCTACAGAGACTAGAAACTAGAACAAGACATATTACCTACATTTTCTCTCCTGCTGCTAACAATGACCCAGTAAGCTCCAAAAATACTCCACCTGCACTCTCAGTGTCTTCAAAGAGAGAAAGAAAACACAAAGTTATTGTATGTAAAACACATGGCGCAGAGTTCAGTAAATAAATCATGCTCCGCTCTGCTCCCCTCAGCAGCACGCACGACTCCGCGCTCCGCTCCATCGACACAGATAACCCCCGCCATGAAAAAGTCATGGCAATTAAAACATGCAAATATCTCAGCGCTCCAAAGGGGTGTCAGTTTGGGTTTGGCGCAGACCGTTACATCATAAAACAGAGAAAAAATAAAACACCAACAAGAAATTAAAAAAAAAAAAAAGACTTGACAAACGCTTCTGAACTATTTGTAGAGCTGCCAGTGAGGCATCAACAAGAGGAGGATACAGAAACAGTCTTTGCACATATCAGCTCACATTATGAGACCCGGAGAGGAGCTGGAGCATGCACTGATGCTCCTGGCCATTTAGTTAAGTTTGGGACGACAGAGCGGGGTTGTTGCGTATATGCATCTTGCCGAGACATCTCCAGATGAGCTCTACAAGCTGAATATGACATCAGGCCTCTGCTGAGCAAAGCCCTGGGCTCACCAAAGTCTAAAAACTGCATAAATAACACTAAAGGTTTTCTACAGCTGGGCAGAAAATCAATATAATCATGTAATTAAAGTGATTACCAAATAAAAACAGCCTGTCTGCAAACTGGGGCGCATGTATACCTCTGTTTGAATGTTGATTAAAGTGGATTAAAGTCCATTCATCTCAGAAAATATGAATACATACATTTAAAAAAATTGTCTTCTCTTTAATTTTTTGTGTTTCACAGTAAATATTAAATTTTAAACAGAGTTATACATGTTTGGTTCACAGATTCACTTCACAAATGAACTTTTATTCCCACTGTAGAGCTCCATCTATTAATGCTGAGGTGAATTTTTAATCTGCTTTCTTTAAAACTATTTGCCTTGAGCAAAGAACGTCAGACAACTTCTGAATAAATCTAATGAAATGTTTGAGAGACACTACTTTCAGAAGACAAGAAAAACAAAGACCGCTTTGTCCACAGGGGGCGCCAAAACTGACACAGACCAGAAGTTCCTCGCTGGAGCTTTAAGTCATACTAGTTAAAGTCATACTGCAGCATGTCTTAAGTTTGGATAAAGATGTTCTCCAATTGATTTTCACAGAAATGATCTTTTTTTTACATCTTCACAACTGCATAAAATTTGAGAAAAACCCAGAGTTGAGAAGCTGTTGTTGCAGTTTTGCATTAAAGTTCATCTTCTCTTCATAATCAAATATATTTGCTGCTTGAAACCCCTCATAAACATTCCTATAAGTTGTTCTGGATACTTGTAATCACTTAGTAGGATTGTTATAAAGATATTTTATGCATATATAGATTGTATAAATGTGGTTGAGTCATTTACAGTCCGTTCTCCTTTTAGCTGATTGAGGCCAATTCCCCCTGAGCTGTTTTTTCAGCTCTGTTTAAATTGATTTCCTGAAGATATATTGCATGTACTGAGTAAAAGCAAATTACCCACTCTTCGAGCACGACTGTGTTACTTACAGAATAAGACTCTCCTGCATCTTAAATTTTTCTCCTTTTTAAAGATATCGAAAAACCTACAGGTAATTAAATCTAGAGGTGGAATTCCAAAGACGGAAACTTTACTTTCATCCATTTAAAGTACTCTTAAAGCTCCTGTGAGGAGTTTTTTATGTCAATGAAATAGACTGAAATTCAGATTGAAGCCTTTTTATGATGTACAAAAGCAAACAAGACTATCAGTTACAGGGTAGACAATATTTATACTGTAATTTTCAATGCCTGACAGCGGTGAAAGGGGAAGAAACTGCCCTGTTTTTACACTGTCTCCATAAATATTAACAATAAATATTAAACTGACCATCAAAACTCAGCAGTATAGGGTTTATTTGTCAGAAAACATTATGTAATATGTATAGGAAAAGATAAGCAGAAACTGCTTTCTCCACAGGGGGCGCCAAAATCAGCACAAACCAAGAGTTCCCAACTGGAGCTTTAAGGTGAGAAAACACTCAGGAAACATGCTAACCAGCCAAACTTGGAAGTTAGCCGAGTTAAAGCGTAAACATCCGAATTCCAGCGCTGCTTACACTTTGTTTCAGCCAAGTGGTTTTACGCTAGTTTAACCAGACAACTTTACCTCCCATTTCTAGATCAAAATACTGCAAAGCCTCGCCACATTACGCCATCTGTCCTCTGTGCTTGTTTACATCCTGGTAGTAGACCAGTGAAGCAACCTACAGCATTACAAGTGGCTGTGCTATGACTTAAACACCATATGACCAGCATTTTAGGTGTACAGAAATATAATCATTTGTAATAGTCTTTAAAAAAAATTCTGGTTGTGTGATGAAATTCCTGCAGCTGGGTATCTCAAAATAAGGTCACTCTGTATCTTAATCCTAAAAGCAAAGTTTTCACCCATATCTCCCATTTAACTTCCTGTGTGACTGCCATTATCAAGTCTTTTTGCATGAATGAAACATCTTTAAACAAGTGGAGCAGTCATGTAAGCAGTCAACTTTTAACTTTTTGACACACTTTTTCCATCCCGGCAGGACAGGCGCAGCGTCATGTGCTCCATCTCCAACTTCATGGCTTCTTCTTGCTGCCTCACAGTACAAGCTTTCCTAAACATTCCTCTGTTTCACATGCTTTTACTCTGTAATCTCTCATCCACTCTTTGCCCCATGACTTATTCATACTGATGGATTTTCCCTGTTTACAGCCTGATCCGTCTTTTCCCACAGTCAGCGCCTCGTAGATTTGGCCGTGTGGACCTACATGCTTGAGTCATGGGTACACTAGAGTTACCTGTCCTGCAGCTATGATAGCATGTCTTTCTAAAACAGTCTATAAAGTAAAGTGAGGTTTCAGACACTGTCCTCAAAATCATATTAAAGCACATTTAAGGCAATCAAAGGTTTCTTAAAAGAGCAAAACGTTTCCATCGTTAAACTAAAAGAAGAGGTTAAACAAAGTCTGTTATTTTTAACAAGTTAAGAGTAAGTTTTCTTGATTAACACCAATAGTGAACTCTTTATGCTGCAAATCCAAAGCTTTTAAATTACACATATTGCATAAATATCTAGGTCCAGTTATCAAACACACTGTAGGTGCTAAATTATCAATAAAGTTGACTTCAAAAACTCCCAAAGACAGACGTTCGAGTCTGAGACACATGATGTTGACGTTACTGCTTTGCTTGCGTGTAGACAGATGGTTGCTACAAAGCTAACAAAGCAGAAACGCGCCGCCCTGAACTGTGTGAGCCATCCTGTGTGCTGAATCATCAAAAAAACAAACAGGCGTTTATGGACCTGCAGGTGGCTGGAGAAAACAACGAGAAAACAGTTTGTCAATGATGTAGAGAAAATTGGAGGAAAGCTAACACCGTCTGCCATTTTTGCGTTGAAACAAGCCCTGAAGTTGGGGAATCGGCTCTACTTTCACTATGCGAGAGAAATTTTGAACATGCCAGAAATTCATCCAACAGGTCAGAAGCAGTCCCCTGTATACTGCAATGTAAACTATGTGTGCTAGCCAGTCAAAACCACCTGAATATGCAGCCCGGCCTTAGCATGAAGTGGATTTGAAGACTAAAGGCCCAAAAAATTAGCTTTCTCTGCTCTGTTCTTGTCAGTGGATCAAATAGACCCATATTGCTGATTCTGCTGATTCCTCCCACCCTGGACAGCTCCTGTTCAGGTGACACACGGAACAGGTCACTGAGGACTATGACGAAAAGACTAAAAAACAGCTTCTACCCTTGAGCCGTAAGAACCCTGAACTCCTCTTCATTACTCCAATTGGACGAGCACACTCTGAACTGCTAGCACACACCTATTGATTTGCACTATATACATGTTTGTTTTGCATAAATGTTATTTATATTAAATCGTCTATTTTATCACTACTTGTGAGCCGACTGGGCAGCTCTTAATCTCGTCTTGTCATGAATCTGTTTGATGACAATCAAGTGTTTCAATTTAATTCCAATCAATTATTCAAGTCACTGTTGGTCATTAACTCAGCCGTGTGTCGGTGTCACAAGTCCTGTAAGAAATACTTGGCTGAATACTGGAGTCTTACAGCAGGACATACAAGAGAGCAGCTCAAACTGTATGTAACTACACAAGCAAGGGATGTAAACTAGAGAGATGATACTAGAGATACTGTACTGTCAGTTCTTGGTTTCAGACGCTCAGCTGACTGATGTCCAGAAACCAGAAAACACCATCAGTTCTGCTCACACCCAGTTTTCTCTGTGTTTTCTTCTGTCCTGTGTTTATTTCTGCAGTTTCCTTCATGAACTGGTGGACCTCATAGACCACATACGTCACTTTGTCTTTAAAACTTTCTATCATGTTTTCCTGCCAGTTTGCTGATTTCCAAATCCTTTACACTGGCCTTTATCCTCATGCACAAACTGCAGCTTGCGTGCAAACCTAAACATTTATATGAGGTCAAACTCACAAGCTCAAACAAAAAAAAGACTTCAAGTAAAAAGTTTGTGGACAGAACAGAAATAGACCCAAAGGTTAAAGGTCAAAATGCTAGACGAGGTAGAGTAACATCTTCACCTGCAAACACACTTGTATTGGTAGGGTCAAATTCCCTGAAAGAGATATATTTAAGATCAGTAACTGCAAAAAATAAAAATAAAATGTTTCCATCTTGTTTTTTTGTCAATTTATCGTCTGTGTTAATATAACTGTTGCTCTGTCCAACTTCATTTTCCAGATCTCCTTAATGACGAGAGGAACAAACTCGTTGAATTGTGATGGGCGGATCAATACACTTGGCTCAGTCCAGCCTCTCTGATTTGTGAGAACGCCTCAAAAGTTTACTGCTTCACGTATCAGTTGCCTCTGCAGTCTTGAGAGTCAGTCGATACTTGAAATCCAGCAGATGAGGGGAGAGAAAAAAAGCATGTTTCCCTCTCTGTTCCAGCCTTCGTCTCCTCCATTTTCTTCCTCTCGCTAATGCACTCCTGTCATCAGGGAGTTGGACAGCATAGTGCAAGCTAACAAAAATCCACAGTGACGGCAAACCTCTCTCTTAAAACCTTAATAACACAGACAGGGAGAAGTTCAACCAACGGGGAATAGGATGATTTTTTTAACACCGACAACGTGATCATTAAAGGGGAAAAAAGGAGGTGAGGATCAAAAACAATCACTTTCAAACAGTTTGTGAAAAGTGAGGGTCATTCAGGGGATAGAAAACTTGATAAAATGATGAATATATTTCATAGTTTGATGAAAATAAAGCGCATTAAAGTGCATAACACTTTCCAGCTTTGAATGGCTTTGGAGGGAAACCATCACAACCTTTTTCGGGGTTTGCCCATGAATTATTCAAAGGTAAGTCAGTGAACAATTGGGGCAGAGCCACAGCTTCCTGAAAATAAATAAATCACAACACTATACATTTAATAAAAGCCAGAGTGACGCTTTGACTGCATATTTTTTCACTTCTCACAACTCAGCTCACACTTTTCCACCTCACAGCCCAACCTGTCCTCACCTGAACACAAACACACAAACTCAGGGAGGGGAGGGGAAGGGTATGGATCACTCTCTGTCATCCATGAGGCAGGAGAGGAAAGCCAACTCCCTCTCAAACACACACAAACACAAACACAACTCCTCCGCCTTCAGGTACCTTGCAGCTGCCTGAAGCGTCCGTCCAGGATGGAGTTGAAGCAGATGTTGGAGGTGCTGTAACTAAGCCAGCGAGCCCTCTTCATACTTTTTGCTGAGGAGGACGAGGAGGAGGAGAGGAGGGCAGGGGTAGGGTGTGGGTGTGGGTGAGAGGTCCGCTGACGTCTGGGGGTGCAGGTGGAGGACGAGGAGGAGGATGAGGAGAAGGGGGAGAGCCCCATAGGTGTCACGCTGAGCGGGATGTGCAGGAGGGTGCCGTTCTTCTCTGGGTGGTGTTCAGGTTCCTGCTGCTTCCCACCACTGCTGGTCCCCCTCGTGGTGGTCTTCCTGATTTCAGGTTTCTGGGCCCGGTGCACCGGCGGGGTGCTCTTACTCCTGCTGCTGCTCATCCCGACCCGAACAGGGGGGTCTCTCTCAGCATAAGTCCGACCGGGAGCCTCCTTGGCGGCTCCGCTGCTGCTCCGGATGGCCGTGGTCTCCCTGCTGCTGGCCTTCAGGCTGATCTTGACCTCTCTGAGCCGGGGTTGGCTGATCGGGGCGGCGCGAGGCAGCAGGCACGGGCTGCTCATCTTGACCCCCCAAAACGACTACGACAAGAACAACACAGCCTGGAGCCGGCGGCGGAGGAGCTTGGCACTCCACGTCTCTCCTCCTCTCTGTCTCTTGGCTCTCTGTCCTCCTTTTTTCAGATCCCTCTCGTGCTCACTTCCTCCCTCCCTCCCTCCTCCTTCTTCCTTTCTCACTCTCTCTTCGCCGCCGCTGCCGTGATGATGCTCTGCCTCCGCTCTCAGGCGGCACAAGGGCTCCGGCAGCCTTCACTTCAGTTCAGAGTGGTTTCTGTATCCCCATCCATGCATACAATATGTCTCAATAGGTCCACGTGTTCCCACAACCCCCTCCCTCTGCCAGGCACTCCCACACAGTCGTGACATCACTGGATGTGAAATGTAAGGCTGGCACTGTTGTGATTTCCTGTGCCAACACTCGGACTTAAAACTACCCATCTCACTGTGATGAATCTTTATTTAGCTCTGTGTAAGGAGACGGTTCAAACGTCTGGATATTTGATATGTTATGTACGCACTTTGAAGGCACGCTGGGTGAATATTTCTGACTTCACAAGCCGTAAATCAGCAGCGGACGTCTTTCAGAGCCGCGCTCATCCCCTGACTCTCCCGTCACTATCCTCTTCTCCCTCTCTCTCTCTCTCTCTCTCTTTCTCTCTCACTCTCTGTCTGACAGGAAACTCTGATTGCATTACAGAAACATCAGTGCAGCAGCACTCTAACATAATATCACAAACACCCACACAGAAGCCTTCATCACTTAAAGAGACAGAAAGATGCAGCAAACTAAAGTGGTGAGAGTACTGCCCCATAACCGGTCCGGACACCTCTTTAAATATTTCGCCCACCTCGATGTAGAGTCAGATATTGAACCGCAGGACCGCTTTTGTTACACAGAGTGATGGGTGTGAAGCAGAGTGCTGAAAAGAGGAATCATTCAGTCCCAACCCTGTTGTTTGCTCCCAGCCTGAGGCCGAATGAAACATCCAGAAGGAGACAATCACAAAAACAGCTCACAGATACAGAGCTGCTCTTTTTTCTGGGTTCAGTGCCTAACTTTTTACTACTCGGCACTGGAGATGGGCGTTAAATTATCTTCCATGATAAATGGAGGATTTATAAATGGGATAAATACAAGCCATTGCCCATACAGAGCAGAATAACAAACAAACATGGCTGAAGGTAATGAAGAAGACGTTTCTGAGCAGGTCGTTACTGAACGAGGCTCCACATGAGGGATTACCTTCAAGATTGGGGCTTAGACAGTCGCAATCAGGTATGTCTGACATCAGACAGTGGATCTGCTGCTGTTCACTCTGTGCAATGAGAGTTTTCAACAAATGCTGAAAATGTTTTCACATTTGAGATTTGTTTGATGTCATTAGTTTTCTCCATGACCTACCCACCGAGCATTTTTTGGTCTAAAAGAGGTCTAACAGACGTCTAAATGTAGTCTAGACGACTGGTCTAAAATCAGGCTACCACAGGTCTAAAAATGAAAGTTTTTAAACGTCTGAATTTAGAAGTTTAGACTAGCCAGCTAACAGAGGTCTACCTGTATATTGCTCAACGGCTATCATAATTATTTTGGTTTAGTGCTCGGAGATCAGTTATGCAACTCACAGATGCTTTTTGAAATAAATAGACATCGACTAATGGGTTAAAGTGCAACATCTAAATTCTGTCTAAAAATATACAGAATCTAGACGGTTGAAATCAGGTCTAAAAAAACAAACTAGACGTCTAATAGCCGTCTATTGCTCAGTGGGTACCACTTCAACTTGTGGTTAAGTATCTTATTTGACTACTCCAACTGGTGTCCTCAAGACAAAATGAGTCAAAAATATCGATCGGAATTATAATATTTTTTAACTGGACTTTTATCGTTACCGCCAGGATGGCAAATCTTATCTTGATAAACTTTTTTAGTCCATATCGCCCATCCCTACTTGACACTGTGGTTCTACGCAGAGATCGATTATTCAGCCTCACCAACCAATTAGAGTGGTTACTGTAAATCGTCGGCAGCATTGTCAGACTGGTAGTATACCACGCACATGAAAAAAACAAGACGCCATATGTTATCTGTGCTTGTTTACATTCTGGTTGCAGAGCTGTATAACTGTTCTAGCTAATGGGAGGTAGATGCACAACAATTTACACCAGATATGACTGACATTTCAGGGCTTCAAGTATGATATATGTAAATAATTCGCTTCATTTTCCAGTGCTGAGGCTGCTGCTGGGGCTCCCTCCTACAGAGACGTGTTAGCTGGGTTAATGAGGAACTCTAACCTGCCAATAGGAGTGTAAGAAAGACTGGTGGTTTGTCTCTGTAAGTCAGCTCTGTGATTAACTGGTAATCTGTCCAGGGTGTACCTGTCCCCACGCCCAGTCACAGCTGAGATTGGCTCCAACCCCAAGTGACTCTGAACAGGACAGAAACGTGGAAGAAAAAACCATTTAAAGTTTTGTCTGCACAAATTAAATCAAGCAACAACCTTCAGGGTTGAAAAAAAAAGGAAAAAAAGTGTAAAAACTGCAGTTCCTTAAGTATCCACTGGGGGCTGGCTGCAAAAGCTGATGAATCCTCATATTAGATCATAGAAATCTTCATTAACATGTTTGCAGCCTCAGTTCAAATGAAGATTTTGGCTGACAGCATATTTGGTGAACATTTCTCATAATTCATCCATGTAGATATTTTAGAGGCCGGTGGTTATAAATACATTTATATTATTGGGGGCACAGCTGACTTTACTGACAGGTGAGCATCTTAGCTGTTAGCCTGTAGGCTCCGAGCCCACGCCACCTCTTCGCCCGTATCTATATTGACCAACAGTTAGGCTCCCAATATTTCCCTTCTACTTTACAGGTAAAATTATTGGTTATTGTTGGTTTCTGTTGGTTTTTCTGGGCTTTTTGGGGCGATTTTTGGGGCGTTGGAAAAACACAAACCAGGGATGAATCACCAGATTTATCCTGTAGGGATGAAAGAAATCTGAATCAAAAGTTTCCAGAACTTTACCTTTTGTATATCGATCCTGGTGTTTCGCACCTTAGGCAACATATCCTCACTTGGATCCTCACTAAAAACCTAAAGTGCGTCCCCCTGAGAGCTGAATCCATGTTTTAGCACCTTGTGGCTGACCTCTCTTATGTGTTCAGCTTTACAAAAATAAACATGGTATGACCCTCAGCTCCCCTTTTTCTGTTTTGCTTCCTCCCACCTCCGAAACGCCGCTATTTAAAAACCCCGGCAGCTGCCCCACAGGTGGGTCACAGCCTTCCAGCTTAGCCAGAAATGCCAGAGATGTGTGCAATGGGAGGCAGACAGGCAGGGCAGCTGTCCAGAACGGTCAGACAGTGGACATTCAGAGAATGTGCAAGTGATCCTGGTTCCTTTCTGAGGGTGCGGAGCGGTGTCAGGGCTCAGCTGCTGAGAGTGTGTGACATCAGGAGAAATATACACACACACAAACACACGCACAAGGACACCTGCAGAGCTCTCCATGGAGCTTTGGAGTGAAATAATAGATCACCTGCGGTTTTATGTTGTCCTTTTTTGACTCAGTTTTTGTGAAGGTCAGTGAGAGTCATACAGAAGCTTAAAATAGCTCTCCAATCTCCCTTCCCACACTTAAAAAAGACAGTCATCTCAGAAATCTGCCGCACACATACCTCTGAGAGGACACAGCCTGTTTACTATGCACACACTCACCTGCGAGGGCCTTGATGCGCGAGCGTTCAAACAGCCGCGCCGAGCTGTTGTCGTTGTCGAGCTCCTCGTCGGAGAGGTCGAAGCGGGTGTTGATGTGGCTGTACTGCTGCGTGATCTCCGCATTGTCAAAGTCCGTGGTGGAAGTCATGGCGGTAGCCAGCGTGGCGAGCGGGCGAGGGGACGGCAGCAGGCGTCCTCAGGGTGGTCCGGGGTGTGTGTGGGGAAATGAGTGGAAACAGGAGGATACAGGAGGGGGTCTGAAAGAGAGGAGAGAGACAGACAGTGGAGGTGTTATTATGACTGATTATGATGATTAACGGGGGATCAGCACACACAGGAGAGGGACGCTGAGGCCACATTAATTATAAAACCATACCAGACATCACTCGCATGAAAGCAGAGGACATTCAAATATAATACCTCCTAGTGTGGCTTCCAATTTGCTGAATAATCCATTCGCAGATATAAAAAAGTTTATGAACTTTAATTATCAGTTTAGATGTTTACTGTGGGTGCAAAGTTTTTCGAGAGTGGTCAAACATGTGATTTAGACCAGAGAGTGAACATTTCAGTGAAAACACAGGGATCTTAGGTAATCAAATGTTAAACCTTTTACATATTACCGAACCTAAGGGGGGACAGAGCCTTCTCCACTGCTGCCCCAACTCTCTGGAATTTACTCCCCAAACCCATCCGAGGCTGTACAGAGTACAAATCACTCCTAAGAACACACCTTATTAATTTAGCTTTTAACCTGTGGACTGATCCTTTATTGTCTTTTCATATTGTGTCTTTTTTAACCTTCTACACTGTGGGTCTTATTACTCTAAATTTTCTGTATTTTAAATTGTGTTTTTTTTTGTTTGTTTTTTTGTAAAGCATCTTTGAGCACCTGTAAAAGCATGTTATAAATAAAATTAATCATTATTGATATAACGATTATTGTTATAATGATTATTGTTATTATTATTGATATAATAATAATAATAATAATAATAATAATAATAATAATAATAATAATAATAATAATAATAATAACAATAATTATAATTATTATTATTGTTATTATAATGATGATAATAATAATAATAATAATAATAATAATAATAATAATATTGTTGTTGTTGCTGTCATTATTATTATTATTATTCTTATTGTTGTTTTTGTCATTATTATTATTATTATTATTATTATTATTATTATTATCATCATCATAATTATTATTTTTATTATTTTTTATTATTACATTTGCATTAATATAGAAACAGTTTTTTTCATTATCAAAGTTTTTTGCTTTAAGCTGAATAATGATGAGATTATTTGCGTTCTTTACCCAGAATATACAGTAGCAGCTCCACTGTAGGTAAACCAGGCAAATACGATATTATCTTACCTTCCCCTAATGTTTTAAAGCTCATGTGAGAATTTTTCAGCCAAAGATATGACTTAAGCTAACTAGCCGCTTAGAAAACAGTCAAAATTGGGAAAGATTTATCAAGCACAGCCAAACACGGGATCACAGAGTCCGTGGGTAAACAATCTTGGTTTGCAGAGTGTGACTAACATTAGCGGAGTGAGGTCCCCCTTGCACGTCCACATGCCTGTGCTTGATCTATATTACTCTGCTCGAATGCCAACACAACCAGACACAGCCTACAGACAACTGTAACTCCACTACCCAGATCAAAATACTGCAAAACCCTGCTCGACTGTGAGACGCCATCTTCTGTTGATGGTGGGTGCAGCTAAGATACAACATATGGCCATCATTTTAGGCCTACAATAATGAAGATATTTATGTTTATCGTGTTTGTTTTACAGAGTGGTAAATGGCTTTAAAGAAGAGGGGGATTTTCTAACTAGACAAAACACTACCATCAACAAATTATTCACTATGTATTTGCTATTGTGGTGGAACTCTGTCCACATCCTGCCTATTATAGTTGTCACACTGGCCCCATGCTCTGGCTCCTGTGCCCCTCATAATCTCCATTTTGCGCGTGCTTTACTCAACTGTCACCCTGCCGAGTGTCTGACTGTCTATTCTCTGTGTGGAATGGCGGGCTGAAGGGTAACCGCTCAGATAGCTCTATCTGTGAGCAGCATAGCTCTCTTATCGTACTTCACAGGGGGAGGGGAACCCCTCTGTACTGCAGAACATGACGAAGAAACCGCTGACTTTTTGAATGATGCGCCTCACGTATTTCGAATTCTGAGTGCGCGCGCGTGTTTGTGCGTTTCTGCTGGCAGGTATTTGTGAGTTTAAGCCTGTGAAGTGAAGTGAGGCGGGGGGGATCCAAGTTGAGTTGATGCTGAAGTACAAAAGAAAAGAGAGAGAAGGGCCTCCGGCAAAGACGTCGTGGCTGAGAATGCAAAAACAATTGCGAAAATAAAGCTTTTTTTGTTTTATTTTTAGAGTTGCAGATTAAAGGGTTGGGACTGACATTTCTCTGAGTTCACTGATTACTCATTCGGATGAAAATTGTTGATTAGTGTCCAAGATAACAGCCCAAAATATCTTATTTTGTCCACAACCCAAGGGCTACTTCGTTTGGTCTCAAGAATCCTGATAAAAACTATAATCAACAAGATTAAAATCAAATATAGATTGAGACGAATTTATTTGTTAGTATCGAACTAATTAAACTAGTATCTCTGTTTAACATTTGGAGATAAATTTGAATCATAATTTAGAGGAAAAATCATAAAGTGGCTCAAAATTATAATCGATAGTCCTTCAATTTAAGTCAAAATGCAGGTAAGGTGGTATAAAATGGGATAAACTTGGAGAGTGCTGGCAGTGAAACTATACTAAAATTCTGTTCCTTTGGCACATTCAGAAAAGAGGCCCTCAGTGATGCACAATGATGGCACTCTGCAGCACAGGTCTCCCTCCTCCCCCTCAGTATCAGTCCCCTGCAGACAGCAGTTATCGGTCTGGGGATGCTCCACCCACAGACGGGGATCCCCTTATCACCTCACACACACACAACCTGGACAGCACTACCACACAACCTCTTTACACTCTGTACAAACCTCCTTACACACCGTTCAAACCCACAAACTGTCCGCTGTAAACCAAAACCCGTAGCGGTGTCGAAGAACCGGCGGGCTGACGAATAAAACCACGGCGAATCATGTGTGCAAGCTGAGACTTTGTGATACTGTCTGCTGTTTGAAGGAGAGCTGCTTCTGAGAGACAGTCCAGTGACACCAAGTTCACCGCCTGCCATCGCTTGTGTGTGTCTGTCAATAATGAGGCGTCCTCTCTTGGTGTCCTTGAGCGAGACACGGGATTCTTACACACCTGCTCCCTCACAGCGGGTAACCTTGTCAGCTACAAGCTCCTGTGGTGCAGAATAAAAGTCTAAACCTCCCTTAATAACACAGAGTCACCTACAAAAGGTAGCAGCCGCTGAAATACCTTCAACTGAAATGCAAGACATTTCTATTTCAGCTGAAAGGTGATGACAAAGTCGCTGAATACTGACTTGATTCATAAAAAAGAAAAGAAAAATCTCATTCTGGTGACTTTTGATGGTCGAATGTTTCAGGAATGGCTCGATAAAAATCGACAGTCTTGTCCCTGATGGTCTTGTTTGCCCTTGGACATCATGAAAAGGCCTCACGTTGCATAGTTTTCATAGCTTATGTGCATCTCAATTTCTGTTTTTTATTAATGTGCCCCAAGGACGGCAGAGTCAGTAGGAAAGTAGGGTGTTATATCCTCGATCCTGCTTCTCGTATGCTCCTGGACTGTCCTTTAGCAAGACAGTTAACCCCAAACTGCTTCTGTGAGCTGTGCCAGAAGCTGCAGTTTCTAATAAAGAAGAAAAAGAAAGTATACTCCATATATCTTTGCAAAGCAGGGTCCTATGAACATGCGCTTATGGAGAGATGCTGGAGTGAAGAGATGTGCACACACACATGGTCGCCCTGAGATTAGGTGCCTTGCTCAAGAGCAGCATTGTCCAGGAGAAAACTGACCTAATATCTAAACTTAAAGGGATATTCTGGTGTAAAATTAATTTAGGGTCAAACACACTGTAACATCGAGTTAGACACCCCCTTGAGAGATGAATGCCACCAACCACTTGCTTCTCTAGTTATACCAACTTTAGTAACGACCGCACGATAGCAATACACAGCTGTCTGAGGAGCCATAAACAAACCTCAACCAAAACGCCACTCTATAGCCACAAATAATGCTCAGAACAACACGGAACTTCATCAACAGGACATATAGGGTCGTAGCCACAGCACTAGCCACCAAACATCTTTTTAGCTTTGCCTAATTTCTTCAACAAAGAGACTAAACACAACTCACCTACTCTCTTCCAGCAGTCGCTTGTTTGTAGCCAGACCTTGGACCAGTCCATTACGGACTACAGCGGGTGACGCAGCTCAAGGAAGAACATTTATGATCATTACTTCATGGAAATGCAATCAGACCGAGACGATAAGTCTAAACTAAACTAAATTACTTTCACATCGAAATACCCCTTAACCGAGCTGCTGTCGTCTTATGATGCTACAGAACAAGGATTATAAACCAAGGTAAAGACATTTTTATTTACATGTTACTTTAAAGGATTGATAAAATCGTTCATTCTTATTTTTCCTCAGCATTTTATCCCCATACTGAGTTTTACCATTTCTCATACATTTGAAATGAGGATGATAGAAACTGTACGTGTTATTTGCTTACACTGGCCTCCGCTGATAACACATTACATTATACTCAGGCATTTCCTCGTTAATCTTTCTATCACTTGAAATACATAAAGTCCCGGCAGCTCATGCTTCAGTAAATACACATTTTTTCAATCCGCACATTACGAGCTGATGAGGAAGTGGTGCTGGATAATCTCTCATAAGTTGAATTAATGTCAGGACGGTGATTAAAATGTCGCCTGGAAGTTTTCGAGATAACCAAGAGCTGCTAGACCTTGGAAAAGAAAAATAATTTACATCTAATGTGGACAGAATTCATGTGTCTGTGGATGCTGCTCTAAAAACTTTCTCAACAGTTTAGGAAAATGGATAAAAAGGTGTGAATGAGTTTTCACTCTTAAGATTTGCTGAGTTGGAATATAAGCAAAACAACTCCTCGTTTGTGAGGTGTGAAATAGCTTTTGTTTCATGATAACTTTTCTGCTGTTTGTGACTTTTTAATGAAGTGTACCCCTTTTCTTTTCTCTGTTGTTCCTGCAAAACCCCACCGTAAACACGCATGAGCAATATAAACATCAAACCAGCACCTGCGAGATGAGTAATAACCTCGCAGAGCTTGCTCCCAGCTGTAAGTACACTCCTTCTGGATGCACTCTGAGGGGCAGAAATGCATTAGCTACAGCTATAGGGAGTACATTATTCTGAGTCAGATGGAAGGGATGAAATAAGAGATGGGTGTGGTGAAAATGGGAACCTACAGCGTCTGTGAAACTGTAGCAGCAGCAGCAACTGGACTGAGGAGAGGGAGACCTACGTATGATCCAGGAGCGAGTAAATCTGAGACATAAACACAAACTGGATCAATAAGGATGGAGGAGGCAGAGAGGGGAGGCTGGTTACTGGATTGAGTGACCACCAGAGTCTGCAGCTTCAACGTTCCCCTCTGACTGTAAATATCATCTCAAAACTAAGCACTACACTTCTGTCTGACAAGATCTGAGGAGCGTAATCTATACTAAACATCGATTATGTACACAGACTGTGAAAAAATACCCCTCTGATATGGTCATTATTGTTTTGACTGCAGCAACACAAAGCCTGATCTTGTGAGAGATTATAATGAATCAATAGTAAACTATTCCTGGAGAGTGTTTACATTGAAGTCCCTGCTGGTCCAGACGTGGTGACACACACTTGTCCTTTTAAGGGGAGTGAGGAGAAAGGTCTGTTTTGCTCTGGGAATATTTGATGTCTTTGTTACTAAGAAGCCGCCGCACTGTTTCAAAATGAGGATGGGATAAACATTTATGTCAACAGAAAACATGTAGTCATGGAGAGTTGCACAAGCAGGATTTGACAAAACACAAAGCCTTAGGTACAGTGTCAGGGGTCAGATATACTATGTGGAAGCTTTAGCCAGCTTTGAGATGTTATGTGTAAAGCATGTGGCAAGTTTTCTAAATAATCATATGACTGCTTTTACAGATTGAACGTAGATCTACACAGATATTTCTTAAAGCTGACCTGACAGACCACAAAAACACAATACTTGAACAGAAAAGCCTCGATAACAGCAGGCTAACACAGGGGTTCTCAAATGGTATCACTCTGGGACCCACCTTTTATCCATGGTCCTTAAGTTGCGACCCACTTTTATAAAATTCAAACCAAGTGAATTGATTTCTTATATTAAAAAAAACTTTAAAGACTCAAATCTTTAACATAAATACACCCATTTTATTGAGTAAAGTGCATTTCAGAGCACGTGAACTGAGGACGACAACTACCGAAGTTGCATATACAGAAAATATCGAATATCAAATTGTACAAAATGGAGAGCAGTAAAATGAAAAATTTGACTTATATGCATCTCTGCATTCAGAGCATACTCAGACCATGCAACGTGCCTTTCAATATGAGCTACTTTTCAAAATAAAAGACATGACAAAAATCAGATGTGCATTAAATATTTACTTTTTTGACCAGCTGTTCGCGACCCATCCAGAACGTGTCCGCAACCCACTTTTGGGTCGGGACCTACCAGTTGAGAACCACTGGGCTAACGGACTAAGTACTGTAACATTTAAAGGTCATTTTTCATCATTAAAGTCCTTATTAAGTTCGCAGTTTGAATGTATTTTAAGTTTTTGTTTGTGTACTTACAAAACATACATTTCTCAAGATATTCAAATGACCTTGTTTAGACCTTGCTGCTGCCCTTTTCCCCTCACCTCTTGCTCCTGTTGCAGAAAACTTTGCAAAGATGCACTTGTTCGCAGCCGTGCGCAATGACGTCACTGTGCGCACTTTCCGAAACGCCCATGTTATAGTGAAGAGATAAACTGATAACCTCAAAATATCAGCATGATTAGAAACCTAAATTTAATTATGTTTCTGAACAGGTCCGCGTCCCACTTTTGGGTCAGGACCCACCAGTTGAGAACCACTGGACTAATGGACAAAGTACGGTAACCTTTAAAGGTCATTTTTCAGGATGTAAAGTCCTTATTAAGTTCGCAGTTAGAATAGATTTTAAGTTTTTGTTTGTGTACTTAAAAATGATTCATTTCTTAAGACCTTAAAATGACCTTGTTTAGACCTTGCTCCTGTTGTAGAAAACTTTGCAAGACGCACTTGTTCGCAGCCGTGCGCAATGACGTCACTGTGCGCACTTTCCGACGCGCCCATGTTATAGTGAAAAGATAAACCGATAACCTCAACATATCAGGCTAATTAGAAACCTAAATTGAGTTATATTGCTGAACTTTAAATTAACATTCAATATTCGAGGCGCAGTTTTAAAAAAGCATCTTTGTTAAATGGCAGCCATGCAACAGGTGGTTTATTAGAAACTTTATAACTTGAGAAAAACTAACAAAAGTCATGAATGAAGGAGCCCCGTCAAGTTTTTCGGCTACACTCACTTACTCTACACAAACACACGAAGAAGGACACCTTGCTTTACCATTGACTTCCACTTACTTGTTTCTGGATGTTTATCTCGAACCTTTTCCCAGCCAATAAAACACTTTTAATCCCATTGAAGCAGCAGGGTCCTGGTCAGTGCGGACGTTGGTCTCCACAGCGCGAGGAGGGCACGGGGGACGAGGGAAAGGGACTGCAGGCGCCGCGCGCTCCACGTTCATTCCCGAAAGCCAGCGAGTGACCCACCCTGCGGGGTTAAAAATAAAGTGGGCGCATCCAGTACATGATCTGTGTGCGAGCAGGGACGGACATTCCTGTCGAGAGTTGGTGACTCTAAATGGCAGAGACACTTGTGATCTCCCGTGCGGCCCCCCCTCCACTCCACTCCCACCCCGCCCAGACCGGGCTCTAATCGCTCATACAACACCCACCAACCCACCCACCAGGACACTTTCACCTCCACTGAATCCACTGCATGTCGTTTACATGCAGTGCAGAGAGAAGGAGGTCTGGACGTGGAGGCAATTCCTGGACAAAGATCCTCATAATAGAAAGATGCTCAACACCTGTTAGAAAATATGAAACAGAGTACATTAACTACAGTAAATACTTGGACTACTTCAAAGTATCTGTTTAAATACTTACTTTTTTGCACTTCACACTTCCAGTTATATACAATCTATACTTGTTTATAAACTTGCAGTTAAACAAGTTAATAAAGGTGACATACTAGAGTCATACTTAATGCAGAAGTGCCAGCTAAAGGTTTTTTTTCCCCCTTGCAGTCAGAATACTTCCTCCTGATACAAAATTTACTTCTTTTACATCCTCCATGCAAAATCAGACTTGATTGGAAATCTCAGAGTAACTCAGGTCATTGCAGATGATTAACCCTTCAATGCCTTTTGTGTCAAATTTGATACGTACTTTTATATACTTCTATCAAATCAATATGTTTAACAAATTACAAAATAATAAAAATGTCCTCTTGTAGTTTATGAGTTTCCAAAATCATCTAATGTATCAAACAAGATGAATAAATATATTTGTTAAATTTTAAGGACATTTTGATTTTTTTGGTTTTCAGTAATAAGTGGAATAAATGATCCAGCTCGAAAAAAATGTGAATCATAATTTGTGGTGTTAGGCATTAAAAGGGCTACAAGAAGCAGTTCAAGTTTCAGCAGATGAACAGTCAATTTAAAGGGATATTCTGGCATTAATTTAATTAAGGGTCAAACGCATTGTAACACTGAGCTAGACACCCCCATGAGAGATGAATGTTGCCGACCGCTTGCTTCTCTAGTTATACCAACTTTAGTGATGACCGCACAATAGCAATACACAGCGGTCTGAGGAGCCATAAACAAACCTCAAACAAAAAGCCACTCTATAGCCACAAATAATGCTCAGAACAGCACCGAACTTCATCAACAGGACATATAGGGTCCTAGCCACAGCACTAGCCATCAAACATCTTAACTTTGCCTAATTTCTTTAACAAAGAAACTAAACACAACTCACCTACTCTCTTCCAGCAGCCTCTTCTGCTTGTTTGACCTCAGACCAGTCCATTACAGACCACAGCGGGGTGACGCAGCTCAAGGAAGAACATTTATGATCATTTCTCCATGGAAATACAATCAGACCGAGATGCTAAGGCAGAAGAACTACCGCGTCTGCAGTGCAAAATGATTAATATGGTGATTATTACTTCAAGGAAATGATAAACTAATGAAAGTATGGTGCGCTTGACCCTAAATTTATTTTACGCCGGAGTATCACTTTAACTGGAGGATGTTTGGAAAATGCACTGACCTCAAAACATAGCAAAAAATAAAATAAATTACTGAAAATACAACTGTATTTATGTACAAAATGACCAAATAAATGAACCAAACAACTTCTAATTAGCAAGTGAAAGCTTTGTGTTTATAATAAAATACATTTACAACTCATCATCAAACATAAATAACATGGCGTCTTTTTTTACACAATAAAATGAGCACTTCAAATATATGTAGAAAGACATTAAAAATCAGTACAAAAAGTGGTCTTCCTTCACTCTCTCTTCAGTATTTTTGTCTTTGGTTACCTGGGGGAAAGTCTTAAGTCATAAACCGAGTGCTGCAGCTGCAGAACTAAAACAGTCCTGAACCTTCAACGTTTGTAAATAATATGGCTTCATATCCGTGTATAGCTGACCTGGCTGTGATAGCTGCTGTCCCGCCTTTGACTCAGCTTCTGCATAGTGTCAACAGTGTACAAAGTAAAAATATAAAAGCACTTCTCAGAACATAACATGAATGAATGCATCAATATTTTGTGCAACTCAGCACCAAGCTTTGCTTATAAAACACAAAGAACAGCATTTTAAACACAATGCAACAAGAACAAAATAAATAGGACTTCAGAAACTGGTGAGAACTTAAGGCCTTAGAATTCATCTTCTGCACTCCTGGGGTGACATATTTAGTCTTTTTCTCTTTCTGTGGCTTTACAGTGAAATAGAAAGGGAGGTCAGGGTCAGCTGCAGTGAAAAGGACTTCAATAAGAGACCTTTGGTTGAACACTACTCATCCTGTGACTTTGTGACTTCAACACTTCTTGACTTTTTAACCCACCACCTCTCTGTAATGCGAAAAAAATAACAGCTTTTCTGCAAAGTGCTGCTGAGTGGTGTTTAAATCCACCTGAACAGACACAACTCTGTAATTTTCCTTCATTTCCTTTAATACAGCACCTGAATATTAAACATATAGCTTAGGGGGAGTGGGGGATTAAGACTAGTAAGCTACTTAATAAAAGGTAAGGCATTCCCTTTTGTCCTTTTTTAAAAATGATTTTAAACAGTGTTTTTAATGTTATTGTTTTACTGACGATACCTGAAATGGAAACTGAACACGCAGGACTGATCAGACACACTCCCACAAAGTGTCAAACTCTTCCCCCTTTCATTTTTCTTAACTTTTTGATGCTCCCTTTCTCCAAACACTCTGACACAGCATCATCTCTAACTCATGTCCTGCAGACTGAGAGTCTTTTTTTTAAGTGATTAAAAGACGCAGTGCCTGATGAGACAAAAAAAAGTTTCTAGTTCTTAGCTTTAAAGATTTTGCATAAAAGTACAAACGTCTTTTGAATGTTTATCAAATATTAATGGGTGTATTTACAATTCATTACAGTCTTTTCAAGTAGAAAGGTTTGGGAAGGGAATAATATTAAAGCTCCTGGGAAGAACTTTCGTTTAGGTTATTTGCTTTTTAAGGTCATAAAGAGGCGTCAATGTGAATTTAGCCTGTTTGAATCCCTCACAGTAGCTCTAAATAAGTGTAACTTTATCATTTCTATTTAAAAATTCTCTGGCGTGAAAACTCTTACATATTGAACTGTGTTTCATTGTGGTAGAAAAAACAAAACAGATTAAAAACTACATTGTGTCAAAGTATTAAGGCTTTTAAAAGAGCTCCATTGCTGATAGTTATCAGAAGATAATGTAAAAAACTAACCTGCAATTAAGCAGTTAAATGAATTAGCTGTGGGAATTGCTGCCCTGGATTTTTAATCATCAAGCTTATTTTGTCTTTTCAGGTTGGTCCTTCAGAGTCGACAACAATCTTTGGTAAAAAAAACAAAAACAAAAACAAGTCTGATTGTTACAAGCGATAATCTACATTACAAATATAAAAATACAGTTTCAACATTTATTAAAAAAATACCTTCATAGAAAAAAAAAAGCTGCTTCAACTTTAAAACTTGGAGTCAATGTAACAGTGCTCTTAGAATAATAAAAATAAAAGTCAAGTAAATAGTTTTCAGGTGCAAAAAGTTAAAGACAGACTAACTCCCTGCTGGGGACAGTTAAGTCCAAGTGCTCACTGCTAATATGTCTTCATCCCGGGGATTTAAGACGAGAGGAAGACGTCAAGGTCGGCGATGACAGCGGCTTGTCTTCTGGCCACAGTGTTTAAAAGTCGGGGAGGAAAAGACGGAGTTCCAAGGTCCACCTGGAAAAGAACAAAATGATACATCACTGCCTGGAAACCATTATCTTCACGGGATAGACTGATTTATAAAGGATTTTACTTTTAGACCGCTTTTGAAAATCCTCTAAATGAAGTCTTTAAAAATGCATTAAAATGATGGTGATTCTTTAAAGAACTTGAGGATCATTATGGCTGGTTCCAAAAACTGACAGAAAATCCAGAGCTGATCCATTTATTCATACATGTATCTACAACAATCTGACCTTTGTTTAGAATAAAACTTACTTTTACACAAACAAGTTTAGTAGTGTAGACAGACCTTAAAAATATTCATTAATGTCTCATTTCTGAAATCAGCATGAGAACCATGACTGCAATATTCAAAAAGGGTGTGATTGATAGTGACGAGATTATGTCACTGGGTTTGAGTTATCCTCTCTTACATCCAAACTGTACCGGCTGGACAGAACCAGGAGCAGTCTGTTAAGTTTGTATTTCCCTGAAAATCTGTATTTTTATTTTCAGTGTTTTCACAAGTCCACATCAATCAGGGGGGCTATTTTTTTTAAGGGATCAACAAAAAAGAGAAATCCTTCATTGATCGTCACTGCTGGTTAATACTGGAGGTTGTCAGAGCAACTCCAGAGCAACCGTATCGCACCTGTAGCAGGTAGATGACCCTTGTGACTTCCTGTCCATTACATCTGACTGGCTGCAGGATCCAACAACTGGGCATCATCTCCCCTCTGACAGCGTCCACACTCGGACGTGGCAGAGACTCTTCGAACACAGACTGCATTGCCAGCACGTAGCGGCCACCCTGAGGCAGAAAGCAAAGAAGAAAATCATAAATAAAGAAGGCAGCGCTGATGTTTTTTCATCAGCCGAGAGGCAACCGTTCGCTGAAGCACACACGGCCTCTGGGTCACTGTTGTTTACATTCAGTGTTATTTCTATGAGTCCTGTATACACAGCCGGTTCTGGATGCTGTAGATAAGAAACACCACATTATAATGTTTATCATAAATCAATGACAAAGGACACACTTGCCATATTCATGAGAAACTGAGAGGAAACTCTCAAAGCTTAGGCGTTACTGTGGTTGTTCATGCAGCTGTGCTCACCTGTTTGGACGCGGTGCTGATGCAGCAGAAGTCCCGAGGCTGGCTGAGGTGGCAGGTGGACGGATCAGTTAGTATGTACACTAAAAAGGTAGATACAAGGAGAGCATGACGGATGAGAAAATGGTTCATGACGCACTTTTAACGCTTTCGCTGTCGACTAAAAATAAAGCTACAAATGTGTTCCTGGAATATCGAAAACAGGCGGTTCTTGAAAGAGCTTCATGGTTGCACAAAAACTGTTCATTGTTATAAGTTTTCGCAGTTTTAGCAATTCAAAATCTTAGAAAAAGAGACAAACAAACTCTTCTTTCAGCGCTCAGACAAATCTGGATAAAATACGACTTTTCGTCACAGATGAGGTAAAAGGCTCTCAGTGACGTTGTCGAGGTTCTAACACTCAGCAACTTGCTGCAGGTGTGAGACTGGAGTTGATCATGCAACAAACTGGTCTCACAAAGCAGTGATGTATGGGTCTGTGAACCTCCCTGTTCTATACATAGCTAATGAAGCTGACACATCATTTGACGCAGACGCATTTCGAGGGCTCATGAACAGCTTGCAGAAATATAAAAAGTTTTGCAGCACGGACAAAAGTAAAAATATCTTTTATAAAGAGGTGCAAAAGTAAAAGTATTGTTCGTCATCCTCACAGCTGTTGACTGAGCTGACGATGTTGCATTCAACTGTTGGTATGTTAATGTATAGAAAGGACATGAAGATGAGAACTAAGCAGACATGAGAGCTCACCCAGCTGAGTGCTGTCATCTAGTGGTCGTGTCCAGACTGAACGGACCGACTGATTGTACATGTGGCTCTTGGACAGCTGGCAGATTACGTTCCACAGACTGTCCAGGGGTCTGTTCAGCTCCCCGGCCCCCAGAAAAGCATGGACAGACAGGCTGGAGGAGGGCTTGTAGTAAGCCTGGATGGCTCGTTCTTCTCCCTGATATCTGAACAAACACAGTTGAAATACATGAGCAAATGGAGGATGTCTGTGGTTTTAGGGACTGAATTAAGACTCTGCTATGCAGATGATCAATCTCATCGAAAAGCAAAGAAAGAAAAATCCTTGTAATACTAAGAAATTGACCTGAAGGTGTTTTCGGAGGCATTTATAAATTAGAAAAACTGACCTCCAGCCTGCTGTGGCCTTGCCTGTCAACAAGTTATTCAAATCCCCGGAGGACGCCAGGCGCACCTGAGGAGAAAGAAATAGAGATTTCAGCCAGAATAAAATGTCCAAAGGAGAAGAAGAGAGGGACGATTATTAAATATTAAATAATAACAGCATCAAAAATAGCTGGATGTTTCTGGTGAACTGGTACCATAAAAAATATCGAGTCAGTTTTTAACAGTTTGAACCAGGTTATACGCCGTTACCTCAGCCAGAGCTCGACCGAGGAGACTGGATGTGATGTCCTGATAGGTTGTAGATATGGAAGAGGAGGAGCCAAAGGAGGCAGTGCGTTGACGAGGACGAGTAGTTGGTGATGGAGTCGAAGTCAGCAGGGGCTCAAAACTGGTGACAGGAGGCTCAAGGCGGACATCTGGCACAACACACATGGGTATGTTTACAATGCAGAGAATGTAGAGCGACAGACATGAGAGAACTTTAGGGAAACTTTTTTTATAGTTTTAATTAGTTTCTAAATTAAAAATATTCCAAAGTTTCTTTGTGTTTCAAGAGTTCAACTTTATAGAGAAGCCCAAGTCTAACTTCAGTGAGTCACGGTCCAGTTCTTACCGTGGGCAGATAGCCAGACTCTCTGTGTCTTCACGCTTTGAGGACCACATATAGGAGGACGTGTCCTGACCTTCAGCCCTTCTTCCTGAAATCCTGGGACCTGAGCCAACCAGTGACAAAAATAAAACAATCGTTTGTGTTGCTTAGTGACAAAGACAGTTCGACACACAAAACCAGATGAACTATCCGCATACTAAGGTTAATCTTACAGCCCTTTTAAGATAAATGTAAAATAATATAGAAAACATTACATATGTAAGAGTATTTGTCCACACCTGTCCGTTTAGGAGAGCTCTGTTGCCTTGCTGTAGCTGGGTTGTGTTGCCGCTGTTGTAACCTGAAGTTGGTCCAGAGGAGAGGCTCAGGCTGGATCCTGTGCACAAGGTGCTGTTACTGACCCTTGTCCGATGCCTTAAGTCATCCTGTGGTGACAGAAGGATAAAGGTTATTCAGTGAATTTATTTGTTTAAAACTCCTCAAACTCATCTGTCTAAACTCGGGATGTTAGCGGGTAACTGAGTCACTGATTTTTAAAACACTGCTGGAATTTTTGAGATAGAGATCAACAACATGTGGGTCTTAGATTAGATATATATTAAAAATATTTCAGTGTGAACCAACAGACTAAAGGCTCAGCTGCCACCACTGAGGGCGTACTCACAGACACGGAGGTTCAGGACGTTCACAACATTTTACGCCAACTTTGATAAGGGTTAAATTCTCATGTGGAGAAAAGTCAACGCAAAGAGATCTCACAGACGAACAGACAGGCAAACTTAGCACACTGGTATTCCTGCATACAAGCATTAATGCCTTCTGAGTGCAGGTTTCCTGCTGCCAGACTTACTGTGACCCTGCTGCGCTCCTGACTGACACCCGACCATGTGGGCACGCTTATTTTTATCAGCAAGAGTAAGTGGGCTGAAAACTGAAAACTGTGAGCCTGAAATATTTCTCTTTTCAGCTCTCTTGTTGCAGCAGTTCCCTGTTCAGTAGTCTGATCCTCGCTCTTTATGACTTTCTGTCATGTTTTATTTTTTATCAGCCTGCTCTGCATGTTTACATGTATATTCTCTACACACATGTATGCTTATTCTGCGTATATAGCCATACATATAAATATCCCCAATTCTCCAATTTTCCAAGTGTAATATATCAAACATGTACATAAAAGCTGTAAATAACATTCATGTATATATCTTTTTTTTTAATCTTTTAACTCCTGTGTTTCTTCATTCTTAATTTTCTCTTTTCTCTTTTGTATTTATTGAATTTCCCCTTGTAGAACAAATAAATGAATATCTTATATTATCTTAAATTCCTAACATCAAACATGTTGTTTGTGTCTATGTCTTGTATATCTCTACATGTTGTAGCTTTGCTATACCATTAGTAACATTGGTCATAAACAAAATCTAAGTATTCACTGAGTAACTGAATCAATTTCCTGGTTTAAACCAATTTTATTTTTATATAATTTGGGTATAAAATGTGTATTTTATGCCACTGGTTACTTATCAGAAATATCTGATACTGAGACAAAACAGTGACAAATTTATCAGTTTGACTATCATAACTATTCTAGTCCCTACTTGTGTATTGTTTGAAGAAAATGTCCAAACACTATCTGATCAAACTTGATGATTAACTTCTTTTCTTATTTTTATAAGCAGTAAGTGAAAATTTAGTTTTCAGAAGACAGTACCTCCCATTATTATTCAACAAACTGACATGAATACAGAGGTGTTACTACCTGCTCTCCCCCCTGACACAGGTTTGTTTCACCGCTCTCTAGTACGACACTCAAAAACTGACCTTGACTTCCTGAGACAGGGCCTGCTGCTGCAGCCTCCTCTTCTCCTGCTCCGTCCTCTCTCGCAGTCTTTCCCGAGCCTTCGCGATCTCTGTCCTGGCCTCCTCACGAGCTCGGCCGTAATCCCGCAGCAGCTGCTCGATGTCAGACGGACACTGGCCCTCTCCACGTGGAGGCTCTGGTATTCTGTCATGAAGTGAGTGAGGGAGTGAGTTGAATTCGGATCAGTAACAAACACATTTTTTCTCACACATTTTCAGCGCTAAACTAAAACACATCCGAGACTCTTACCTGGTGCTGTCGACCAGGTGCTGTTTTCGCTGACTGGGCGCGGCCGCGGACACTTTGGAGGGCGATGCAGCCTCTTGTGGAGAGGAGTGAAGATGTTTGCCGGGACTCAGGCTGCGGGCTCTCCGATAAGTCTGGAGACGTTCCTCTCTCTCCTGCCTCAAACCCTGGATACTTCTGCGGTGTCTGAGGATGTTTGTAGACAAGAAAAAGGTCAGGATGAAGCCATAAGCAAACAGGGAAACAAGTTTATGTACTCTCAGGGAGCTCAGAGAGAACTGGACTCCAAAAACTATTCAGTATCAAACAAATGTAGTTTTAAACACTGACACACAAATGCTCACAAACCCCCTCACCTGTCATACAGCTGCTGTTTTGTTGGTGCAGACTCTGTTGGCTTCTCTGTGGACCTCGGGGACAGCATCTTCAACAGCGTATCCGTCTCTCCGAGCCCATAATGCAGCTTGGCTTCTGTGAGCTCCACGGTCAGCGGCGTTGGGTTCACGTTGAGGCTCACAGTCGCCATCACCTGCTCTCTCTCCTGCCTCAGCCTTTCGATCTCTCTCGCCCTTCTGCCGTTCTGCACCACGGATTCAACGTGCGAGCCGTAACTCTCCATCTCCGTCCACTCTGCGCTCTTCCTGCTCTTCGTGTTGTCCTTGGAGGGGAACACGGCCTGTTTACTGGAGGATTTTGATTGCTGGTGGCTGATCCCAGACCAGTTGGAGAACTTGTTGTGCATTGGGAGGTCCTCTGGAACGGCCTGTTGGTCCTCACTCGTGGAGACGCTGGTGAAAGGTTTAAAGTTCACGAGGACGTCCGTGTTGCACTCGCTGGGTGCCAGTGACACTGAATCATCCTCCTGAAGTGGAACTGTCTCGTTGCTGGCCGGGGTTGGGTTGTAGGAATCAGCGTAAAAATCTTCAGACTCAGCTGCTGGTTTTGTGAAGCTCGATGTTTCTGAATGTCTAACCTTGCGCTCTTTTGTTGGTCTTCCTATAGAGGAAACTTGGTCCTGCATAGATAAACCTTCCATCAAATTCCATTTAGATCTGTCAGCGTCATAGCTCACATGTCTCCTGCTGCTGTCTGTGCATACATCTAAAGATGAAGTCAGACTTACAGAGCATTTATCGGAGTCTTTCGGGCTAAAGGAACTTATTTCACTCACTTTCTCCAGCGATAAAGATTCTGATCTACATGAAGAAACGAAACAATCCCATCTGGGCATTTTGTCGAACTCTGACGCTGCGGTGCATCCTGACACTTTGCTTGAGGCCACAGTTAGATTGTCTCTTTCAGAGTCACTACCTTTATTCCCATTCTGGTACTTTGAAGGTTGGTGTCCTTTCTGCTTCATGTGTAGTCTTGCTGCCACAGTCTGTATCGGAGATGAAGCCCGGTCTGTGTATGTAGCTTGTTTTATGTGATTGCTCACACAGGCGCTAAGATTCTCCTGGTTTTTTGTCGGGATGCGTTTCTTGTCCAGTGCTTCAGACGGGTTTTGCTTTGAGAGTCTAGAAGAAGCAGATTTAACGCGTCTGTGACATTCACCTGCAGCCTTCAGAGGGGATGCTGGTCCATTCTCCGGTTTTGAGGCGGATATTTGTGCTGCGCTGTTGCTCTTACACCTCAGGTTGGGCATGCTCTGCATCTTCTCATCTGTGCCGGCCTTATTCTTCTTCTCTTGAGACACACTGACAAGCTCAGAGCCGATCACTTTGACGATCACATTGACTTCATGAGGTTTGGATTGTGTATTGGATGTTTGATGGACGGTGGTTTCCTGTTCAGCTGGTACAGAGGACATATCCGTCTGGATTCCAACATCTATGGATGTTTGAGTGGAGCAGTCCCTCATGGTGCAGTCTTTAGACTCGTTGTGAGACACGGTGATATTTGACAGGTTGAAACTCGTCCTCGGGGTGGAGTTGAGGGTCTCTCCGGACCTCATTCCCTGAACGTCCTCCAGCAGGTCTGAGGTGCTGTCGATCAGCTTCGAGATGTGAGCAGACATGCTTTCCATACTGGCCCACGTTGGAGATTCTTTAATGTCAACTTTGGTTTTCATCGATGTGGGCGCGTCTGTTTTACTCCTCTTGTGGCGCTCCTTCCTCTTTGAAGCGCTTTCACTGTTGCAGACTTTGACTGCGTCAGTTTGGGTGCCGTGCTCACACATCCTCCTTTGGGTCCTGGTTTTGCTTTCCTGTGACTCCTGCTCCGAGTAAACAAACATTATTTCATCCACCTGGCTGGAGGTGTTTCCATTACCCCTAGGAGCGTCATTACTAGAAGAACTTTCCGTCAGATCGGTCAGATGTCTGCAAGTTTCCTGCTGAGAGGGCTGAGGTGTTTCGCTCTTCTCTTCCTTGTAGTCCTCCATGCTGCTGAGCGTGCTGGAGAGCCCCTTGTTGGTGGCGTAGGTGCTCAGGTGGGAATTGAAAGGCGAGTTCTGCCCGTTCAGACCGTTGTCCACACTGCAGCATCGTGTGATTCGTTTCTCGGTGCTGTTCAGAAGGGGGGATTTACAGGTGAGGTCAGCAGCACTTCCAAATGCTGGGTTCTTGTAGTAGTGCTGGTTTGAGTCGTCTTCCTGCCATTGGTGAACAAAAGGGTTGATGTCACTGGAGGCGAAATGCATAGAGGACTCCTGAGCTTTAAGTGTATGTGTCTGCGCATATGTGGGGACTTGTTCAACCATCTTCTGTGGGAATCCTTGAGGGGGTAAAGAGCGTCTTTTTGGGGTGTAATTGTCATTTTTATCTGGAATCGCACCAGAAAAATCCTTTGTTTTGGATTTGCTCGCCAATACAGTGGTAGAAATATCCTCGCTGATACTCCTGGCATGTCTCATCTCATGATTGCCATTGCTCTGATGTCCAAGTTTCACCAGTTTGGATGAGACACGAGTATAAAGCAGTCTGGGGTCTTTATCGCCTTCCTCGTCCTCATCTGTTGATTTAAGCGAGGATTCAGAGGAAGAGGCTGGATGAGTCTGGATCTTGGACCTTCTGAACCTCTTGGACCTTGCCTTTTTAGACATTAAAGTAAAATGAGGCTGTTTATTGCCAATCGCTTGTCCACAGCACCTCATACTACTGATGACATTTTCCTGGGATATTCTGAGTCCAGGCTGCACAGATTTGCCGTTTGTACAACCTTCATATTCTCTAACCTGATGTTCAGATCGCTTGGCTGATTTCTCTTTTTCATCTTTCAGTGCGCAGTCTTGTTGGCTGTCAACCTGTGTGTCTTTATCAAACTTGCACAGTACATGTTGGGAGTTGTTGTAATTCTTATTGACTACACAAGTCTGGGACAGGTTGTCTAAACAGGTCTGAATAGAGCTGAGCAGATTTCGTGCTTCCAAACAGGTTTGACCTCCTGCTGGGTTGTCTGAATCACCGTTTCCACCAAGAGGAACAGCAAAACCATTTATGGAGGAACTCTCGGGCATGTTCGTGTTTATGTTGGTGTGTTGCGGTCTATTAGATAACTTTATGTCTACAGATACTTCTGAATCCTGTCTGAGATGTTGAACTTCTTTGTAGGAACAACCATCCTCATCTCCAACACTGGATGTAGTTTCCACGCCGATATCTTTGACATGACTATAACCACAGTTGTCCTTTGGAGGTGTTTCATGGCGTGTTTGTGGGAAATCAGGAGTCACTTCAGAAGCAACAAAACCGCTCTGGGTTCCCACTTCATTCGAGCGTGTATCCTTGATGATACGATCACCAGAAGATCTCGATTTTTGTTCATCTGTGACAGTAATATGTTGAACTGAGGCGTTTTTCTCTATTACGTTTTTATGAGAATCAAAGTCTTTTCTCGCTGAGGAGCAGTCAATTATTGGGAATAAACCAACTGGTTCCAAGCTGGGTCTCACAGAGGGATCGGACTTAACTTGGCAGTCTGCTGTCACGTGTGATTGTAAGTGGTTTTTGGCAGGAGAGTTTTGGAAATCGACAACCAGATGATCAGCTGTTGGCTCGTTTGATGATCCATCAGGAGATCGATCACCCTGGCTCTTCTTTTGTACTTCCGTTGTTTCAAGTGTGTTTTTCTCATGGACAGTAAAATCAGCTGGTTGATCTGATTGAAGGCGTTCATTTTTCTCCACCATGTTGTCACTTGCCCTTCTTGCAAGTTCTTCACCAAGAATTCCTTCGTCTTTCGCTGGCTCACTCATGTGATCACCCACTTCTTTTACTGTCACTCTGTTCTGATCTAAATGAAAAGCAGAAGATAATGCATTCAGGCTTTTACTCCTGCTCTTCCTCTCAACGGCAGCACCATTCGGTGACAATCGCATGTGCTCTTTCACCACTTCTGAAATTCTCAGATCAATGGCGCTACAAATTGCATCAGACTTGCATATGTGTTTTCTACGTTCTTGATGTTTCCTGGGGTAATCGAATTGGCGTTCGTCTGCCTTTGTTTCTGCAGGTATGTCCTTTATTGTTACACCAACCGTTTTAAGCTGCATTCTCTCCCCTACGGAGGAACCACTCTGAGGACATTTGTTCGCACATTCAAAGTCCTCAAAGATCTGATAATTGGGCCCAAGATTCCTGCTTATGGGATGATTCACTGGCGACACCACTGACGCCACGCCGTCCTGTCTTTCTCTGCCATCGACACAAACAGAATCAAATTCAGGGCTGTCAGCTTCCACAGACGATTGCTCCTCCTTTGAGTCACTGGTGTTATTATTGTCGTCAAGCCAACTACCTTCTTGGCTGCCAACTGGTGTAAGGCACAAAGTTACCGACTCTTTGCATTTGGTCCATTTTGGTATTTTCAGGCTGCCCATGAAAGAATCCTGTTGGTCTTTGTTCCTCTTCCTGGAATTTTTACAGGCCGATTTAACAAGCTCCTGCTGTAAAGCAATGTACGGCTCAGTGCCTTTGGTTTCAACTTTGTCCAACGTTTGGTCCTTTGTTAAAAAATTGGTATTCCCAAAGTCATACTGCTGAAGATTTTTCAATTTCTCTGTTGGACAATCCAGACTGCACAGTGCTTCATCTTCAAGGGATGGTTTGAAGGCACTTTCAGGGTCAGGATTCTGTCTCAAAACTTGACCTTGGTTGGTTGGACGTGTAGAAAAGCATGTACCAGATTGATGACACATTTCAGTTTCAGAGGACATTGTAACATCAGCTGCCACTAAATCGGGCTTCTCTGTGAACACCTGAGGTGGTTCGACCTGTGCTGCTTGTTGTTTAGTAAGGTGGACCTCACTGGGTGACAAACACACGGTTTGATTCAAGGCAGAAAAAGACGTTGGATGATCACTGGCTTTTTCTGCTTTTTCTTTTTGTCCCACACAACATCCAGCCTCCTTCAGAGCCTCGTCTTTTGAAGTCAGAATGTGAGAGACTTTAAAATTGAGTTTTTCTGATGTTCCTCTAGAAAATTCAACGCTGTGTTCCTGCACTGTTACATGTTCACCCTCAGCGCTGGCAGACGATGAGCTGGAGCTTCTTGGATCACTCTGAGAGTCCAAAAGGTTTGTGCTGGCAGGGCTGGGACTACTACTGCTACTGCTGCTGCTGCTGCTGCTGCTATTCTCTATGCTTCTGAGAATGTTTTTCCTTTGGAAAGGCAAGGAATCTCTGCGAATCCTGGGGCTGTCTGCAGCATCCGTGGAGGACCAAGCATCTGTGAGAGCCAGCACGTTTTCTGGCTCCCTTGTGCTGCAGCTGCTCAGGGAGCGTGGGCTGCTGGTTGAAATCGTCTGCCCGTTCCCAAAGTCCTCAATCATTTTGTGTACGGACTCTCTGCACCTGGAGTCTGCTGCTAATTGGTTTTGGGGAGGAGGTTTCCTTGTTGCACTGTGATGACTTGATCTTGGAGAACCTCGCTGGCTCGAGTACTCCTCTGCTGGGATTTTCTGAGGTTTGTGACAGCTGTTCCCAGCTAAACTGTTCTCTGCTGTTTTATTATGCTGTTTCCATGAATTGAAGCCATCTGTCACCAATGAGTAGGTTGGCACCAATGTTTGGCTAAGCCTCTTGACTGTTGAGATTTTTCCATCGCTCTCCACAGCCAGTGAATCTTTGGACATCTGACTGTCTTCGCTCTCTGTTTCACTCTGGGCCGCTTCCTCGCGTCTCAGCTGCTCGGCTAAAGCTGTAGCATAAGCAGAAGACAGAGAATCAAGAGAGAAGAGGCTCTCGCAGTCTGACGACCCTTCATCCCTGTCTTGTTGCTCCTCTTCCCATCCATTCAGTCCCTGCTGATTCTCCAGCCATCTGCTGGTCTTCATTAGAGCCTCAGTACTATGCCATCGCCTCTGTCTAGTGTCCTCAAACGGTGTCCTTTGGTCGAGTTCCTCACATGAGACGGCAGACTTAACAGCACATTTGCTTCGACTCATCTTAGCATCTTTCAGACCTCGCTCTTTTCTCTGTCTCCAGTTAAATTTGCTTGCCATCTTCCTGAATGGTTTAGGGCCTCTTCCTCCATTTGGACCTGATGGTGGTTTTTTGAACACTTTAGAAAGAGCTGTTTTTAATCTGGGCCCGACAGAATGAGACAAAGTCTTCCTGAAGGTTTCCAGTCCACTCTTATCAGTAAAGGATGGTGTTTTTCTCTCATTAGAGCTTGAGAAAATCTGAGAGCTTGGTTCATTTAGTTTGGGTCCTTGAATATTTTCTTTGTTTACTGGCTGCACAGCAGTCCCGACTGGAGACTTCAGACTAAACACTGAGTTCTGATCAGACCTGTTCTTAAAAGACAGGTCTCGGTTTGGGAGCAGAGGTTTTCTCTCTGGTCGCTCCCTGCAGGGCTGAGCTCTGGATTCATCCCTGGCAGCTGGTCGAATGTTCTCACAAGAGCTCACTCTGCTTCTGCTGTCCGGACTCTGTCCTGAGAGGATCGTACCAGAACAACTCTGAGTCCTTTCTCGAGGAAGACATTCATCTGAAACCCACTTCCTGCTGCCGATGGAGTCAGAGGTTGAGGTGGGGTTTGGAAACGGTTCTGTGGATCGGTTTCTCTTGAGGAAGTGTCTGTCAAGAAAGAATATAACATAATATATAATTATTTTAAATAAATATCAGGTCATAATATATATTTTGAACGATTTTTGACACTTTTCTTTAATGATGATGATCAAGATTCAATCAGCTGTTGTTTTTTGCCACTATGATGACCTATGAGTGTGTTTTTGTCCATCTAACTGCAAATCATATTTCCCAATCATGCTCTCTGAACTCTGAACCATATAATACATTCATACATCTATCTTCATAATGTACTACAGCTTAAGAAGCAGCTTGTTTCAAAGCTGTTTACCTGAAGAGAGGGGTGTGCTGAGGGTAAAGCCTGGACAGAAGGTCTGCAGAGAAAGAGTGTCTTCGAGATACAAACGGTCTTCCTCTGGCTTTGGTCGGGGACTCAGGAGAGTCAGGGCTGTCTGGTCCTGAAGGCAGGTCCCTCTCCAGCCGCTGCAATTCCCTTTTAGCTTCCAAAAGATGCCGCTTACGGGCGATCCTTTCCAGCTGGTAGTGCAACCTTTTCCGACGGATGCGGCTCTCGGCGCGGCAAAGGGCGTGATGCTTTATCAGCTCCTCCTGCACCGCCCTCTTCCTCGCCCTTACCACCAGCGGCGGCGGATCAACGGAGTGACCATCCTGATCTTCAGGTGCCTGACTCGTAAGCCGCTCCAGAAGAGGTGCAGGGATGAGGTCAGTTTGGACTCCAGACTCCTGTGTGATTCTCTGCTCAACAGATGACAGGTGCCGTTTCTCTGTCAAAATCCACTGCTGGACTGTTTAAGAAAGATTTGCAGGAGTTAATTATAATGTTTGGACATCTTCACAAAAATGTCTGGCATTATATCTTCTGATTTTTCCTCTATTTTGCTTTAAAACCCTTTAATTTGGCTTTAAGAAAGTGACACGTCTGCATAAGCAGTGCAGCCATTTCTACCTACTCTCAGTGTGTTGCTGTCTGAGACGGGCCTGCTCCCTCTCCAGCTCTTTCTCAGCCCGCCTCTGCTCAGCCTGAATCTCCTGTCGCAAACCCTCCACGTAGCGCTGCTGCTCCTCCACACGCTGCCTGGCAGTGGGCTCCTCGCTGGGGGAGAGACAGTCGCCCAGCTGTCCTTGGAGTTTTACTTCTTCAACGCTACAAAAGCAGACACACAGATGAAGGAAAAATATGAACTACTTGGCTGCTCTATCGGTGTAGGAAGTGTAGAAACAAACAAAAAAAACACCAAAATATATCTTTCAGCTCAATTATGTTACATTTCCTGGTTGTATTTGGTAGCTTGCTGTTGGCATGCTTAAATTTTAAACCTTCTGTTGTTGGTTTCCAGTTTAGAGACTCAACAGTAACCAAGCAACGGCTGAGCCTGCCCCGCAAACAGCGTACTGGGATTGTTCACAAGGATGGAGGCAAATTGAAACACATGCCATTTCTACCAGCAGAGTTAAAACATGCATGAAGCATTGCCCTATTTCCACAGCATGTTCACTGATACAACACATGTACCTCCTATCAAATATGAATGCTCTGAGTTGGCAGAATAAGGTCTTTCTATAACTCACAAATGTTGGGGTCTGGTTTTATTTTTGGGGGCAGTTTTTACCTGTGATCAGGACTGAGGGGGCAGAGGTCAATGTAGGCGCAGGTCATGCCGCTTTCACTGGCCTGAGGACAGCAAAAGAAGGTGAGTTTATCATCCATTTAAAAAAAAACAGCTATCACATCTAGGCAGTGTAAAATAATACGAAAGAGGGTTAGGGCCAAAATAATAATAACAGAAAGGAGATTAAAGTCAAAATTCTGGGATCAAGAAATCGAAATAAAGTCAAAATTTTGAGGTTAAAAATTGAAATTTCAAGATTAAAATCATTAAAATTTTGAGATTAGAGTGAACGTGAATTAAGTCGAAATTTCAACTTTTTAAAATTTCGACTTTAATCTCGAGATGGAAATTTAAAAAATCTCCCTCCTGCACTTATTTCTTTCTTTTCTTGTGTCCCTAATCCTCTTTCGTAAAATAATGACCAGAAATAATGAGCGCATCTCCTTCATTACAATCTGTCAACCTAAGTTCATTATGAGTGCTATCATTAATCATCACTCGGTTTTCACAGAGCAGCACCCACCCGTCTGCGCTCCCTGAGGACGGCCGCCTCTGCCGGGTGGTTGAAACGAAACTTATGCACTCCTCCCAAGGTGATAACCATCCCTGGAGACAGAAGCAGATCTTTCATCACAGGCTGAAGCATCGTGTTGATGGGAGCTGCGGGGTGTATTAGTGTGTATCCATGTCTCTGCTCAAGAAGACTATCGCTGCACCTTAAGCATGCATGCATATTCAATTGTACATTAACCCATATATGTTATCAAGTGCATCTCCAAGCTTGTGTGTAATTGTACTTTAGCCTACATGTGATAGTGCAGCGGTCACATGGCGAGCCTTAATGCTGCGTGTCAAGTGCTGCTCAGGTCTGATTTTATGCATCATTGGATTTTTTTGTCCGTTTTAACAACAACAGTTAGTCATGAGTGATAAAGATCACATTTTTCGAACTGCTGATTCTACTTCTGTGAAGCAGTTTTTTCTGCTAAAAGCAAGTTACTCCTTTGACCTATATTTTAGCACTTGTATTATTTACATATTCTCCTGTTCTTACAATGTGAGAATGAGTGGATACTAAGAACATGGCTCATGCCTCTCGCTCTCTTTCTATTCCTACATTTGTTGTAGCTAAAATTATCTACCAAAAGAAATAAAAGTGGCAAAAGTGCCTCGGGGTATTCTTGCAAAAATAATTACCATCCGTGTTATCATTCAGGAAAAATAACAAGTAACCATGAGTCAGGACCAGCTCTGTCAATTCTTCTACATCTAAGTGAAGTAAAAATGTAATAAGGACATCGTGCAGTGCTGGGAAACTCTTTGGCTGAGGATGAGAGCTTACCTTGAGCAAGTCTGCAGGCCTCGGTGACCTCTCTGTCGTTGAGGAGGCAGACGCAGCCTGGAAGAGGTCTCAGTGTTACAACACCTCTGTGGTTTTCAATCTCACAGCTTGCACTGCCCTGGAGGACTGGAAACAGGACACAGAAACATAATCACAAACTCTGATTCTGTAAGCTGTAAGTGTACGGTGCTCCATTGTGCCATTTGCTTGTTGTCTGTGCTGAATTATTGTACATGCTGTAGACTTTTAACGCTCTACATTTACTGCTGGAGGTGGTGTTTTTTTCCACAGTTCTGCGCTCAGATGTCTCCGCTGAGTTAATAATACGTGACTGTAAGATGCATCTCAGATAAGAAGAGCTTTATTTATCCCCGAGGGGAAATTCGATATCCACAGTTGTAATTTTTAGCCGTTAAAATAAGATTTATTAATCAAAAAAGGAACATTCGGAAAAGATTAAACTATTCGATAATATAAGGATACCTATTTGTGGCTCCCCAGACTGCTCCTGAGGTCCAATGTGTGTAACTCCCTCCTGTAAGACAAATAAAAGCCAATTATATTCAGATCTGTACAAACAAAAACATCAAAACTATATGACATATATGGCATTAAGTGGTGGTTGTACAATAAAAACAAGCAATACAATGACTTTGCATCATGATCCATAAAGAACCCTTTCCCTTTTCTACTAATCTCCTCCTAACTGACAGAAAATATATCATTTGTTTACTTTGACGTCTTATCTAATGGGATTAAAAGCTTTCTTATATGGTGTCAAGACCACATGTGGTCCCAGGTGGCCTGAGCTCTTCACATGCAGGAAACAGTGTAATTGTCAGGCCTAAGGGTATGCTTGTCATTGTCAGAATCAGGACAGCTTAAGCTCCCCTGAGTCCCAGCCTCAGAAGTAAGAGCCTCTTATACAACCGAGTTCTTTGCGTCGCGGCAAACACGCGCGCGCACGGGGAGAGACGGGAGATCGACGGGACAGTTGGAGGGTAAGATTGAAAAGAAGAGAGAGAAGAAGAAGAAACGCACCTTTTCTCAAGAGTTTTTGTGGCAGAATAGAGAGAAATAGCAGAGGGAGGAGGGGAGGGAATCTAACGGGGGGAAAAAAAGACAATTTCAAAGTTTTAGTGGAGACAGCTGACAAATCATTAACTTGAGAGATGGAGGGGAAAAAGAGCAAATACAGACATTATTAGTTAGAGGGGCTTTGTTAGATGCTGTTCATGCAAGTGCGTATTTATACAGTAACAGATTGAGTGCAAATGAACGACAAAAAGTAGATAAAAAGAGACAAACTTTTAGACAAGGCTCAGCCCCATATCAGTTCTCTATACACAGGATCAACTTCTACACTTATACCTCTATGTTCTGTAAGAATCTAATAATACCAATCCAGTGATACCAAAGCGCAACAAAGTTTCTCTTCATGCATCATACCCTGAGGTGGTAAAAGACGACCCCAGTGCTGAGAACATCTCTGTCCAGAGTGACCAGGTGCGGCTGTAGCGAATTGATAAGGAATCCTGCACGGTCTCGGTTAATGTCAACACCGTACTGCTCCAGCAGCTCCTTCTTGTCTCTCCAGCTCTCGGACCAATCCTTGGTTAGCTGCTCCACCTAAGGATTAGACAAGGAAAGAAGGCAATAAGGGAGAGGAAGGGAATAAGGGAAGGAGTTGAAACCAGGGCGGGAAGTATTTGGAGTCAGGGAGATGACTAATAACACCGAAATTATAACTGCTTTCACAGCTGAAATGGGGAATATTACAGATTATTTTACTCTTTTCAATTGGCTACAACTGAAGACTTAAAAGTCAAAACCTCACAGGAGACCTCACACACTGATGTGTATTAAAATTCATACATTTAATGTCACAAGGTTAAATGTCCATTATGGCTGGGCGATAAACCGAAAATCTACCGATACTGAAATTCACGACAACAACCAACTTTTTGCCCATATCAGTATATTTGGCGTCAAAAAAATAAATAAATGAAAATTGGTTTTGGATGTGTGTAGGTAGGCTATGGTCCCTTTAAGATGCTGTCCTACGTCAGAGAAGTGACTCCACCCCCTCCAGTCCGTAACAAAGAGGGAAAGACAGGTGAGGAGATGGAGGACGGAGAGAAAGTTGTAGTGAAGTAGACGAAGTTAATGTGGGAGGGGGTGAGCAGCTTGTGGAGTAGTTATCATCCATTTATCATTATCGAGGTGAACTGCTCAATATATTGTGATATTCATTTGAGGCCATATCGCCCAGCCCTATTGTCCATACTAAACCTCTGCAAAGTCTTAAAACATTTCGACATAATCTCTGGATGTCTCTCTGAACAGCTCCTTATGATAACTTTCCAAGTGTTGGCCTGAACCCAACGTTAGGCTCTATTAAGACAGTGTTTAAGGTTGACCCACCTGCTAATACCAAAACAGCTTTAAAATGGACTTGGTAGTTGTAATGATCTTTTAATTGTTGATCAGACGAATGTACCAAGTTTACATTATCTTTCTATCTGGTTGAATACCCCCATGAAACCATCAGAGAAAGTAGAAAGTAACAGTGACCCTAATGGCAATCTGATGCTAAAAGAAAGTGCTGCACTCTTATATAAAAGGGCAAAACCAGGTTTAAGATCCTGTACTAATACTGGGTTACCTTGAGTTCGTTCTGTAGCACAATGTCAGACAGATTTCCATCCCTCTCATCGCTCAGGGATGGACTAGGATTCCTCTGCTGCCAGTTGAGAAAACGGAAAATAATCAGTCAACACACCGTGTAAAAGGAAAATGTCATATGCTCCAATGCGATTCAATCTTTACTGCCTGCGGGAATAAAAGATGTCACACAGCACCGCGCCAAACATTTGAAAGAAAAACTTGAAATGCGAGAATCTTTGATATTCAGAGTCTTATAGAGGCAAAAGTGTTTTCTGATAGGGGACTAGGAGGGTTTGTCCCTGAGAGAGTAAGCACAATGTTCTATCAGCAAAGGTCACCATACCATTTCAAAGCTGAGCAGCATACTCTTCAGCCTGTCAATCTCCTCTCTCAGTTCCCTGATCAGCCGAACACTGGCGTCCTGCGCAGAGATCACAGCACATATTAACCGACCGAAAAAAACATTATGTTCAAACATTCATTCTCCTCGTCAGACTCGTAACAGGCACTGACCTCATTAACACGAGGCTTGTTGACAATATTTCTGGCATGGGCCGCGTAGCGCAGGGTGCTGAGGGTCTCGTTGTAGCTGTTAGCTGAGGGTGATATCGCTGCAACACAAACATATGAAGCAAACACAAAGAGCTATTAGCGCCCTGATCAGAGGTTTGTTTGAGTTTGAAGGTGGGAATGAAGTAAACAGACTACAGTTTTTTTGCTTTTATGATGAAGTTAAACCACACAGGCAAAAACTGTAAAGACAAAGTACAACACCAAAAATTCTACAACAGCCGGGACCCTGTAGTGGTTTAATATTATCCAAACCTGATATTTAACAAGCTGCCTCTGAAGAGCAGACGACATGACATCCATGATTTCCAAAAGGAAAGGTTCATCAAACCGCAGCACTGTTATTATCCATTGTTATCGTCAAACTATATGCTCACGCAGTCTCTCACACATTGATCTACTGAAATATATTCAAATATCTTGTCTTTGCAGCTCCTCTGTCATTGATTGACTATGGTGACATTTTATACACGAGCGTCTTGGGGCACTGGTGACTGTTTATCACTTCATTACTCAAATTCAACCAACCAATCAAATTTTATCTATATGGCGCCAAATCACAACAGTCATTATCCCAAGACGCTTTCCAAAAACAGAGCAGGTCTAGACCACGCTCATTGGTCTAGAGCTGGTAATGGTAGTGGTCACCTTACTGTGAGCTCTATGCCAAAGGTCACCCTTGTAAATGAGGTCCTGGTCTTAATGGGACTTATCCGGTTAAATAAAGAGGAAATAAGAAATAAGAAATCTTAATCCCTGAGAGACTGAAAGGCCATTTTCATACCCAGTCATCTGATGTACCTGTCAGCGCAATTTAGAAGATGTTCAAGTTTTTCTTTTTTTAATACCAGCGTCTAATTTAAAATGAGCATCTCCTGTTTCTTTTATGAAATAAAGTGTTTTTGGGTTCAATATTTGATATTTTGTCTTTGCACTGTTTTCAATTAAACATGGTATTTAAATGATCTGCAAACCATCAAAATCTGTTTATATCAAGATCTTACTCAGCATCCCAGATATTTTTTCACTTCTTGGTTTTATTGTAAACCCCCGACCAAGCATTAATTTTAATTAAATCCAATAAAAATAAAACTCACAGACTCACTTGAGATGAGCTGAAATTTACTTTAAATTATCTTCTCTTCTGCAAAGTAACAGCTACAATTCCAAGTGGATGTTGTTAGAAATCTCGAGTATCAGTGAGTTAAAGAGGAAGAAAATCTCAAATATAGAAGGTTCCACCAACAGCTTAAACAACTGAGTTTTGCTCTTCCATGAGGACATGAGGTAAAGTTCACATAAAACTAAAACTTGCAAACTCACAGTCATGTTCCCTCTGCAACAAAACTGACATCTGCCTCACTTACTTGCAATCATTATGGTCTTTGAGTTGCCACCCAGGCTGTCTTTCAGGAGCCAGGTTAGGACAGAGTCTCTGTAAGGGATGAAACAGTTCCTCCTCGCACCACCACCTCCTGCTCCTCCTCCTCCGCCCGACAGAGAGCTGCTGTGGCTGCCCACCGTGCTGCCATCGCCTTCAGAGGCCATGCTGTTGATGCTCTGACAGCTGCTCGACATCTGGGAGTTCTGGGCTGTGGAGGCAGAAGGAACAAAAGGAGCAAGAGTTGAAGGATTGATGAGCAGAATGGAAGGAAATACTGCGGAGGACAGAGGAGAATGTGGCGGAAAAAAAACTGAATTTGTGCAGTTTTATGCTAAGTCTATCAAATAAAACCTGCTTTCTCAAACTTCATGTCTTGAACTATAGTAATTTACCAAGAGCAGATATGACAATGCCCAAAGTGACCAGTGACTTGTTGATGTTTGAGCCCTCTGTCAGTCTGTCCCTGCAGTAATTGGGGTCTGCACGCTCACTGCAACAAAAACAGAAGGAAAAATATGTCTGGGTCATGTCAGCTGCAATGAAAAAGACTGTAATCATCTCTTAGGAATGTGAGGCAGAGGATTAGGATGATCTTAAAGCACAGGCCAGGATCCACTAGGGGGCAGCTTTGTCAATGACTTGAGCTCAAAAGACTGTGACGGAAGAAAACAGAAAGAATTAGCAGTTTTACCTCCCGGCCAAGTCCACCAGGTTAATCTTGCTGACAGTTTCTGAGGGAAGGTTGTTTTCCAGGATTGCCTGAGGAAAAGACAAATGTGATAAAACTGAAAATCAGCATAAGATAACGGATGTTATATCTACAAATAAACAACGTCTGATAGAGGATCTTCATCAGATCGATGAGTGCGTCATTGTGAAAGATGACTGGACATAGATAATGACCTGTGTGTACTGGATGGTGAAGATGGCGTGGGACCTGCTGCTGGCGTCATGGTTGTGGGTCGCTGCGGTGATGCGGTTGGTGATGCCTACCTCCAAAAGATCCATGGCCTGCTTGCAATCTGAGACCACATGCTGCGACAAGTCTAATGAAAGAGAAACAAACAGAAACAGAAACAGAAAAAGAAAAAGTTGAAGAAACTGAGTAAACACACAAAGAGGGCGATGGTTTAATCACATATTTGTTAATTGACCTACTTCTCACAGTGGAGTGTAATCCATGTGGAATTCAGGCTGGGAAACTCTCAGTAGAGGCTCTTAGTGCAGCTAAAGCACTTTCTATTAATGAGTATTTAAATCCATATTTTTGATTATCAGACAGACTTTAAAAGAAGCAGGAAAAAGAGGCACGTAAAAGACACCAAACAGGATATACGCCTCGTCAACACTCGCTCATATTTGATCCGTCATATTTCCCCCAACAACAACAAAAATACTCTAACAATGCTCTCATTTTTAGAGTGAATCATGTATCCTGAGTGTCTGTTAAACACGTGCCTGCACAGACTGAAACATGGTGCTACAGTTCTTTATTTCTTGTATCAAGTGTAAAAAAGCAGTTTAAAAAACAGACAAAAAAGTGAATGCTTGGGTGGACACGTGGGAATGTTGTGGCAGTAATGGAGTCCTCATAATGTGCTCTGAGTCTCTGGGTTTCTCTCTCTGTGTTAAAGCATTCTCCTTGGAACCACAAGGAAATGACTTCACTTCCTCTGTCCATCTGGGATTTCTCCTGATACAGACAATGAGTGGATGTGAGGCTTTAAATGCAGAGAGGCTGGTGGACGAGAGCAGATGAAGAAAGAGAGAGAGAGAGAGAGAGAGAGAGAAGCTAAAAGAAGAGTCTGGATTCGAGCTGGGACAGCCTTTTCTGGCCACGATCGCAAAACTTAACGGAACAAAATTCCACCACTCACCACACACCACAGTGACTTGTAAACTAAACTTACAAGACATGAGCACAACTCAAAATACTGCCGACCATGTTCCCCATCCAAGTCCATAATTTCACAAAATGATGTGTATGAGAATGCAGAGACACGAGATTTCACCTTTGCTGTCCACTTTCATCTTCACTCTCTTTGCACTAAGTGTTTCAGACTCTTAATTTCAACATAACAAACCTCTCTGGTGTATTTGTCTACACTTCTGAAATGATCAAAAGACATTTCTCAGAGCTTATCGCCTTTGAAAGCAAATGTATCATAAGACTATAAAGTTTAAATCTGCAAATATGAGCAGTTATACTGGGTGTGTGATACATAAGGTCGCTGGAAGGTTATTTAAAATAATGTTTAATTCTAATCGGGGGGAAATTATCCAGGCAGGGTAATGAGAATTTGCAGCCTCTAGACCTCTAGTTAAGTACCTAATCAGTTCGACAGACAGAGAAAGACAGAAAGTGGAAATGATCTGTTGATTTATGAGCTCAACGATTTTTGCAATTACACCTGGAACTGTGGGGTCATGTTTGAATACAGAATTCCGATTAAAATCCATGTAATTAGTTTCACTTGCTTGGTGTTTCTGGGGAAGTACTTAGCAGAAACCCTGAGCAGCTACCTCCCCTGTGCATGTTTTAATTCCTATATGTGGATGAATGCATGAAGCTAAATGCACATACACGTGTTTATGAACTTTTTTTTTATTTCATGATCTGTATTACTCGAGAAAAGTAGGTAAAACATGCATTAGTTTTGTCTTGGTATTGGGGCGAACATTCACCTTGAACGTAGGGTCCTTTGTCAGGGTGTTCTCTGACTCTCAGAGAGGCTCTCTTCTTCTGCTCCGCTCCTCTCAGCAGGTCGCGCACACGCTCGTTGTAGATCTCCAGGAAGCTGCGGGGACAGAGGGATTACAGAACATCCTGCTATGATGACACATATATTACACGGCCACTTTATCTACAGCATCACAGAGAGGCAGACCACAGGATGACCTTCAGGTGAGTTGTATGTGCCGCACCTCCTCAGAAACAGTAAATCTCAGTTTATCACTGTGGCACTTTCCCTTTATTTGACAGAAAGTGTCAGAGACAAAAGAAGGAATGGTATGTGAATGGCTGTATTTGAACCAGGTCGTAGTCATGGTTACACAGTCTACATTACAGACTGATGACCCATCTAAATGTCCCAGAAACACTATCTGCACTATGAAAATGACAACCATCAAACACTAAAAACTCCACTATCCTTGTGAAAAATGTAGAAGTGAAGTCAGGTAGAGTCAAGGAAGAAAGACTAATACATGCTCTGTAAAACTAACACTGCCTTCAACACAGACAAGAAAATCCAGTTTGAGTCTTTGAAGCATATTCATGGGGTCTTCTTTGAATTTCAATGCCCCCTCTTTGTTTGAGAATAGAGATACAATCACAGACAGTACCTGATCTCCACTCTGCTCGAGTTTTGCCCGTCAGGAAAAGTGTCTTCAGACCTAAAAAGACTCTGCCAGGAAAGAAAAAATGCAAGTTCATATCACGCCACAACACCATATACTCAAGCAGCTGAATTATCGCCAAGCCCTGTATATTGAATGTTTCAATCCGCTGACGTACCTGACAGATCCGAGGTGTCAATCCAATGGAGCCCTGACAGCACACAGAAGAGGAAGGAGATATAGGAGAAGTGTTTTGACAGTTTTTATGTAGAATTGGGTCACAGTGGGATGTCACTCTGAGCTGATGGTTTGCTAAGGTTGTTCCAATATTAATGCTTTATTGCCCCCTAACTGCAGGATCAGGTATAGGAGGAGGAAACCGCTTTATACATCAATTAGTGCTGCACAGTAGAGCATCATTTTATGGTTATTGAAATAGAAGCATTCACAATAACTGGATCAGCTGCGAAATGAGCTAAAACGTAGTTAGACTGGGCGATTGGGCGTCATCAAACTGTGGCCACTTTAAGTGCTTTATTTCACCGCTGACAGGCTGGGATTGTTATTACAAGAAGCTTAGGGGACTGGTGTTAGGATCATATGTCCACAGAGGAAGGACGTCTGTGTTGTGATGAGTGGGACCTGTTGATGCCTTAAAATGAGGGTGCTGATGTGTCCGGGGGTGATACCTCTTAAACACAACGCTGTGTGAGCAAGTCAGAGGGTTTTAATAACAATCTGAACCTGAGTGAGCAAGTTTTGTGCAGCAGAGAGACAGAGAAACTCAGAGTTAAGGCTAAAACAAACAGAATCCATACTGAGCGTCTAACGTCAGCGTCGCGTATCACACAGCAAATAGGTTCCCATTCTAATCAATGCAGCGTCGCATAAGGAACGCGAATCAGCTTCGTCGCAGCTCCGTATCAGAGGCGTATCAAGCGCGGCTCTGCTAAAGATACGTGCCGAGTCTATTTTTGCTGCTCTGCGCTTTCAATACACATTAACTGACACAGAGAAGAACGATAAAACACCATATGCGAACTCCTGACTGTGTACCAGTTCGTGTAGATGAGAAATACTTCCTGGTTCTGGATTTATCAGTGACACAGAACAATCCGATGGTCAATCCCTGATCCATGTGGACCCCAACAAGACTTCTAACTGCTAACTCTGTCTGAAGGTAACAGCACAGCATAAAGGACCATAGTTTACTTTATTAAACACGAGTTAACATACACATACAGTAGAGGCTCAACGGTCACTGAATTACATGCAAATTAGCAGGAAATAGACCACAGAACAGAAAAACAACCTGTGTGAGCATGTTGTTTCCTCTATACTGAGACCAGCTGACCGGGGCTGCACTACGCTGCTGCTACGCTCCCAATATGCATCCTGTATGCGATAGACAACGCTGCTCTACGGATACAGATACAAGCCGCTGACGGAACGCGTTCAATACGGATCCTGTATGTTTTCGGCTTTATAGCAGTTTGCACACTCGAATATCTTCTACTTTTTAAAGTTATCTCAATATTGAACCATGTAATTGCACAACACATGTTTTTCTTGCATTGTTCAGGCCAATCCCCTGGCGTCACAGTTTATACAAAAATCTTACTTAAATTATGCCAAAGCTGCCCACTCACTATATATTATCCCTTACAGCTCAGTATTCTGTTTATATTGGCTTGGTACACAGATTCACAAATCTCTTTGTATGAGAAAGAAAATGGTATGGGAGTATTTTCAGTGTTTGCATGTGTTTATTTTCAGTGCAGCATTGTTTGAGTTTGTCAAACAGTTCCAAGTACTACAGCTGGAGGAGAGGAGGCCTGACAAATGAATACGATCAAATGTAGTGTGACTCCGACGTTCTCCTCACCTGTGTTCCCATCATGGTGTACGTCTTTCCAGATCCTGTTTGGCCATAAGCAAACAAACACACGTTGTAGCCCTCAGAAGCTCCAGACAGCACCGACACACCCAGATCCTGGAACACCTGAAGAAAAATTGACAAGACACACACCAACACACCTTCAATCACAAATACAAAAGAAAGACGGCTTAAAAGGTGTCTAAAAATAACGCAGAGGAGTCAGACACGTGGATTCCCCTCCCTGTTTTTATGAAAATGCTCTGATAATCGAGGAAGTTGATTCAGGATGAAAACAGACGTACTGATGATGGAAGTCGACTAAGTATAAAAAGCACGCTGTCACATTTGAGAGTGGTTACTGAAAAGTTGGTGCTCGCTTGGGTGGAAAGAAACCATGGAAAAAAAAACACCTCAATCTTAATCACATTGTGTTTCCACATAGGTGTAGTTTTGCACCAAGGTTTCATGATCACAATGCTGTGGCATCGTGCCACTGGCGGGGAGGTAATGTTGCTTCCTGCTGAGGTGTTTGGGTAGAAGGAGTGGGGAGGTCAGCTAATATTCTGGATAAACAACTTTGCAGAATGTTTTTGTGACAGAAACAAATGTGGGGGTAAAAAGAGGGCTTTGAAAAGTGACTGGGTCAGGAAAATAAACCTGGTTAAAAGCACGGGGCTGAGACGGGGGGATCCGGGGGAGTCCCAACCAAAACAATCAACTCAGGCCTTTTGTTTTCCTTCGCATCTGAGAGCCAGAGTCTGGAGATTATTAGCATCAGGTAAGATCACAACCGCTTGTTTTTCCAGTTTATGACATTAATGTGAATTCTTTTTTAATACGATATGAGAAATAAGTAGTTCTGCTGCTCACAAAGCTTTCATGAAGATCTTGGTTGCAGTCTGCTCTGCTGTTGTTTTTCCTCTTTTCACAGCTGATCAGCAGAAAAATACTTCATCAGAACAAGTACTTCAGGACATCTGGCCTCATCTGCAACCCAAAAGCTAAGTCCAAAGCCAACAAACGCCTTGAGGGGGGCAGCAACCTGATCCGGACCAGACCTGAGACGCAGCACATTCCCCCCTAGAACCAAAACACAATCTGGAGATCAGCAAGGGGTCCCCTCCTGGGCCCCGGGGTGGAGATACTGGTGGGTATGTACACAGAAGAGAGAGGAGAAATGCTCTGAAAGCTACCGCAATCTCAAAGGATCAAAGACAGAGACCGTTTCAACATCCCTCCTGTGTGTGTGAATGTGTGTGAGCTCCGAGCCCAGTAAGGAGAAGCCCGAACCTGGAGCTAAGCCCGTGTATACTCTAGGCTTACAAAACGGTGGGAATAGGTTTAGGTTGGATGTGGTTGAAAGCTCTTGTGAAAGGCCTGAACCTTGTGAAAGCAGCCTGAAAGGATCCGATGGTCAGCCGTCTGTCTTTGGGACTGTGTGAATCTCTCTGTGTTAATATTCAACAGCCCTGAGAGATGTAAAAACGTTCAACACTGTCTCATCGGAGTGGATCTCACAGAGAGACGGTTTCTTATCTAACTGGAGTAAGTGTCTGAAAAGCCAAGGGACAGAATGAGCAGAGAGAGAGAGAGAGGCTGGAGTAAGGCTGCACGATATTGGAAAAAACTAACATTGCGATATTTTTCAAATCTGCAATACATATTACGATTTTCAAAAATAGAGGAACTTTAACCAGATGACCTGAATAGCACTTCATGCTTTGCTGCGCTGCTGAAATCTTGAGGACAATTAACTGCTTTTAGCAGAGTGGTCCACGGAAATATACGATTGAAAACCCATACAATTCTTATTTGTGGGGCTTAACAGTGATGAGTAATGTTCCGAAAGTAATTCTCAGCGGACAAGCGTTTCTCGCCACAACACCAGCAGTGCCAGCGACTCACTCCATGTGCAGGGGTGTGGTTTCCTCCTCTCTAATTTTGATTGAAGGCTGCAAGGCTAGTCTGATTGGCAACTGAGTAAACAACGAATGTGATTGTTGGATCGCTGCACAGCACATGCAGAGTCACATGGAGTGTATCTCAGTCAGCTACCCTTGAAATTAGACGAGTTTATTCTCCTCTGACATCGCAGGGTTTACGATGTGACTATCCCGCACAGGTACATCATGATGACGATGCTCGAACGATATATTGCGCGGCCCTAGGCTGGAGCGTTTATGATTGTTAACAAGCTAAAGACTGACGGGCAGAACAGTGAGAGATATCGTTCCAAATCATAATAAACCACAAGCCAAAGTTTTCATGTTTTAAAGGTTGTAATATTAAAGCCTGAAAAGACTGAATGATTCGTTTGATCTGCAGTCAAATTGCTCAAATCCTTCAATTTTGTATGACAGAATAAAAATACAAGTAAAGTCTGGTGTTTAATTGTATGAGTATTATCACTAAAATCAAGCCAAGGCTCTCAAAGCGAAGAGAGGAAATAAAGCATGGTCCTTTTCGAAGGTTGTATCTGTGACTTTTTTAAAACTGATATTACACAGTCATGTTTTGGTGAACAAAAAGAAGGCTTAAAAGATTTTCTACTTACTGTGTCTTAAACAATTAAGAGTTTTTAAGGTTTTAAGCTGCATGAATGTGTGTGATATAAATGAAAAATCATGGGTAACTATTTTTTTAATCGTAATATCAAACAAAAGAACCATGGTTATGGTTTTCCCAACAATTGAGCGGTCCTACTCTGTTGCCCTGCCAACCATGGGCGGACAGCAGCCGCGTGTAAATAGTAAAAGTTCTGCCTCAATGGCCGTCCTACTCACTGACCTTATAAACCTCCCCGTCAGCGCTGAGGCAGAGACGTCATAAACTAGGAATCAACACGAGTAAAGGTTGCTCTTTGCCTAACTTAAGCCTCAACTTTATATTATCTTCCTCAAAAATTAGTCGCATGTTATTTTCATGTTTATTTGTGACTGTTTATTCTAAAATACAAGCCAAATATAGAGCAAAATTGCAATTTCCAAGGACACAGCTTCATTTTTTTGGATTGCTGTTTTAAAGCCCAACATTTAAAACCAGAATGGTAGTTAACCAGCACAACTGACTCAGGCAATAAATGATGCTAAATAAAAGTGACAGTAACATCATCTCATGGCAGAGAGATAGAACTTCAATAAAAACCTCTATATCAGAATTATTTACTGAAATTCAACTTTATACTGAAAGAAATTGAAGCGGTGAGTTTGTTATGTAACTGAAACCCCATCAATATAAGTGTGGCGGCAAATGTCAAAGTGTGCAGTCCACAGGAGTCAAGACCACCAGGTGTTACCCCCTGCTACTGAGCTGAATGGAGGCTTAAACGGGAAGACAAAAAGCAGCGCCCGCCCCTGTCTTGTCCTCATCCTACTATTCAAAAAACAGACACAGGCACCCTCTCCTCCCTCAAACACTGAGAATCAATACAGCCCTTGTTAAAGTTGACCCTCTTAAATTCACTCCATGGGGGCTACGACAAGGCTGAGGGTCTCTCCAGGCTTAGTACAAAGAGCAGGAACTTCCCTTCAACTGTTGCGCTCCCTGTCTCTGATCTTGACTTTCTTTTTCTCTCCGAGCACTTTTCTTTTTGTTCCTCCGTTTCCACAGGGTTTGTTTTATTAAAAGCCTTCAAATACTTTCAGTAACCCCAGAGCAAAACCACAGGAGGAAACGTAAACTTATTTTAACCTATTGAGAGAACTTAAAGTGTGACTGAGTTCGACTCGACGGGCCATGTGGAGCAACATGAGAACAATCCTGTTATTTGTCATCATTGTCGCACCGGCTTAAATCTCTACAGGACAGGTTAAATCACCGGCCTCTGACACAACCCACTCTCACAGTTTGCAGCACCCTGCAGCAAGGGGAGGTATTTTTGGATGAACAAAGCAGTTGAGGTAAGAGGTGGGTTACAATGTGGGAGTGGAAATGTACTCCAGGATCAAATGAAGCAGCAGCCTGGAGATAAAGTGACTGGGTCAGAAACAAAGCAAGTGTGCAGGCTGAAGAGCCGCCTCAGAACACTCATGGGACAGACTAAACACCTCCATTAACAGGAAGGCGGTTGCCATCAGCGAACCCCGGCGCATGAGCACGTGTATTCGCATGCATGTGTCTCCGAGTGGTTCAGAGGAAGCAGCGCCAACAACAAGGACAAAGGCCCAGAGTTTGCTTCCCTCTCCGAAAATAAATGTATAAACAATCAAACAATGAAACAGGAAATGCAAAATAAAGATGTTATTCTTTTGCAGGAAATGAAGGTCAGGTTTACTGGGTCAAAACAGAGAGTAAGGAAGGAAGAATGAAAGAAGACATCTGGGTTAAAAAGAAAAGAGGGTCTGCTGGTTACAATCTATCACATGACCTGCAATCTTCTTTTTATGGACTCGAGTGCATCTCAAAAATATGAACATCATGAAAAGAGCAAAGAGCATATTTGTTTTAATATGGATGATTCTGGCTAACAGCTTATGAAATCATAAACCATTTTCGGTCTCTGAAATCTCCTGGTTGAAACTCTATGTGGTATTAAGACTTGATAAAACATTGTGGACTAAAGGCTAAAACATACAGGATGTGCATTTGGAACATGGCAGCAGCGTCACGCAGAAAATAGTTACCATTCTGATCAATGAAGCACAGGACGCGTATCAGCTCCGTCGCAGCCTCGAATCGAGAGCAATCTGATGGTCAATCCCTGATCCATGTGGACCCCAACAGGACTTCTACCTGCTAACTCTGTCTGAAGGTAACAGCATAAAGGAACATAGTTTACTTTATTAAACACGAGTAAACCAAAACTTTAAAATCATGTTGCTTTTTCACATATATATAGTAGAGGCTCAACAGTCACTGAATTATATCCAAATTAGCAGGAAATAAACCACAGAAACCTGTTGTGAGCATGTTGTTTCCGCTATATTGAGCCCAGCTGATCGGGGCTGCACTACGCTGCTGCCACGCTCCGAATACGCATCCTGTATGCGACACCCTGGGCTGCTCTACAGAGCAAACACGGAACGCTCTCAATACGGATCCTGTATGTTTTCAGCTTAAGGGTGTTAAGGTACATGTTACAGTGCACATGTGTGCCAAACTGAATGCCCAACAAAAAAAACATAAAATCCACGATCCAACATGGCCAAAAGACAGCAGTGGACCACACGCACAATCATGGGACAGGAACTGAAGACTGAAGACATCAGCTCATGGTGGCTCTTAAAGAACTGACTCCAACCTAATCCAAGTCCTTTTCCTACGACGCTTATCCCCTTAAGTGAACTCTCCATTATTCTGCTTTAATACAACACAATAAGGACAGCCAACTTTTCCAGCAATGATCGTCAGGGGTTTTCCCGCCTTGTGATGGGTGTTCATGTTTATCTTCTGGACAACTGTCAGGTCAGGAGTCATCCTCATGATTGTAGTTTAGTGTCCTATCGCAGATGAAGAGATTGAACAGCAATACCATCTCAAGCATATGATGTATTGCCAACATTTAACACATGCTTGACAGCCTTCTTTAAACAAAGTTGTGGCACAAAAAGAGTTGTTATCTTAGCTGAAGTCAAGAGTGTGCCTAAGTTGGACCAGACTTCTCTTCAGAAAATGAGGTCTTCTGGAAAACAAGGAACCAGCTGAGTCCTGTGCCAAAGATCTGGACCATGATAGGAACCGTGTCTGTTTTGAAACATGGGACACTTTTTTTCTTCAAGTGGCAGCCTCGCTTGAACAAAATGCAAAGAAAAACAAAAACAGAATAATGAAGTCGAGCTGATAAGAGTGAGAAAGTAATGGTGTAACGCTTCTGTAATGAGTAAAGTCTTGTAATCACTGGCTGCAGAAAATGCCGAGAGCTGGTCTGGTTTTATGTGGTCTGCTCTACGCTAAAGCCTGGAGAAGTATTTATGTGTGTGTGTGTGTGTGTGTGTGTAAATGTGTGTAAGATGTCGTCAGGGGTGATGGCGAAAAGCCAGACAGGCAGAATGAAGCACTTGGCTGCATTTAAAAACTTTGGTTTCTTGTTTCTTTCGCCAGGACTGACGCAATCAAGAGAACTGGGTTTAATTTTCCCTCCATAACTTTGTTCACTGGAAGGTTGTTTCTGAACTCGATGCAAACGACTGAGAATGTAAATGTGAAAAAGAGACGCAGATCCCTCAAAAACTCTTAATATCCAGCTGCAAGGAGTGCAGAGGTCCTTCGGTTCTAGTCCCACGCTCATCCAAGTGGGTCACACAAACACAACAGCTGGGCCCTGAGCGAAAGCTAAATGCCTTTGTTTAGACACAGGGAATAAAATGTCATTGGAGATCCTTCGCTGAACTTCCTGCGCGGATTCTGAGCGAGAGAGCCAGAGGTAAAAGAAATAAGCAGAGACAGGACACAGACAGGGAGACAAGAGTCACATGAAGCAAAAAAAAAAGATGGAGAGAGGAAGCCGTTTGGCCGGAGTTCAACCGTGCTCTGGTCTGTCACACTCGAGCAGAATTTGTAGGTCAAATTAGCATGAGAGGTCAGAGAGGCTGCGAGGGAGGGCGGGAGGAAGGAGAGATAGAGATATGAAGGCCAAACAGACAGGCTGCTCCTCTTCACTCAAGCCTCCCTACTCAGGGGAAAGAAGGACAATGGAGGAAAAAACAGAGAGAAGCAGAGGGAGGTATAGTAAAAACAAAAATGAAGACAGAGGCAGTGTGGCAGTGCATTCCATTTTTCAGTGTACACTCTTTTAGCTGCTGACCCCGGGGCAGAGACGAGACTTTAAAAAAATAAACAGAACCATATCTGGGTAGAGTTTGGGGATTTAGTGCCCCTCCCCTGATCCTTGTTAAAGGGGCCACAGCACAACACCACAAAAAAAAGCTGCAAGTCACACTTTTTATGGCAGGCTGAAATGACTTCTCCAGCTTGCAGACTGATGGAGACCCTGAATTAGATCCATAGGGCACAGTATAGGTTCGCTAACTCACCAGGGAACACTGTGGGGCACGATTAATCCAAGCTGACGTGAACTTCACTTCTTTCACTTCCGATCATTTTATCATCCGATTGGAGCGCCCACATTTTTCCTTTGGTTGGGAATAAACCTTGGATATCTGATAACTTGTTTTGTTATTAACTTACATTTCTGATTCTGGTGCCAGTTGATTCAAAATTAGAGTGCATAAGTACAGCTTACAGATATGCATCAAATGGACAAGAGCTGACTGCATACCCAGAAGAACATGCAGCTGTGAGGAGGGAAAACAACAAGCTTTCAAAAGTCGGCTTTGCTCACCTTCGCTGAGTGACGCTGCCACTAGTCTTTAAATTATAACTGTGGAACGATTATTACAGTACCCTACAATTTCATCATTGCGGCCGTCTAATATCGCATATCGCTATTAAATCATATATCGGCACATCCCTACGTGATATATATCAATATTGACTAATATGAAAAAAATATATCATGATTTACTTTTTCCCATATCGCCCAGCCCTACCTACATGTGGACTAGGCCTAAATCAAGATACCCAGGTGTTACCATTTGGCAGTGAATAAGCTGTTAACATTCTCTGACCCTGAGTCACTCTATCTTCAAGATATCTTTAAGTCAGAACCTGTATCCTATTGCACACGGTATCTAGATTATATCATAAGAACTTCAACACAAACCAGAAAGAGGTTTCTTTAAACTGAGAGCAAAGACAATTTAGATTTCATCTAAAACAAAGCCAACTATCACATTTCTTTATGAATTGTATGAATAGCAGTGGTAATATTAACAACAGAAATGTTTCCACTCAGTTTTAATATTTTAAAAAAAGAAACAGATTAATCCAGAAATTACTGGTAGGTAATGATCTGCTTTGGTACAAAAGAAATGAGTAGAAAAGTTTCCACCAAAGTGTTTGGATCTTTATCAATCGGTCAATTAGCATCACATCTCACTTCACGGCTTTCTAACAACTTTCTAACAACTTCCATTCCCTCTTGTCCTTGCCCCTCTTATCCTCTGCCTTTATTAATAACGGGGAACAGCACGTTTATGCATAAATCACAGGTGCTCTTTCGGTCTCCATATGGCGTAGATCTCATCTTTCTTTGTAGACAGCCTGAGATTTATTTAGCGTCCTGTTTGGAGTTAATTCAAACCAGGCTGAACTGAACTCGACTGGACTGTAAAGGGGGAGAGAAATGCTCACGTGTGTGCGAGAGGAGGATTCTTCTCATGCACAGAGAAGCCATTCTTTTCCCCCTGTCTGCTGCACCACTGACACAGAGACCTAGAAACACTGAGATCACAAACTGCATCAGCGCAGAGAAGAAGAGGAGGAGGAGGAGGAGGAGAAGGGAGGGGGAAAACCCCGGCGAGTCGACTCCTTTGGGTGATTAAAAAACAGCATTGTGCTCTGATATGAATGCTCTGCTGCTGTGACGTCTTTGGCCTGATATTTAACTGCGAAAAATGACTTAGTGAGGCAGCTGTGAGTTTGGCAGGCGAGAGCTGGGGGCTGAAGAGGCACAGCGGACCCCCTACCCATTTCCCCCTCCTGTTCACCCCTCCTCCTCTCGTTACTCAAGAATGCACATCCCCACTTTCTCCTCGTCTCGAATCAGTTTCTCTCGCCTCTGCTGCTTTTTTACCTTCCTTTCCCATGATTCTCATCGTCAGAAACAATCAAAAAATGAACGGACTATGTGGAAAAAAAGCTGTTCGTTTGTTCAATATCTGAGTAAAAAAAACAAAGGCAGCATTTAAACAAACACTCCCTTGGTTGCCTGTATTAACTCCACAGCTGGTTCCCATTATGGAAAATGGTTCTCTTTGAAAACCCCTGTTTTCCCACCTGAGAGAGCAACTCTCCTGACTTATTTTACAAAGTTTTTTTTAAGAGAAGCTCAAAAATCATCCAGTTAGATAAACATTTTCCTTGTGGGTCGACATTAGCAACAAAAAGGAAAGCATTACAAATAAGTTAAGATACCATGTTTCAGTCTTCTCTCTCTTTTAACAGGAGACAGAGACCCCACGTGTGTCTGAGGCTAACTATTAATGAAGCATGGATATGGATGGTGCAGTGAAAGGCTGGGGAGAGGGAGGTAACAAGGGCTGGGAATCTTGGTTTCTGAGGGGCAAAGGGTGTGGTGGACAGTGCTGGACTGAAAAAGCCGGAGATGGGATCCTCTTTCCCCTCTTTTCCTTCTACCACAGCCTCAGATTGTCCCGTTGGGAACAGAGTACAAGACTAATCAGAAGAAAGTCCCTCTTTCTGATCTGACAAAATATTTTGAAACCATGGGAAAACCCTCCTCCAAAAACTGCATCAGCTCATTAATGTGTTTAAAAATCATAGATGGTTGGAACAAGAGAGCTGCGGCTAAGTGCATTCCCTCACTTAAGAGCAATTACTTAAAGAGCACTTAGTGAAATGGGGCAGCACAGCAGCGCGGTCCCAAAACAAAATTTTGGTCGTGGTTTAACAAATTTACTCAACCGACCACTTTGACAGGCTCTTCACTGATCTTGAAAGCTTTTTTTTTCTGGTGAAATAGTTCAGAGTGACTCTTGAAAAGTCCACCAGCCATCAATCTACACTGCTCAACGACACATACATGTCTTTTCTGCTTTGTACATCAGAAACTGTGTCTTAAAACCCAACAACAAAACTCTTATTCCAATATTTCAAACTGTGATGTGATCAGAAAGCAGCTGACGTGGTCAACTGAAGCTTCTTTGTTAAAGAGACAATTCTCTGGATTCTGGGGCAGGAAAAAAGAGGTCAGATTTAAATCCAGCAGCTCTGTCCTTCGTTGGTGTCCTTTTCGCCCACCACGGGTCGACAGAGGAATGTCTTGTGGCAACAAGGCTGCTGTGACTGGACACAATTCTGCTGAGGATAGTGCTGTCCAGGGCCCGAGAGAGGAGGGAGAAAACAGGAAAAAAGGAATAAGTGTTGTGTTGTCTGCTGCTCTGCTGAATGTGTGGGCTGTCGTTACAGCCGCGCATACAAAGGCCGCTCTGACAGGAGCAGAAACAGGCAGCGAGGGAGTAGCAGAGGAGAGGACTCCTTCAAGTAAAGAAGAGCACAAGTTAGTGAAAAACTACAGCTGCATGATCTACTGTTGGAAATCATGAAACTCAATCTACTGACTGATAACCAAACTTTACTATAAAAAGAGACTCGAATGAAAAGGTTTCCTGGAGCAGAGTTATGCGCAACTTCCTCTTGTTCTGAGGACCGTTTCAGGTTCCAGCAACACCCTCCAATCAAAGCGGCACAAAGATATCTAATCAGCCAATCAAAGTGCAGACATGAAAAGCGAGCTGACTTTGGCCATGCCATGTCTGAGGCAAAGAGACTTCTGGGTAACAGATGGAGCTGATATCATATCCCTTGAGTGGCCATCTGTGTAAAAACATACAGCACAACACAACACACACACACCCTCTTGTTGTGGTTTGACTAAAAGGACACATCGTTTCCTCTGGGCTCTTTGTTTGGTGCAGTTTGTGCTTTTGCCTAGCGTCAACTTGAGACACGAGTCCTGGTTGGCACGCGCTTGGTCTCCATGGGTGTGTATTTACAGGGAGGGTACAACATGGCATTAAAACTAGACAAACATGTCGGTAAGTTGAAGGAAAAAAAACTCACATTTACAAGCTGTAGTAAGAGCTTCTGCAACACTCCATTATGTAAGACAAGCTCTCACTGATTTAAAAAGATAGTGAGCTCATTATTTCTACCAGGAGAACCCTCTTGGTGTTGGCCTTTTCCTAATCTACCCTTGTGCGTATCTGTAAAATCATCACTCAAAGCACTCTCAGCTTCCTTTAAGATTACCACAAGTTTGAATCACAGCAGCAACATCAGAGAGAAAGTCTAAATACAAGATATCAACTCTGATGTTGTCACCAAATCGTGGGATTCTTCAACAGTTCGCTCAGAAAGCCAAATTATGCTTTAATGACTGGATATTTCAGTTTGTGTGAAAGAGAGTCAGTTCGTTACCTCCTCCTGTGAGGCATAGTGAGGGTCTGCAGGGTCCACCGACCAGTAGCAGTAGTCAAAACAAAACTCCAGAAGCTTCTCCCTCGAATCCACAGCACTGTCAGCGCGCCCGTCCAGCTTTAGGGAGAAAACAGAGGAGAAAAGCCCGGTCATGATAGTACATAAAGACGGAAAGAAATAAAGAAAAAAAGCCTGAAGACAAGTCGTATAATACCTCTTGTATAATACAACATTAAGACAATACAAGCTTATATAAAATAACAAACAGCTGTCAACAAAAAAATACAGCAGAGCCAGGTACTACAGCTTTTGTTTATGTGACTGCTGCAGTGTGAAATTGCAAGCAAGCTTTTTCCATTCATCAGCGATGCATTCACTGCTCCTCCAGCTCTCTGGACGCCTCACTGCGTCGACATTGAACAGTTTTCTGCTTACCGAGTGGATCCTGAGCAGCAGTGTTTGGACTTGTCCAGGCACAACGTCTGCACCTGTAAATAGTAAATGAGCAGGACGGCTCTTCTAAATCACTGCGCTGAGCCCTGCAGTGCTGGACTGTTTTCATTGAAAGGACCTGAGACTGATCTTTCCACTCTGATGTTTGATGTATTCTAATACACTGTCTGTCTGTCTGTCTGCAGGAGCTCTAAGTCAGTTCATTCATTTGCAAATATAGGGAATGATTTAAGGTGTAAAGTCAGTAGGGTTGTAAAGTCCTAGTCGACTGGACGACTTATTGGTCGATACGCGCTGAGTCGACCAAAATTCTGATCAGTCGACTCAATTTTTTTCCGCGTCGATTTACAGTCTATGTTTAATTTCATCAGGAGGAACGTACCAAGTGCTAATGGGGGTGTTTTCAAAGCACCCGCTTTTCACAGGTACCAGCCTGTCTCAGAACACACCCCCTGTTGTCACCATTTTGGATTCACCCAACCCACTGAAGCCCGGCTGGAGAAAGGAAGATTGAAGAGCATCCACGTTATTCAATGTCCCATGGTTTACTGAATATTCATATTTTAGACTTTTGTGTTTAATTGCCCTCTTGTGCTGCTTTTAGTATATTTTCACCCCGCCGAGCCGCGTCGTCCTCCACCACAGAAGGGTTTGCCTTCGAGTGTCTTTTACACGCTTCCAACTCATTAAGTCCACGTGACACAAAATCAAAACTTACGTACAAAACCACGGACATTTGAAGGATCTTCTAAACTTCCCCGGACAAGGCCAGGCAAACCCTGACAGCCCCCCAGAAAAGAGGACATGTCCAGGTCAAAAAGGACATATGGCCACCTTAAAAATCCCCCATTAGTTGATTTTGGGTTGAAAATTTCAGGGTTTTAGTTGACCAGGAATTTCTTTGGTTTGATTACAGCCCTAGTATTTAGACATCAGTTTGCTGGATAGCTGTGATCTTCAGACCCTCAGGCAGAAGTGCATTAAAACAGATCTGTCAGTCTCTGTGGTGGAAATCTCTGCATGGGCTCAAAATCACTTGGTGATCAAAGTTTGCGTCCATAAATGCAGGTTAAAAATAAACCATGCAGAGACCAAACCATATATTATTAACACAATCAAACCATCACATCCTGTCTTGAATTGGGGTTGTCTTAGTGCTGACTGTGTAATATGACTTGTTGTGCAGTTTCCCGTCATTTGAAAGACTGAAACAAAGCCTGTCTCCTTTTTCTTGACTTATGTGTCAGATTTTTATGTACCATAGATTTAGGAGAGGGTCCTTTAGCCAGAGTGAACTTCAGTCTGTGAGTCAATGTCTCAAAGAGGAATATATTAAATTACATCACAACAACAAAACCTCTCCTTGCTCTGACTGAGGCGTTAAGCAACACTAAGCTCACGGTTTAAATTTTGTTCACAGCAATTGGCTTCACTGAATGCATGAATGTTTAACCCTTCAGCACTTTTAGGAAGTCCAACAATGGGCCTTATAGTGTAAGGGATTAGCCAAAACCAGCACCAGCCAACAGCCCTTCAACCTCTGATCAGGGCGAACAAGAGAAAAATGACACCATCTTCTTTTTTACACTTTTTAATTAAGTTCAGTAGCTCTTCGTAGCGACCACTTCCCGTTGTTCGTTTGTTAGCCACGCGTTTACTGTCCCTTAAAATCCACCCTTTTTTCTTTCTATCTCAGATCCTCAAAAACTGTCCCACTTTCCATAAATAATCATTCCCAGGAGACCCACAGCAACCGTGGAGTCTTGAGTCTTTTCCATGCAGAGGGAGGCCATATGTGCTTCGTCTCTGTCACATTATTTGTAACAGATTCTCTCCTCCCCCACCCAACATCTCTCTCGTACATCAGCGTTCAAAACTCCAAGTGTAAACAACGAGGGGCGATTCTTAGCCGCCAATTTGATCGACATTTTCAGGATGGAGATATTTATATGTGTGATTGAGTTGTAGGGAAATGTGAGGTTTGAAATTTCATCTGAGCTGCTGAGCTCCTTTGATGTGTTTGTACATTTGGATTACTTGTAAACATTTGAGATGAACATTTCGATAAATACTCCTCAAACGTCTTTTTCATCTAAAAGCTACACCCATCAGATAGACCAACCAAGCTCTATCACGTCTTTAAAAGCTTGAGCAAACATTCTCGAGGGAAAACATGGTGTCACATGCTCCACACCGACACAGTAGAACCAGCACCAGGCGGTCTGTCTGCAGGCAATGGAGCTCAACCAATCACACGAGTCTTCTAAACCATCTGACACAGCAGGTTAGTGCAAGTGTCGGCTTACATTGTAATTATTCCCAAATGTGCAGAACCTTGTGGAAACCTAAATTAATAACTCGGATAAAAAAGATATCCATTTCAGTTCCAACCCAACTCCAAGAGGGCTAGACGTGTGGATTTTGATGGATTAAAAGCATAATTGAAAACACTATAAAAACAACGTTTCCAATGTAGAAGCTGAAAAATAGCTTTGTTTTGTAAAAATATACTCATTTTAAATGTGTATTAATTAGGGCCTGAGTGATATGGATTTTTTGGGGCCGATGCCAATTACCAGGGGGGAAAAAAATCAGATTTCTGATTAATCGGACGATTTTTTTAAATTTTTATAAAGTTATAAAAAAAATACATATATACTGTAGATATCTACAGTGTATCATATACTGTAGATATACTGGAGGTTACTGCTCTTCACGCTGACAGGAAAACCGACTGATCAAACTCAGACCAGAAAAGCGTTTTCAACTACCCTCAAGAACCACAATTCGTTGCTGCATCCTCAAATACAGGTTTAAAGTGTACCAGACGGAGACACTGCTGTCCTTGCAGGTCTGCTTGTGCACCCCATATACAGAGATAATAATCCTCACACAGACAGCCCAGGTTGGAGTCCAACCTGAAGCTCCTCTTCTGTGCATCACTGCCCACTCTGCCCCTGAACCCTTCTCTATCCACTGTCCTTTTATCTGCAAATAAAAACAAAAAGCCAAAAGATAAATCTGTACTAAGAAAAGAGTAACCTATATATAAACATGATTCAGAAATACTGGTGTCCTCTCTAGGCCTGAGCCCTTTTGATCTGGACTGAAGTGGAAAGCTGTCCTGTGGTCTGACCTGTAAATTTGATATTTTCTTTGAAAATCATGGACCCCCACTGTTCTAAGAAAAAAAAGGGACCACCTGTTTGTTATACCTGAGGACCTGAGGACTGCACCTAATCTTAATGATTTTAAAAACAAACTGAAAACATTCCTTTTTAGTCTTGGTTTTCACTACATGTTATATCATTAATTTGTTTAAGTGTTTTAGCATTTATCTCTTCTAGTTTTAATGACAGGATCGTCTTTTATTGAGCTGTTTTGGTGCTCTTATTGTAGTATCCTTTGCTGTTGTTTTTATTTCATTTTGTTTATTATGTCTTACATTTTAATTTATGTTACTTTGTTTTTAGATCTTAAAACTCCAGTGTTTCCTTATCTTGAATTTTAAGTGGCGTTTACTCAGTGCGTACATTCCTGTTTATATGAAGTCCAGCCCTCTTTCAATTCATGCATTTTAATACATGTTTCTATTGCGCTTAGATTGCCGGGTGGGAATGAGGGGTTGGGTTGGAGTAGATTAGGGTTTTTCTACTTTGTGCTACATCGTTTTTGTATGAAAAGTGCTTTAAAAATAAAGACTGACTGATTGATTGATATGTGCACATGAAGAGCCAGCATGTGCACAACAAGAGTGTCCATGGCATGGGTAGTTTAGACACCATTCATGCTGAACAATGCATACAGGTTTTAGGGTAATATATGTCTTTATAAGAGGTGACCTAGAACTACAATAAGAGGATGCCAAACCACATTCTGCATGTATTACAACAGCATGGCTCCATACCAGCAGAATCCAGGAGTCTAAACTGACCTGCCTGAAGGCCTGACTTGACACCTATTGAAAACGTTTGGTAGATCATAAAACAAAACGACAATAAAAAGATACCTCAGACGGCTGAGTGGCTGAAATCTGATGCTAGGCGGGAATGGGACAACGTTTCACTTTCAAAACTCAAGAAACTGGTCTCCTTGGTTCCCGAATGTTTATAGAGGGTTGTTAAAAGAAGAGGTGTTACAACACTACAGTGAACATGCCCCCGTCTCAAGTTCTTCGTAACATGTTGCTGGCATCACATTTCAGATGAGCATAAAACAAGAACATTTTTCATTTTCAGTATTTGAAAGGTTTTCTTTGTACTGCCATCACTTTAATACACACAGTAAATGAATTGTAGACCATTAAAATCTGTTTTTAGAGGCTTCTATTCAAAACAAAGTTAGAAACATTTGTCTCATCTTGCAATCCGGACCATTTTATGGACAGCCTGGAGCAAGACCCGCTTTCACAAATATCTAATTGAACCCATGTTTGTGTACAGTGTCTCATTTGCCCGAGTTTATTTTCTGGAAGCTTTTCCAGGCAACATAGTCTCTCGCAGTACATGAAGTCATCTGTAGTAGTGTGGCTGTTTATTGGTGTGCAGAGTTTCATAGTGCACGTGTTTGGCAGGAAGGGTCTCTCATCTGAGTGAGTGTGTGTGTGCATGGGTGTATGTGTGTGAGTTCGACACATACAATAAACAGCAGTAACAGGCTGACCCAATGCTGTAAACATCCTGCTGCCGTGATAAAAAAAAGCCTCAATTCCTCCAGTTCTACTAAAAGTAGACACACCAGTTTGCAAACATGGATCAGTTCTGTTTGACAGTTGAGACAATTTTTCACTCAATACTCACCTTCACATTTCGGATCTTCACAAACTTGTCCTCCACCTGCACTGCCAGCCTCCCTCCATCCATGCTCTCCCTGTAAGAAAAGAAGAACTGCTCAGTAAACATCCATCTTTAACATTAAAAGGATATTCTGGCGTAAAATTAATTTAGGGTCAAACACACCCTATTACTGAGTTAGACACCCCCTTGAGGGATGAATGTTGACAAACGCTTACTTCTCTAGTTTTACCAACTTTAGTAATGACCGCACTCTATAACCACATATGCTCAGAACAGCACCTAACTTCATTAACAGGACATATAGGGTCACAGACACAGCACTAGCCACCAAACATCTTTTTAACTTTGCCTTATTCCTTCAGCAAAGAGACTAAACACAACTCACCTACTCTCTTCCAGCAGCCGCTTGTTTGTGGCGAGACCTCAGGCCAGTCCATTACGGACTACAGCGGGGTGACGCAGCTCAAGGAAGAACATTTATGATCATTTCTTTATCATTTCCTTGAAGTAATAATCACCATATTAATCATTTTGCACTGCAGACGCGATAGTTCTTCTGCCTTAGCATCTCGGTCTGATTGCATTTACATGAGGAAATACTCATACATGTTCTTCCTTGAACTGCGTACCCCCAGCACCTGTCCATAATGGACTGACTGAGGTCTCGTTACAAACAAGCGGCTGCTGGAAGAGAGTAGGTGAGTTGTGTTTAGTCTTTTTGTTAAAGAAATGAGTCAAAGTTAAAAAGATGTTTGGTGGCTAGTACTATGTCTGTGACCCTATATGTACTGCTGATGAAGTTAGGTGCTGTTCTGAGCATTATTTGTGGCTGTTCACATTGTGGCGTTTTGGTTGAGGTTTGTTTATGGCTCCTCAGACCTCTGTATATTGCTATCGTGCGGCCGTCACTAAGTTGGTATAACTTGAGAAGCAGGCAGTCGGCAACATCCATCTCGCAAGGGGGTGTCTAACTCTGTGTTATGGTGTGTTTGACCCTATACTAATTTATGCGGGAATATCCCTTTAACACATGTTGAATAAAGTAAAGCAGAGCTAAGAGGCCAAATCAGGTTCAGTCAGTGTCCCCTCCAGATACAAACCAGACAGAGATTTGACAAGGGTTTCAACTCTAAATGGGTTTAAATCCTCTTTTTTTCCTCATGCAGATCTAATTTGAGCGAGTGTCCAAATACATTTAAACCAGTTCCACTTGACTTGAGGCCATCACATGACAGCTCATACAATGAATGCGTTTGTGTGTGTGAGATCCATGAAATCCTTGCTAGTTTCAGATTCAAATGAAAACAGGCCCCCACACACCCCCAGAGACTTCCTCTGATGATGCAGCCTGGGCTGTCTCCACAAGAGCACCCACAAGTCAAATGTGTGTGTGCACATGTTATCGGAACCAGTGTGTGTCTGTGTGTGTAAAACAAGGTCAGCGCGGCTATGTGAGCTCCAGCAGCTGGACCGAGCACATCTGATGCAACACATGCGAAACTGGAGGCAATCACAACACAGAGCTGAGAGAATTTCGATCTCCAGGAGCGATAATGACGGCAAATATTGCTGCCGCCTGCAGAGCGAGCTCCTTGCTGTGCCGCCGTGGTGGATTGGGGGCAGACGGTGAGGCTGTTGTAATCGCAAGCTCTCCCTGTGTTCCACCACGCGGGACTCATTTTGCCAACTCCAGCAGTGGCCCAACCCAAAACCACTAACCTTCAATCTCAGGCTCAAACTAGCATGAAAGAGAGGAGGTCTGAGGTTGGAAAAATAGTACGGCTTGTAAAAAAAAAAAGTGTTTTGATACAAACCTAAGATGAGCAATTACACAACTGTGTTGGCATGTTTACTGCACATATGGGGGGCTGCTTTAATTGTAAAGGGGGCAGATGAATCTTATCGGTGAGCAAAAACAAAGAGGAACACACCACAGGAGGAATGCAGTTAACCAGGCTGGTGTTAATGTTATCTCAGCATGATGTTACTCTAATAGAGAAGTAAGGAAATGTATCTCAAGACAAGAGCAGAGGACGGTTACAGTGACAGATGCACAAATCAGGAAGCAGAGATTTGCATGACAGTGAACATTATGTATAAGAAATTCTTTTGTTATGCAAACCACCAGGAAGACAGGGTGAAAGAATCATTGTCCAGCCCTTCATGGCCTGAATAATGCTTTGTTATGGGGCTGTAGTGGCTTTCACATGAAGTACCCCTACAAAACACACTGCAGAGGGTGAAAATAATTCAATGCACTACTCCAGAGTTCATACCTACTATATCCTCAGTTCCTTAGGAGCTGTAACTTAACATGTTGAAGCAATCTGCCTGTTAATGTACAGGGAGAGCAAAGCAACTCAACAACCCTCCTTGTGTTGCTTTGCTACTTAAACAGCAGAATTCACTGCAGTGTAAAACTGGAGGGAAAACTATTTTCTATGAATGCCCTCCACTTAACAAAGCAAATAGTTCTCCTGAAATGAGTTAAAGAGGATTAAGCCTTTTTATTTTTTCATTTAATCACTCAAAACTGCTTGAAAAAAATAATGCTGGTGGAGCTGATAACTTGTCAAACAAACAAAAACTGAAGCACACAAAGAATGAACAGTATTAGTTGACTTAATCTTCTTTTTACTGTTTAAATGCTAGGAAATGAAGCACCAGTATATCTGCCCTCTTCCATATAACTTTCTATCTAAATTATCCGCCCTCTCAATCTGTCCTCTGACACGCCAAAGCTAATAACGTGTTGTGGTTGACATGTCTTTGACTTGTTGGCACCTTGTCTGTTTTAACATCTCTAGGTAGCTTCTGCACTGTTTTACCACTTTTTCTCATGTTTTCTTGCTCTGTTGCTACCCAGAATTAAAGACTGTTGTCAAGGGGTTTTGACCAATCAGGATCAAGTATTTAACACAGCTAGGTGATCACCGAAAAAGTGATGATTACAGGTATTTTTTTTTATCCACAACGCCTCTGGTTGACGTGGCATGGGTGGCAAATTAAACAGGGTGTATTTCATTAAACTAAAATTAAGTGTAAATATTTAATAACAGCAAGAATAAACTGATACAGAAGAGTGGTATTGATCTGACATGACGTGGCACAAGATCATTGTGGCACTGTAGCATAAGTACACATTTCTTTCCCGGGTGAAAAACAAGTTCACATTTTCAAATGGCGTGTTCTGCCTTAACAACTCAACATAAATATTTGTTTAACTATTAAATTAAAACACAAAAGCAGCAGGTGACCACACCTGAGAGGCTGAGAAACTGACCGAAACAGTTTTGTGAAGAAACACAAAAAATTATCATAAAGGTATACAGAGCAAGTTTTTTCTTGAAATATTGAGACGATCATTCAAGCACTGCTCAGAAATTCTTGGTTGTTTGAAATCCATGACATTAACCCTCCTATTATCCTCAAATATTACTAAAACATTTTACCTTTGAGGTCAATCTGACCCCAGGTATATTTGCCCTCAGAAAATGATTTACATGCAATTGTTGACCAAGATTTTTTGTCAGGCACTTTGTTTATTTGTTGAGTACATAAATAACTCCTCAAGAATGAAACCTATCAACAATTTGACCTGTTCTCTAGCGCCACCAATAGGCCAAACTTTTAAAGTAGAATTAATGTATCTTGAAAAATTTTCATACAAATCTTCTCTAATTGGCTGAGAATGAACCCTACTAGTGTTAGTGATGATATGACCTTTCCTGGAGGGAATAGCTGTTTTTTCCCACCTCCCTGTTATGTTATCAACTCAAACGTATCAAGTCTGCACCTGTAGGTATGGGGATGTTGGGTCACACACAGAGACAGTCAAGTTTTACACAGCCAAAACAGCTTGGGGTCAAATTGACCCCACAGGAACACCGTGCAGTAAGTGTGCTAAATCAGTTGTCCCCATCAAATTAGGAAAAGTCATGAAATATGAAGCACAAAAACAAAAGTCAACTATTATTTTTTAAATGATAAACATTGAATAATAGGAGGGTTAAAGCTCCCGTAGAGAACTTATGACTGTTGTCAATTTCGCGTCCCTTTAACATTGATACCTATTATATCGTTGCGGATTTTGCACTGCAGATGTTGAAGCATTTTCTGAGGCATCAACATTAGTTTCAGTGCATTTCAAATCCAGTTCAAAATCTCATACAGGAGCTTTAAGTGACTGGGGTAGACACACACTTTGTTTGCTTAAATGTTAATTGTTGTACCTCATGCTAACTGCTTTGTAGTGTTAACACAGCCTTGCTCGGTTTTTTACATTACTCAACAGACAGTTGTTCTGCACACAAGGTGCTTAGTCAGACAACATTACTGACAGCCACAGTTGTCACTAAACCCATGTGCACCAACTCAAGCACTTTATCCGACTAAAGCTAACTTGCTAGCTTAGCTTAATGTTCCTCTTTTTGACTTTACAGATGGCAAAAATACATGAACGTGAATACAAAAAGGTGAACAAGCGATGTGTCAGTGTTGACGAAAAAACAACAAGCAGCAGTGACTGAACAATGGCAGCGACAACAGTAGTGACAGAAACAATGGAGGCAGTTTAACAAAGTAACTCCGTTTATGTTCGTTTATTAAAGTGTTAAATTAGCTTTAAGCTTACCTCGCGCTCAGAGGACGGACTCGAACCGCAACTTTAACGTTTGCCATGATACTTGAACGATTTTCCTTCTCCACTCAGCGGTTTACTAACTCTGAGCTGGTGTAAAACAACCCAAAGTTGTCCCGGGAGAGCATATTGAGTCTTCTGTCATTTATATTTTTATTTTTTGGGCGATAAAAGTATTAAGCGGGTGGAGGCGGTCTAGCCACCCGCTGTTCAAGTCATCTCCACCGGGGATCTGGTCGTGGGTTCAACCGCCCGCCGAATCTCCCCAACACGGAGAAGAGGAGTGAAACTTCCTCCTGAGGGAGGGGAGGAGAGACGCTCCAAACACTCCTCCTACTTCACCATATTTACATCCTTTTTGTTTTTTTTTACATGTCTGTTATTATTCAAATCCCCCCTAAATGTTTTAAACTTATAAGTGCAGATTAGATTTAACACCACTGACTGAACATTTTTTGGTTTTGCATTATTTTGCACCACATTCTTATTAACTGTGAAGTTACTTTTAACTTTTATTAGAACAAAACTTAATATATATTCTATATTGTTAACCAGTTACTAAGTTTTCAAGAAGAAAAGTCAAATTTTTCCTGCTTCTTCATGTATTTTCTAGTGAGTTTACTCCTCCATAAATGTACGGTGGCCGAGAACCGCCACTGCTGCAAATAAAAAAGAATGCAAAAAAAAAGAATTCACAACGGAAGTTACCGATGCAAAAAAAAGAAACCGAAGCCCGCTGCAAATAAAAAAAAAAAAACAGTGCAGATAAAAAAAAAGCCACAACAGAAGTTAACAACGCAAAAAAAAAAGTGGCGATAAACAAGTTACTCACTGTGACAATAAAAGGATGCAAAAAAAAAAAAAAAAAAAAAAACACAATGGAAGTGAGCTGCCAGGAACTAATAATGATGATGCACTGGTGTTTTACGATCTGGGCACAGAACACGACGGCGAGAAGACGAGCAAAGAAGTAAGTGGAAAGGTAATTGTTTAATGTTGCTTTGTGTACTTTTCAATGTGCCATGTGGTTAGGCCATGTTACACCTCAGTCGATATGAAGTTGAACTTAAGCTAACACAACACCGGCATCCTCCAGTTCAACTTCGTATCAACTCAGGCGCAACATTGCCTAACCAAATGACACGAAGAGAAATTAAACAATAACCTTTCCACTTACATCTTTGCTCGTCTTCTCACCATCATTTTCTGTGCCTAGACCGCAAAACATTGGTGCATCATCATTATAAGTTCCTGGCAGCTCACTTCCATTGTGACTTTTTTTATTGGCATCCTTTTATTTTCACAATAAGTAACTTTTTTTTTTTGCGTCGTTAACTTCCGTTTTGGCTTTTATTTTTATCAGCATCGTTTCTTTTTTTATTTGCAGCGGGCTTCAGTTTCTTTTTTTTGCATCAGTAACTTCCATTGCTTTTTTTTTTTGCATTCTTTTTTTACTTGCAACAGTGGCGGACCTCAGCCACTGTATAAAAGTAACCTGAATTACACAATTTAAAAAATTTAGACAATTTAACATTTGTGTTTGTTTTTGACAAATAATAGGCCATACAGGGGATCTAAAAAAAACAACCAACACTGAAAATAATCATACAATCACATGCTTTTAACACATTACATTTTTATTGAGATATTTATTTTACAGCAACATAAAAATAGTTCAGTTTAAAAGCAGCAGGAAGTACAGCGGTAGTTCAACATGAACAAAACAAATCACAAACGCAGTTTGGCATTCATGAAACAAACATGCAGTCACTAGTGGTGGCGGTCGAAAGGCAGTGTGTGAAAGTGCTTTATTAAAATCAAGACATTAATTCTCACCAGACGGTCTCTAAAATCAACATTTTCAGTCTGTCTCAGTAACTGCCGAAACTATGGCTTGTTTGTGGACACCTCAAACTGGGAGCATGAAAAGATATTTTACACGCCCAGAGCCAAATTCCTTGAGTGATAAACAGCAAAAGCATACAAATGCATATTCTGATGCTGACACATCTGCGTTCACAGATTATTTGCTTAGGTCTAGAGTGTTTGGTCTATTAGTATTCCTAATAAAATCATCTAGCAGATTCAAAGTTCAGCAGATCTAAAGTCTGCAATGATGTGGTTCTTTACTCCTTCTGACTGGCAGGGCTTCTGGTTTTCACACCAAAGAGGGATTCATGAAAGGCTGCTGTCACTTCACAAGTGAGTTACAAAAGTCTAAAGCTTGCAAAGTGTGTGCAAGGGCTGGCTGTGGAGCAGCTTTGATGTGCTGTGCAGTGGAAAGTCAGAAAACGGACGACAGCAATTCATCCAAAACTCTCTCTCTCTCTCTTTCTTGAGCAGCACACTTGAAGAGTGATAAAACCCTGTGGTGATCAGAGGAAAGACGAGGAACAGAACTAGAATCACTATTACTGTTGTCATGTAGTGCCCTCTACTGTTTGTTGTGAGACCTGCAGCAGCTCCGAGTGGCTTTGCAACTCGGCCAGAGGCAACTGTGGTTTAACACCCTGTGACTGCAGCTGAAAATTTTCTATCAGCTCCTGAAACGACACAAAAACCAGAGAACAAAGTGAGCAAGAGACGAATTGAGTAAAAGGAGTCAAAAGAGGTCAGATCATTACAGGAAGAAATGACTTCAAAGGAATATGTGATGACAAGAAAGGAGGTAAAGCTCACTGCTGGCAAGGCCAAGTCTGAGAGCTTCTTCCAATGAGATACGACCTCTTCCTCCCTCAGGACTCCTCTGTCGACCAGCTGTCTGACCAGGAACAGGTAGGTGTTGCACTAAAAAAGGGAAATGGCATGTGTTGGAAGAAGGTAAAAAGAAATGAGGTAGCAGCTGAGGTTGTTTGTGTAGGAGAGTTCAGTTTTCTGAGGCACAGTTGTGTCAGGTTGTTCACTCCCGTCAATACCGGTACGGTGCAACAACCCTACTAAAGAGCAGGTGAGATCCCAAGTTACAAAGTGTAACAGGTAGAAAACTTGGATTTGGAAAGAGCATATCAGTAGCTCAAATATAAAAGACCTGGTTAGCTGATCAGCGCCTCACAGGTGAGAGAAAATATGAGAATAGTGTGAAATCAAATAGGTTTCCTGACGGCATATTAAATTTCAAAATTAGGACATGCACTTTTATTTGAAGTTTCTTAAAATTTGCCTAGTTACATGGTTGAATCGGCCTAGTCTGCAGCATTTGATAGCCTAGTTTTCACTCTGGTTCTCCCCAAATCTTAAAAAATCAGGACCAGGTTGACCAGCATCCATGTGGCTAATACATCGAATACCTAAAAACAACTCTAAACAACCTCACTCACATTTAAGCCTTGCAGAAAAGCACTAAATAGCCAAAAAAAAAAAAAGAAAAGATGAGTATTATGAGTATTACAGACAGTTGAATGGTTCGATTAAGGCCAGGAATATTTGCATCATGTCATTTCTGTCTGGCATTTTTATTCAGATGTCCAAAAGTGACCATAAAGCTCATTTAGAAGGCCATGTTTATATGCAAAAAGGTGTCTGAGGTGTATATCCTACAATCAGAAAGCTGTAAAAGACAAAGATAACTTTAGCATTATTGAAACTTCTGTTTCAGGGACAGAACATTTGTTTGACCTACCTCCATGTCGCTGGCCTTCAGCACAGCAGTGACAGTGAGCGGCGTGAAGAGAAGGTGAAGAGGAGCAGAGGAACAGCAATCTTCTTTCCACAGCTCAGCAAGCTGCTCCAGCAGGGCTCTGACAGGAGGCTCTGACCCCAAACCAGGACCCACAACAACCCCATCACCTGGGCTGCACTTTGACAGAGGCAGCACCGGCAGCTCTGCAGACACTGAGCACATACGCACGATAAACATCAAGCTTTGAGTTGCTTCCATCCAAAATAACCCAGGGACAATGCGACAGTTAACGAGAAATTTTGCAGGCAGTAAAAAAAATAAGAGAAACATGAGATAGTACCGAGTTTGCAGGCCAGTAGGACGGTGGAGTTCACCAGCATTTGGTCTGACACTGCAGTTGAAAACTTGGAGAAGAGAAAAGAAGAACAGATTGAGACAAATGCTGGCAAAAACAGTCGATTCACCATGATGAGGTGTTGTTTTTCCATCTTGTACCTTCCGGCAGGCCAGTGTTTCTCCCACTCTCTGCAGCAGAGTTTGGATTTGAGAGCCGGTCGGCAGATCTTCATCCGTCCTGGGGCCGACTGCAACACTCAGCAGCTCCTACACTCAGAAGACGAAGTGGAGACATCAATCGCTTTTAATTCAGCTGGAAATTGGGTCGATCCTTCAGAGATACAAGCTTGTTATTTTGAAATTAAGAGACTGGGCGACTTTTTCTGATGAAAAACAAGTATCTATGGAAGTTTTTTCTCACACAGGCTTACCTTCATCTCTACGAGGACGTCAGAGGGTAGTGGAGCTGTGTGGTTGCAGTGTGGAGGGCACGAAGTCACTCGCTCACTTCCTTGTTTCCTCTTGGGAGTAGTCGACTGATCAAGGGTGACCAGCTCGACCACATCACCAGAGTCTGCAGTCGCCACGCCTCCCAAAGCCTTCATCACACGATCATACCTGCTTTTCCACTCGCGTCTTATCAAGGCTGGCAACAAGAACGGTGTTTTTGCACGTTATTTAATTGAACTTGCACAAATTACAATATGGACCCCTTAAATTAAGCAATTTATCATCTAAAATTAAACTACTATTAATGATAATGCATCTGTTTCTAAAAGAATCACAAATGTGTAAAGGAAAAAAACAGGTATAACGTAATTAAGCAGCTACCTGTGATGTTGGCAGAGAGCCAGCTGCAGGCTTTCTCTGTCGCAAGACGTTTGGTGATGTTTTCAGATGTAGTCAGGACCTGCAGAGGGAAGGCAAATACAGAGGGATAGAAAGACATGAGCGCACAGATTGTCAAACGTGATTTGGAGTGTTTTTTGATGGTTTTTATTCTTTTATTTTGGCATTTGTCATGGTTTCTGCAGGACTTACAGCTGGAGAGGTCCCCTCAGGGAGCAGAATTCGAATGGCTTCAGGACTCTTCTCGCTGCAAAATCTGCAAAACGAAAAAAAAGGGAATAAAAACCAAGTAAAGAAAGGTAAAACTGTGATGATGCGTGACACAGATGCAGAGGGGAGACAAAAACAAACACAACACCACTCACTTCACTTCACTCATGCATGCATATAGCTTGTATGTAAAATAAAACCTAGAACTACAACTATTTACATCTGTGAACATGAGGACAGAGCTGCGTATAACAGAAGCTGTGGTACCTAGTAGCTCTTGCTAAAGCTTCCAACCCTGCGACACACAGCTGAGCACAGATGGAGTCGTTCAGTTTGGTCGGATTTGAGTTTGGTGACTCCAGTCCACCTTTCAGCATCTTCTCCCCTCTCTCCACCAGCTCGCTCACTAACGTGGCCCTGAGGAAGATCAACAAAGAGGTCTAAACACACACATGCACAATACACTGACAAAGAGAAGTAACTCACATTTTCAAATACATATTAATGGGTGGTAAATTCACCCTCGCCACCTAAGTATTGTTGAATTTGAACAGTTAAGCTGCAGTCTCAGAGGTTGAGTGAAAAGATGTGAAAGTTGCAGCTGATTTGGAAAAATTTGAAAAGTTTACAAGCAAGTTTAAGACTCGACCTCCCCTCAGCTCTGAAATACTAACTTCATATGCTTTACAGCGTTGGATCCAACCCTCTCAGCTACAAACTCCACAGTGCGGCGCAGCGACGGGGGCTGGTTGTGAAAGAAAGCTTGCTCCAGGTCCACCTGTCACATTTCAGGTACAAGTTTAAAATCAAATATTTGCACTCGGTGATTCTTGGCTTCACCGCCCCATTGACTCACCTGTAGTTTCTGCTGCGACCTGTTGGCAGTCGGCGTATCCCTGGGCTCGGCAGATGTGGGAGTGATCTTGCGGATGATTCCTCCGCTTTTGGCCGCGCTCCCGGACACGAAGGCAGCGAGAAGCTTTCGGAACTCACCTTGACAAGAAAAACAAGGAAGGAGATTGTTTCTCAGCCTAAAGGAGTTATTATCCGAGACGACGAAAGCGAACATAAAGTGTACACAGCAAGTTTTATCTATGCAATCTGCTTCATGCCTTTTAACTTTTAAATATTAAACATTAACACCACAAATTACACATGTAGACAATGAACTGTGTGCCAAAAAGTAAATGAAAAGATGTTTCACCACTCACCTAAAAATGGGCAACATGTATAGAGGAGCTGCTGATCCACAAGGGGAATGCAGTCCTGCAAAACAACAAGAGACACCTCAGGATAAAAGAGGAGAGAAATGAAGCAGTGGTGCACACTGAGCCATCTGAAAGAGTTTTTCACTCACAAAGCCCGCAGCACTTGAGAAGCTGTCCTCCAGCTTTGCCACTTCAGTGAAGTCATTGGTGAAGAAAATGTCCTCGGGAATCACCGGGATCTGCACAAGTTCAAGAACATTTAACTATTATGTTCAAATGAAAACTGCTTTTGGATGACTTTGGACCTTGGATGTTTCTTTCATGATACAAAACAAGGGACTAATGATAAGTCACCTGGAAAAGCCAACCCAGCACAGAAACCAGGAGCAGCTTGTTTAGGTAGCACATCTCTCCGCATCTGCCCAGCAGCATCTTCCTTCAAGAGAAAAATATTTCACTTTTAGGCTCTTTTCTTGACGAAACAGTAAATACTTACTTTTCTTTTTTACTTAAAGGGATATTTCAGCGTAAAATAAATTTAGGGTCAAACACACTGTAACACCGAGTTAGATACCCCATTGAAAGAATGTTGCAGACTGCTTGCTTCTCTAGTTTTACCAACTTTAGTGATAACCGCACGATAGCAATATACAGCGGTCTGAGGAGCCATACACAAACCTCAACCAAAACACCACTCTATAGCCACAAATAATGCTCAGAACAGCACCTAACTTCATCAACAGGACATATAGGGTCCCAGCCACAGCACTAGACACCAAACATCTTTTTAACTTTGCCTGATTTCTTTAGCAAATAGACTAAACACAACTCACCTACTCTCTTCCAGCAGCCGCTTGTTTGTAGCAAAACCTCAGGCCAGTCCATTACAGACCACAGCGGGGTGACGCAGCTCAAGGAAGAACATTTATGATCATTTCTTTATGGAAATGCAATCAGACCGAAACTCTGGAACTACTGCGTCTGCAGTGCAAAATGATTAATATAATTATTACTTCAAGGAAATTATAAACTAGTGATCATAAATGTTCTTCCTTGAGCTGTGTCACCCCACTGTAGTCCGTAATGGACTGGCCTGAGGTGTCACTACAAACAAGCGTCTGCTGGAAGAGAGTAGGTGAGCATTATTTGTGGCTATAGAGTGGCGTTTTGGTTGAGGTTTGTTTATGGCTCCTCAGACCGCTGTGTATAGCTGTCCTGCGGTCGTTACTAAAGTTGGTAAAACTAGAAAAGCGAGTGGGCAACATTTATCTCTCGAGTGGGTGTCTAACTCGGTGTTACAGTGTGTTTGACCCTAAATTAATTTTACACCAGAATATCCCTTTAATGTGTAGAAATGGAGGCCAACCTGTACAGCAGGAGCAGCGTGCCCAATGCAGTTCTATAGCAGAGCAGCAGAGGACCAATGAAGTCCAGCATGGACAGGAACTCCACCAGCCAGGGCACGGTCAGGATGGTGCGCCTCCTCCTCACACTGTTACTCAGCACGGCACACACATCCAGCGCAGGAACACTCTGAGGAAACAAAAAATATATCACATTTGATTTCGAAATTAAACTTTGTTCTTTGGTCACTTGATTGAAGGAAAATAGTCTTTTGGATTGAATCAAGAGCAATCTTCGTAAATCATCACCTTGCTGCGCAGCTCTGTAGCAGTCTCCTGTATTTCCCTGGATGGTCTCTCAGCTGTTTGGTAAGGTAGAAAGGAGATGAATCCTAGAAACTTGGCTAAGAGACGAGCGAGGAGCAGCACCGAGGTGAACCGCTGCTTCTCATCCTTGTGAGGTGGACAGACAGGAGAAAATCAGACTCAAACTGTGATTATTACAGATTTTGTATTTCTGATTTCCATAAAATACAATTAGCTTCAAAGCTATCCCAAAACAAACTTCTATTGTTTCCCTTATCATCCCAGTAAATACCTGCTGCTCCATGTCACCGTCTCCCTCCTCCTCTCCCTCCCTGATGGTAGCGTTTGGGCTCAGGATGGAGACCTCATCCAGCTGGAGGAGCTGTTGACACAGGCTGTCCTGCAAGTGCTGGTTCAGCTGGCAGCTGGTGTGCATCACATTAGATTTGTTAGATCACAAAAAAACACAGTAGCTTTTAATTGTTGCCAAGTTGTTAGTAAAAAATAAGTTAAAAAAAAAAGGACATCTGCCAAATTAAGACGGGACTCAAAGGCAGTTAAATCCCTGCCTTACCTGGCAAGTTAGGTTAATTAAAAAGATGAATTAAAAGACGCTCAAGCATGTGTCCATTTTATAGTTTTTGTTCATCAAATAGCTTAAGTGGAAACATAATCTTTACCAGCTGGCCGTCTGAAGGAAATCCCTGAAGAACTCCTGGTGACCGGGAAAGGATGGAGGAGGGCAGGGACCCACAACACCATGAGGCTGAATGAGACGCTCCTCCAGTCGCTTCAGACGCCCCAGGCTGTCTGCTCCCAGCATGCCAAGCAAGTCAGCATCAGGGGTATCACCAGGAGAGCTGTTCACACGGGGGCCTTTACACATCTAAACGAAATGGGTGGTCATATTGTGACATCTGTACGCAGAGCTTTATAGTCAAAAGTCATGATCTATTTTCTAAGTATGAATGAGACGCCATAGTTTACCTGAATAAGCTGCTTCAGGAAAAGACGGCTAAAGTGGGAGTGGTTTCCTGCAGAGGTCAGCTGGCTCATCATCCCTCTAGAAAAGTAGATAAAAATGAAAGCCGCAGGAAACAGTACCAGCTAATTCATCAAGTTTGACCATTTTTAAATTACACAGAGATCACTGTACTCACCTTATCCGGCTCCCAAGGGCAGAGTCAAAGTTCCACCCTTGTTCCTTATGAAAGTCCTCCCATTCTCTTAAGACCTCATAAAAAATATCTCTGAGAAGAAGACAAAAACATCAAATACAAAAGTGATGATGATAACACCCTCTAATCCAGGAGTTTCATGAAGTGATCAGTTAGACATTTTAATGTTTCAGCCATCAAATAGTTTTTGTTCTGAGCACAAACACTGTGACCAACCTCTGTTTTTTAAAGGTGTGGAAGGCCTTGTCACTTCCAAAGTTGGAGCGGTTGTCAGTGGCAGGTTGAAATGGGACTGAGTGGATGAAAGTGGAAACTGAAGGAGAGAGCTGGAACAGAGGAGGAACAAACACATGTCAACCAAAATGGAAACGTACTGAAGTTTCTCTGAAACAAAAGACAATAAAATAAGTTGTAAATTGAATTCTGAATTAAAACAAGAATCCTGGAAGAATATGACTTCTATGAATTACTTATCAAACATTTATTTGCTTCAGTCCAGTATTAGTTTCAATATCCAGCGATGTGTCGGCAAAGGACAATGAAGCAGGAAATAATAGAGGGCAGAGCGCAATTTCAAGCGCACAAATAAACAACTTTCAAGTTGTGTTTAGGTGTAACAATATCTGCATCCGAACCTCCTTCTGTTAAATAAATGCTGAATAAAAAGGCTGAAGTTAAGCTGCAGCCCTCAAACACAAGGAACATGCTAAAATAAGTTAAAAAACATTATTTCTTGCCTTTTGGGGAAATCTTCTGCATCAGTTTATGTCGCTTTTGCAGGGTTTACTCTGTCTATTATTATTTTTTTCCCACTTTATGCATCTTGTTATGACACATGACTCCTTTGTTTGTGCATCTGGCGCCATGTCACATCACATAGAAGTAATTAATCTTAATTTTTCAATGAGCAGCTGGTGTTTTTGGCACAATCTCAGCTGTTTAATCACACAGATAGCTCATTTGTATCCTTTAAAAGTATAGGTGGTATATGGATAGCCTAGATGGATAGAACTAGAATCATTTAAGTTATATGTAGTTATAATTTACATTATATGAGAGTTAAAAGAAAGTTTCAGAGTGACAGACACAGCATGTCTAACCTGCATGCATGCATGCAAAGAAAGAAAGAAAAAAAAAGAAAGAAAGAAAGAAAGACAGAAATTGTCATGATTCTGTCTGCATTTCCAGATGACTCAAGAAGAAACACATCCCTGAATATCATTATTCTGCAGACTTTTGCCCTTCACAGCATCAAAAATCTCCTGATTATCGTGAGTAATCCATTTTTTAAATCATTCATTCACTCATTCATATGCTATCTTGTATGTGCTGCCTTCAAAGCAGCAAGGGATTCTGAAAATATTCAATCATCTTTAGTATGCCTATATTTATTAGCTATTATGTATCGTTGTAGGTGAGTTACCTTTGCTGTGCTCCTGTCCATGGCCTGAGTCAGACGGTCCCTGAGCTCTGGAGAGAAGGATGCCACTCGCTCGTTTTCTGCCAGCAGACGCAATGTACACTTGTCCAGATGAGCAACCAACCTGCCAAGAATAAAGTTAGGAACCAGTGCAGGAGGAGTGGAGGACTTGAGTGTCACTTTACTGAGGAGAACAGCTTTACATTTTCTATCAAACAAACTCACTGAAACTGATTCTCCAGTACTTTCACAGCAAAGTACACACAGTTGTGTACTTGTCTGAGGTAACATCTCTCCAGAACATCTAAAAAAAGGTGGGGGAAAGGTTTGATATCAGTATCTGTTGAAAATGATGAGACTCTGATGTTTCAGGACAAAAGTTAACACAAACATGCCTGAATTTGCTGCACACAAACTCCCCTGTTCGTCCTCATTGAGAGTGAGAGGAGAACGAGACGTTAGCAGCTGCATCACAAAGAAAAGCTCCAGAAAAATGTTTGGCACTAGGTTTTCTGTAAGACAAGGAAACAGATTTAAACATAACTTTTTTTCTCTTTTTATTAAAGCTTCCTTTAAATAGCATGTTGATGCCATCTTGTGGTTGCTCACCAGAGATGCAGGTACAGTACAGCTCGGCCAGGATATCCAGTTCTGAAGAAAAGGTGACTTTCAGTGGTTCAGGACAGGGTGTCTGTAGATCTGGTGTGACTTTAGTTCCTGTCCTGAGTCCTGACTTGGTTGGTGTGCAGGGATCCAGAGGGATTGGCAGAGGTGAGCTGATTTGTTGGGCCCGCTTTGTCCTAAAAAGCACAGGGCAGAAGAAGAATGAGGTGAAAGTGATGCTGCAGTGAACATGAGAATACAGATAACAACCCCTCTTAAAGGGGAAACCTCAACCAAAACACCACTCTATAGCCACAAATGATGCTCAGAACAGCACCTAACTTCATAAACAATTTATATAGGGTCCCAGCCACAGCACTAGCCACCAAACATCTTTTTAAACTTTGCCTAATTTTCATCTACTCTCTTCCAGCAGCCGCTTGTTTGTAGCGAGACCTCAGGCCAGTCCATTACAGACTGCTGCGGGGTGACGCAGCTCAAGGAAGAACATTTATGATCATTTCTTCATGGAAATGCAATCAGACCAAGACGCTAGGGCAGAAGAACTACCGCGTCTGCAGTGCAAAATGATTAATCTGATGATTATTACTTCAAGGAAATGATAAAGTAATGGTCATAAATGTTCTTCCTTGAGCTGCGTCACCCCTCCTCAGTCGATGATGGACGGTCGAGGTCTCACTACAAACAAGCGGCTGCCGGAAGAGAGTAGGTGAGTTGTGTTTAGTCTCTTTGTTAAAGAAATTAGGCAAAGCTAAAAAGATGTTTGGTGTCTAGTACTATGTCTGTGACCCTATATGTCCTGTTGATGAAGTTAGGTGCTGTTCTGAGCATTATTTGTAGTTATAGAGTGGCGTTTTAGTTGAGGTTTGTATATGGCTCCTCAGACCGCTGTGTATTGCTGTCCTGCGGTCGTTACAACATTCATCTCTCGAGGGGGGTCTAACTCTGTGTTACGGTTACGGTGTGTTTGACCCTAAATTAATTTTACGCCGGAATATCCCTTTAAATATAGTTTTCAGACAGCTCTAGCCAGGTCCAAAGAATAATAAAAAAATGAATATTTTTACGTTCTTACATCGAGTTACCTTTTGTATCAACACTTACTTTTCCCTCTTCAGCAGCTCTCGTTCTTCCTGCAGGCTTAGAGGACTGCCTAAATTCGTCAACCCCTCAGTTGCTTCCAGACCTAAAGGGGGTGTTGAAGGTTTACTGAATGGGGTGGAGGTGAAGCAGATCTTAGGCTTGGAGTGTGGCCGCTCTCCGCTGACTGGTGTCGGGTTGATTCGTCTGGATGGTTTGGATGTCCTGAGGGAGACGAGAAAGTGTAAGTCAAAACTACAAAAACAGAGAAAGCGTTGACTTAAATGTTCAACTAGACTCACGCTGGGGAAACAGGAGATGCTCCAACAGGAGGGAAATCATCCAGGTTGCTTAGATTGAGCTGCTCTACAGATGGAGGTGTCGCCTGCTCATGTATCCTACTGTGCCCTCCACCTCCCCCTCTACCTGACCTCTTAGCACCACTCTCCCAGCGCCCACTGTCATCACTGTGATGTCCTCCACGCCCTCCTCCGTGCCTCCCTTGTCCTGCTACTGCTGTGGAGCCACCACTCCTCCTGCGGCCTTTATGAGACTGAAAGCCTTGGCTGTGCTGGTGCTCTGGAGGAGAGATCATGTAGTCCCCAAGACTGATCTTATTGCCAGACCGACGCTCAGAGCCTGATGGCCTGGAAGCAGGGCTCCATGATGTCACGAAGGAAGGGCTGCTGAAGGAGTTAACCCCGCTGAGACAGTGAGATTCTGACCGTCCACCTGCATCCCACTCAGCTCCAGGTGACACAGAAGAGGCGGGAGAGAATAACTGGACTCTGCTGGCACTCCGAGAACCAGCTCCACTGCCACCAGATCTGCATCCTCTCCTGTCAGTGAAGACCTGCATCTGAGCAGCAGGTCTGGGGCGGCTGGGGGTCTTTGCTGGCGTGGCGGGGCCATGGGTCAGTGCCTGGCTGCTCTGCTCCCTCAGAAAATTGAGCAGGAAAGGGACAAATTCTTGTTTGTGGACCGTCAACACGGGTTCATTAAAAACCAGGCTGTCACCTCCCTGTGAAAGAAAGACAGAACAGTTTGTAAACAAAAGGGAAAAGATACGACTTTAAATGGCTAAAATGGCACAGATTAAAGACTCTATTTATCCTTAAAGACCCTAAAATCTGCATAAGTTGGATAGCTCCTGGACATGAATCCATCCCAGCCTGGTTGCAGCTAGCCGAGCCCGCTAGCCGTCCAGCTAAAAGTTTTGTTTACAACCTGTTTCAAGCTTTGTCATCTCATAACACACGCCCCAAGAGAGCGGTCGTTTATGTCATGTCTCACTGAAGCGGCTTACAGTCATTTCAGAACCAACCTTTTCATTTGCCAACCAGTCTAAGACCGTTTTAATGTCCGCTTTCTTCTGCAGAACGGATTCCAAAAGAGCCGCCATTCTGCTCAGGGGCTGCGCGGCGACACAACTGAGAGAAAGGGGGCGGGGCCTGTGTCTACGCAACGGCGTAATGCGTATGACGTACCCCAACCAGGCATCAAGAGGGCTCGGTTTCTCCTCTCAAGACTGACTTTACATTTTGAAGAATGGAGATATGAGAGTAGGGTACTTATTTATGATTTAACTATGAAATGAAAACTGATTTATAATTTCCCGTACGGATTTTATTTATTTACACATGTAAATCCAGTTACTCTAGGGAGTTTGTAATTGTTTTTTTGATGCCAAACCATGATGGTTTGGGGTGGTAAAAGAAACCCACAGTTTACACCTGACCCTATAGTGAAGTGTTTTTCAACCACTAGTGTGCCATGACAGATAGTCAGGTGTACCCTAAGAAATTATCCTATTTCACATTATTGGTCTATCTTTTTTAAAACCTACAAAACCCAATTCCATTGAAGTTGGGAAATTGTGATAAACGTAAATAAACTTGGGGCTACCAAGTGTCATTTGGTAACATTTTGGTTGGTGTTGTGCCTCGTTGAAAAAAAAGTACCATGGCTCAAAAAAGGTTGAAAAACACTGTAATAGCGGGTATTGTGTGTTTCACACAAACATAAATACCTAAGAAAACTCTGAAACCACAACTCTCTAGCCCAGGCTAGAGCATTTATGAATTCAAAGTTTAAAATATTGCTAAGAAAATCGCTTGAAATTTTAATCTGAATCTTTGTTTCACCAACCAAAGTAAAGACATTACCTTTGGAATCATATGTTTAACCGTCTAATTTACCAGGTCGCTTAAATGTAAAAATAAAAAATGTGTGGGGAAAAAGTTGTATATTTTGTACTAATACAGTCTTTCAAGTATTAGTCAATTTTTTTTCCCTTCATGTTCACGTTTTGATTAGATGTAAGGAACCTTTTCAGAGCATTGTTTGCCCCAATCATGAATTTTACAATAACTCACATAATATTTTTTTTACAAGAACAGAATGGACTATTACTTTTAATTGTTTTGGTTTTATATGGGAAATGTTACATTCATAAATGCAAATAAATCTAAGAATATGGATATAAATGTAAAAATCTGTATTTATGGTGTGTGGTTGAGTTGCTTTACCTCTTTGCCACTCTTATTTTTATAGCTAGAAACAGAATATGAAAAACTTTGAATTAAATTCAAAAGTGTAGACCTCTTTTGTCAGCAGTAGTCTGCTGAGTTCAAATAGTTTTTTCATCATTGTAAGACTCTTACCCCCAGTTAATATCTAAATGTTTGTTGTTTTCTAACATGTATCTGTGAGATCACAAACAAACAAAAAAAATAACCATATTCTTTTTTATAAAAAAATACAAGCATAAGATGAAGATACATAAAAGAAACTGACATTGATTATTTTCAAAGTCTTCCTGGTGTACATTTAAACAATTTGTAAGAGACAAATCCAAAATTTGCAGCTCAGAACTCCATCAGATGTGTGTATGGTCCGTTTGTGTCTATTTTCAGCACTTGTCTGTTTCCATAGGTCCCGTGTTTCACTGTCACTTCAGCTTTGTTCCCTCCAGAAGCAGCCATCAGTTCCTTCTCACAGAGAGAAACAAAGGCGTCATAGAGCCGCAGTCCATCCTCTTTGTTGATGTTGTTGTGGTATTGCATGCCCCTGCCTTTTGCCTTCCCACCCAGTGTGGCCTGAGGGACAATCAGCACGCTGCCAGGAAGCTCCAACACGGACGCCAGCTTCCCTGAGTCGGTCTCACACAGACGCAGGTTCAACAGTGTGGAGACTGAAGAAGAAGAAGAAGAAGAAGAACAGAGAAGAAGAGCAGCCCCATTAACTCTTCAGTAGTTAAATCCTGTGTATCAGAGTGCACTACGTGTCATCACTAACAACACGTTTCGCACTCATCACTGTTCCCTCTATCAAAAGGTTGGCTGGACCTCTTTACAGTCGAGAAGAAATATCCATCTCATGTTATTCATCTTGTAAAAGAGATGGCAATCTCAATAAGACTGCCTGATAAAATAAAGATTTAAAAAAAGATCCAGTGATGAAGGATTTACTGTCAGTAAAAGAGGTTAAAATATGTTGGTCAAAGGTTACTGACCCATCTTTGGAAGGATGTCATCTGTGGCTCCTTTGAAAAAACAGATGTAGATCACCATTCCTCTGTCAATCTGGATAAGAAAAACATAAATGTTAAATTATTTATCGTGAGCCGATTAAATTGGCTAATTTTAGCCCGTTTGAGACTAATCGGTAATCGGCCAAAACTCGCCGATTTTCGCCGATATTTTCAGAAATAAAATGCGGAGAATAAGATTCGGTTTCACTTCGATTGGTTGAAGTTAATATTTGGTCAAATTGAAAAAAACAGTTGATGGACATGACATGTACCCCTAATTATAGAATGATTCTAGTACTTTATTTAATAATTCTTGGGTACACCAACAGAATTAAAAATCATGCAAAAAAAAAAAAAAACTATCATATGGAGATTATTCAGAAGCATTGTAGATAAACATGTTCACAGCTTACCTGTACAAATTCAGCCTCTGAGAGCTCATCTGCTGGTTTTACCTGAAGTCTTGCTTGTAGACACTGCTGCAGCACCGTCCGAGCCACAGGAGCACCTCCACCTTTCTCTGTCATTACTGCTGGTTAAAGAGTACCCTCGCTACTTTACACTCCGTTCAGTTTTCAAATCGTGATGCGTCCAGCTAAATGTGAACTACAAAACACCAACAATAATTATTGTCAGATAGGCTGGTCGGTATTCTGATGAATGGCACACATGCAAAACACTTCCGTATTTACGTCATGTGAATTTGTCCAAAGGGCCCCCTACTCGCGCACTCTTTTTGCAGCCTTTTATTTTATTTTCCTTTTTGATGGATTTTATTTTTATGAAAAATGTCAGTGTACTACCACAACAAAGCAAAGATATCAACAGTTTAGCAGGAGGGGCGAAAACAAGAAAGAAAATTAAAAATGCAGCAGCCGAGCTCCTGACATGAAGAAGGCAATAACTTCAAAAAGACATTGATTTAACTTTTACATCTTTTATTTACAATATTTATTCATTTATTATGAATCTGATCTCTGGCAGGGATTTGTTTAAAAAAAAAAAAGTTGTTAAACCTGCGCCTCCAGGATGCACGCATGCGTACTTTGCGCAAGCTTGACGCTCAACAGACTAGTGAACCAATACGAATCTGATCCAAACAGCTAAATATGGCGCAGTTCACATACAGCAAACTGTCTCATTTACTGAGAATATCTAGTAATAAGGGCTCTATTTTACGAACAGGAAAAGAGATGAAACACGGACATGCGTGCTGTCTGCAGTTCATACGCTGCCAGGTATGTTTTCTGTATTTGTTAGTTCACAGACCTTCAGTTTAGCTCACGAGCAGCTTTACGATAACGTCAAGGTAAACAACATGCGAAAAGTAAACCGGAAATGTGTTGTAATCCGGTAAAATGCTTGAATAATCAGTGAAACATGCCCAACGAATTCATTTAAATACAATGGAAAAAAATAGCTATGTCTTTTCCTTCTTGTAACTGTTTCGTTTTAATTCGTGTCATTCGCTCTTATTAAGAAGTAGTTTAAAGGTGACAGCTTTATTTTGAAAAGTCAACCGGAAGTGTATGCTGTAATCTCGTGTATTTGACTCTTATACCCAACTGCTTGTTGACTGCTAACTCATTCACAAACTGTCAAATAAATGGACTATCTGTGACTGTTCGTTTTTATTTTTCCATTATGTTTATTTCAAAACTTTGTGGGTAATTCTGGATATTATGAAATTTTCCAAAAGTGGGCCGGAAAGTGATATTATCTGCTGCATTTACACTGTTTGTAAAGCGTTTATTAACCGCATATTCTGTCAAATAAGGTCTTTTGTGGTATATTTTCAAATTATTTGACATATTCTTTAAAGTACACCTAGTAGCTGCAGTGTTACTATAGCAAAACCTTGTCTTTCTAAAACCTACAATAAGTTACTTTCACATATTAGATAAAGAAACAGCAATAATTTAGATAGATAAATAGATAGATAGATAGATAGATAGATAGATAGATAGATAGATAGATAGATAGATAGATAGACTGTATTGATCCCAAACTGGGAAATTCTCATGTTACAACAGCAATAAAAACACAACATAAAATTAAAGTTATTTAAATTAAATATAAGAAGTATGTACAACGCAGACTAAATATACTAAATATATACGATAAATACAGACTAAATATACTAAACATTCAAGAGAAAAAAGTGACATATAGGTCATTTAGGTTTACCTACTAGATCCTAGCAAAGTCAGGTGATATTTTTTTAATTTAGGGGTTTAATCTGTTTTATTCTTGTCCACAGCGTTCTGTGGACAGTAAGGCATTACAGGAGAGGCAGAAGCAGCACATGGCAAGAGGACTCCCGAAACAGAAGCCAATCACAGGGGTCAAACAGGTCATTGTTGTGGCTTCAGGGAAAGGCGGTGTAGGAAAGTCCACCACTGCAGGTACAGCCACATGTTCCTGGTGAGAATTAAAGACTGTTTGATTTTCTTATCCTCCCACAGCTTCAAAATGAGTTCAGATGAGTATAAAGTGTGGTAACATCGTTCAGTTTCACATAAATGATATGTAGAAAAACAGAATGAGGTTTAAAAAAATCTATCAAATGTATCGGTGTACCAAAGTATTTCTTTATTGTTAATAACTTTTAGGTGTTTACTGTCTGTTTTGGTCTCTCTGCAGTTAATTTGGCTCTTGGATTAATGGCCAACAACCCAGTAAGGACTTGCATTTACTTTTAGTTATTTATTTGCATTGTTTGTCTTTTTCTTTTCTCCTTTCTATGTTCTTAAAAAAGGCACTTATACCATTTCAGAACTTCAAAAAGTACAGAACTTTTTTTTCTCACAGCAGACTGTTAAGTAATTACTGTGAAATAGCTGAAGTTCATTTTTATCTGTGTAGAACTATGTTCTCTGGAGGATTGACATTCAGCTAGTGTCTTGCTTATGACTCAGATCATTTCAAACCGTTATGGGGCAGATAGAGAACCTCATTTGCACTGGCTGTGAAGAATCAGTGTGGTAAAGATTACTGAGTCTGTGTCTCCTCTCTTTCCCTCAGTCTAAGTCAGTCGGCCTATTGGACGCCGACGTCTATGGTCCATCCATTCCCAAATTGATGAACCTTAAGGGAAATCCAGATCTAAGTGACAGTATGACACATTTTTATCTTCCCCTCTGTTTTTCCCCTGACCATCATCTTGGGTTGTTTTGTATTTATTGACTGAAGTGTTTTTCTCCTCCTCGCAGACAATCTGATGATCCCACTTACCAACTATGGGATTCCTTGGTGAGTCCTTCCAGTTAGAATGTTGTTTTCACTCTCAAACTCTTCATGTTGGGGAAAATTGAAATAATAGCCTGTTGTGCTGTCTGTTCTGACCCTCTCCCATTGTCTCTCAGCATGTCGATGGGTTTCCTTGTGGAGGACGTGGCTCCCATTGTGTGGAGGGGGCTGATGGTGATGTCGGCTATAGAGAAACTGCTCAGACAGGTGAGATGAGTTTAGAAAGTGAAAGTCACAGTGTGAAAATGCACTGCTGAGGTAGGGCAACAAGTCTGATTTGATATAGGTGCATGAAGGTTGTGTTTGATTGTAGGTGGACTGGGGGTCGTTGGACTATCTAGTAGTTGACATGCCTCCGGGTACAGGAGATGTCCAACTGTCGATCTCACAGAACATCCCAGTTGCAGGTTAGTCCCACAAACACACACACACACACACTCTCATCATTTTACATAAACTGCATCCAGTTCAGTCCACTAACTAGATACAATAAACTTGTGCTATTTTGTTTTGTTAGGTGCGGTCATTGTGTCGACACCACAGGACATCGCCCTGCTAGATGCTCGCAGAGGAGCTGAGATGTTCAAGAAAGTTAATGTGCCGGTAATTCCTCTGTGCATGGCATTGAAAGTCCCAAAAAGACATGAGACATCATCTGTAACACCTGCTGTTATATGTTAAATGGGTCACACACCCAAACTATTTTTTCTTATCTGTGTGGGGTCCCAGGCACACAAATTATTTTTTGCCTTTTTTCTTGTTTCTTATGGAGTTTTACAGAAAATCGGTCTTTATAGATGCAAATAGCACTCTGTTAGACGTTTAAAATAGCTACTTTGTTCAAGACAGTTCATGTACCTGAATCTCTGTGCATATTTGTCAGTAAATAAAATTCCCACCATGATTTAAAAACCTGTTGGAGCCAAAACTAAATAGATCACAAAGTACTGTACTGTACTTTTTTGTGGGTCACATACAAATATAGGTTGTTTTTTTCTACCTTTAAAGGGATCTTAGCCCACACACTTATATCAGCTGGTTTTTCTCGTCCTTGGAGGTCACATACAGACGTAGGTTTTTTTGATTCTATGAGGACACACACCTGTATTATATCTTTGGGCTTACTTATGTTTAATGTGACTAATCTTTAATCTATAGATGCATACAGTTATAGAGTAACAGGAGGTTAAAAACATCCTGGTTGGTGTTCCTGCAGGTTCTTGGTCTGGTGCAGAACATGAGCGTCTTCCAGTGTCCTAACTGTAACCACGAGACTCACATCTTCGGCTCTGATGGGGCTCGGCAGCTCGCGGACACTCTGGGGGTCAAATTCTTAGGTAAGTACCTTCAGCCACAGTCTGTGTAAATTCTAGTCTTATTTAGTTTAAACATACTGGAATAACTTTTCATCTTTATTCACATTAAACAATCATTTTGACAAATTTTCTCATTCATGTGATTTATCCCTTCTGTATCTATCCAGGTGACATTCCTCTTCACCTAAACATCAGAGAGATGTCAGACAGAGGGACTCCAGTGGTTGTCTCGTCCCCAGATAGCCCAGAGGTCTCTAACATGTCCACTACTATATGTTATCATTCTACAACACTTTTTGTATTTTTGTTTTTTCTGTTGTATTATATTTTGTATTTTAAGTGCTATGTGTGTGTTTGCATTCACTCTCTAGGCCGAGGCATACAAGAAGGTTGCATCTGTTGTCGTCCAGAGACTCGAGGAAGTCAACGCCTAATGAACAGCTTCTCAGAAAGTCAGCCAACAGACTGGGATGAAGCAAAAAAGACACAACGGCATCAGATTTATGCAAAGGAAGACAAAGATATTCATAGAACACATAAAAAACAGAAACGCACAAACTTCTTCTCTGTCGTAACGCACAAAGAGTCAAACCCACAGCACTGATCGCAGCAGCGCAGTAATGTACTTTGTGTAACTACAGTATAACTGAATAAATGTGAATGGTTTAGTTATGTTATATTTAATAAAACAGTGTGCCAAAGCCTGTTAGCTCATGATTTCATGACTTTTTAATTTTTTTGTATCACAATTTGCTCAATGTGCAGTTCTAAATGACACTGGGGAGGTACCTGTTTTCTATATTTAGTATGAATTACACAAGGTTCAATTTGTTAAAATGCCAATACATCAACAAAACATCAGACTCAACAGAACTATTTAAGTTGCTGAACTGTAGTAGGACAACAACCTTGTATCAACACGACAGATTGAATTAAGTATTTAAATCAATGAATAAGGACCAATGGAGGCAATAACAATAAGAAACACAGAAATTACTGTCAGACCATGCTCTATGACAACTGATATAACTTGGAAACAACTAGTGCAAGTTCCTTAGGAAATAATGGGACTTTTTTCCCCATTCTTGCTTGATATACGATCTCAGTTGCTTCCCAAAAAGCAATATCTGATTTAATAAAAATCAGATATGTGTCACATATGGTTAAAAAATCAGAATTGACCTGCAGTGTGAACAAAGCTTTAGAGGTACATTCGTTATAAGGTTTAAACATGTGGCCGTACGATATCCATTTTTATTGTTTTCCAAATTCCATTTTAATTTTTTAGAATTCCGTTTTTTACCTTTTACACTTACTAATACCATAGGGCGTGTGCTTTTAGTGTCAGTAAATAAAATGTCAATTAATAAAATGCAAATATTACTAAATTTTAAACTGTAATCCATAGGGATGGGCATTGTGTTTTTTTTTTCCTTTCTTTGGTTTGGCTTTGGTTTCTTTCTGTCTTTTTTTTTGCATCAGTAACTTCTGTTGTGGTTCCTTTCATTTGCATTATTTTTTATTTGCAGCAGTGGCAGTTCTCGGCCACCGTACCAGTGTGACTTTAGTTTAAAAGAAACATTTCAGATGAAGCAGAAATAAAAGTTTTTTAAATACACCAATCTGAGATATGACAAAGATTTTTGTATATGTTGTGAAGTTACTAATAAAGCTATTAACTAGGCAATGTAAAGCCTGAAAATGAATGAGGTACGTTTTAGCTATTTTTATTTTAACCCCACTTTAGCTGCATCAGTTATTGATCAATTATTTAAATAAAAATAAATAAACAAAAGGAAAAAAAAACGAATCACGTGACTCGGACGTTAGTTTCCGCGCGCATACCGGAAGTGGGCGGGGCTGCTGTCTCAAACAGATCAGACAGACATGGCGTGTTTGTTAGCCAGCAGCAGTTTAGTTTCAGTTATGCTTCATCCAAAACGACCGAAAAAACACCACGCATGGATTCACTATGTATTCCTGGTGGTATGTTTGGCCTCACCGACAGTTCTGGCAAAGCCTGACAGCCTCAAAGAAGTGACGGACGGGAACTGGGAGGAGATCCTGACCGGGGAATGGATGATTGAATTGTCAGTCCTCTGCTAACTGCTAGCTAGCTTATTTAGCTGTTTGTAAGCTCGTAGTAACCGAGCACAGTTTTCCTTTATACCATATGGTTTCCTCTTTATTTTTCTGTTTGTCCGATGTTTTAAAATGTAAAGTTTGGTCTCTTGCAGCTATGCGCCCTGGTGTCCTGCGTGTCAGCAGCTGCAGCCGGTGTGGAAGGAGTTCGCGGACTGGGGGGAGGACATGGGGGTCAACATAGCCAAGGTGGACGTGACAGAGCAACCCGGTAGGCCTAAAAGACCTCTCCCAGCTGACACACACACCTTGATTTATGCTGACAGAAAAGAAAAGCTTTTAACGAGTGTAAATTAGTCATACTGTAAGTACTGCATTTATTAATGAGGCACACCTAAAGAGGCTTTTTAGATACTTTATGTACCCTAAAAACAACAAATGATGATCAAATACAGAGTTTTAAATACACTCCTCAAAATACACTCCTCCTTTTAGTCTAGAAACTAAAGCCATGATAGTGGTCTCACCAAATTTATAATCTATTGTTTTGCTGTGGTTTTTGTACTTAATAGGGCCCGACCGATATGGATTTTTTGGGGCCGATAACGATACCGATTATTGGGGGGGGGGGGGGCGGGGTCCAATTAATCGGCCAATTTTTAAAAAATTTTATGACGTTATAAAAAATATTTATATATACTGTAGATATCTTCAGTATACTTTATACCACAGTTTACTATATACTGTAGTGTAGGCTACTGCTCTTAACGCCAACAGGAGGACTGACTGATCAAACTCGGACCAGAAAAGCGTTTTCAGCGAGCCCGCCGATCGGTGCCTCCGCGTCTTAACTCACGTTACTCATTTCCGGTCCGGTCTCATCTGGAGACATGCAGCTGTCTCAGTAAGAGAAGTAGCTCGATCACGTAATATGTACTCTTGTATACTACAGTCACTGGCACGGCTAACAGTGTAGCAAGGCTAATAGCAGATGGCTAACTCTAACTTTAGCTTGCATATTACATGGTGCTTCAGCGTTAAGTGGGCGTGACCGAGACCAGCACAGCAGGGAACATGGTGAAGTGGGTTGAACTGAAACTTGTCGATTTATTGTGTATTTCACAAACTGCTTTATTTACTGTTGAGTCAGACCACTCTCCTCCGTGCGTCCCTGAGCTGCCTGCTTCAGATCCGTCACTCTGCTGTGCTGTGAGGTAGTTAGTGGATGAAGACTGTCATGAGGTCGCTGCGCCATCTACAGGATAAGTGGGAGACCTTTTCAAATGGCGGGACATTTTCGAAGTGAAACCGAATCTTATTCTCAGCATTTTATTTCCGAAAATATCAGCGAAAATCGGCGAGTTTTGGCCGATTACCAATTAGATTAAAACGGGCTAAAATTGGCCGATTTAATCATCTCGCCGATAAATCAGCCGGGCCCCAATACTTATATTTCCATTGTGTCCTGCCAGGGAACTGCAGAAGTAAATAAGCCTTTAAGGTTTGGTGTGTAGAAATAGGAACATGTAGTGATATCTAGTAGCCAGATTCTATTTTGAAACACTCCCCCGCTCACCCCTCCCATCGGTGAAGCAAAGGTGGCATTTGAGGACAAGTAGCTTCTGTAAATCATAAGTGTGATGCTCCATGAGCTTTTACCGTAAAAATGTCCATTAGTACAGATGATTTTGCACACAGCAGCCACTCTGCTCTTCTTCATTATCAACTGTTGCATTTCCCATGGCCACTTACTGAACACAAAAAGGCAATTGTTACTAGTTTGTCCATTCTGTGCTGCAGTAGAAACAAGGAGGTGTGGATAGCAGCCCCCAAAGAGAGCCAACTCCTCTAGATATAAAAGACTCAAACCAAGTTTAGAAAAAATGAAATGTTTTTTATATAGAGGTGATTATACATATATATACTCTACATGCTTATGCTGAGACTGGTATAGGTCAGGTTATAGTAGCAGTATATACAGAGATACAATATGATACTGATACCAGAATTTCTGATATTAATATTCTGTCTCCTAAGTCTGACATACTTGCAGTTTAGTTTTGTGTCAAATGTCTTCTTCATGCACACTAAATGTCCTCTTCTTCTCTGTCTGTTAGGTCTGAGTGGGCGATTTATCATCACATCACTTCCTACTATTTACCAGTGAGTTTTCTCGGTCATTTTGTGGTTTCTGTTGCTTCCTGTTTTTAAGGGCTGCTCATAATGTTTGGCCCATTACGACAAAACTAATCATAAGTTGATATTTTAAACTCGCAAAAGATTTCACTCTCTTTTGTGTGTTTACAAAAGCGTAAATTTAGCAGTATCATATGGTAAAACGAGACAGGTGGTGTGTAAAGAAATAAACACTACAGGCTCCTGCTGGTCTAAAGTTTCATGTTTGAATGTTTCAGCTGTAAGGATGGCGTCTTCAGGAAGTACCAGGGAGCTCGCACTAAAGACGACTTCCTCAGCTATGTTGATGAACAGAAATGGCAAGCGGTGGAACCGGTTTCCTCCTGGCTTGGACCATCTTCATTTCTGTGAGTTCATCTAAGTGTGATGGTGATAAAGTGTGATGCTGAGAGGCAGCTGTCAAATCCCCCTCAATGATAGAGATATCTGTGAATTATAAATGAACACCTGAGCTGTAAAAAGACATATTTCGTTGGTTTTTTGGCTTTTCCTCAAAGTAGCAGGTGCATATCTTTTTGAGGGAACAGAAAATAACATCAGACAGCTATCCTGTCTGTTCTATTTATAGTCCGTCTGCTGGTCTAAAACCAGAACAGCACACACTCCCCTCCCCCTTCTGTCATTTACTTGTTATATTTTTGTGCTCCAGCTTTGTTGTGTTGTTTTGGTGTGATAAATCCTTGTTTAATTCCATGCTGTTCTTTCCTCATATTTTCACCAGAATGAACTCAATGTCTGCGTTGTTCAAGCTCTCCATGTTCATCCGGGTAAGTGAGACTGTCTCTCTATCAGTTTTCGTCCCGAGGTGCAAAACAACCAAGCTATCACAAATAAACTAAAACGTGTCAGTAATTACAAATATGATAGAAAACTTACTCCTACATTTCCCTGAAACACATAAAAAATATATCAATGTAAAATAATACAATTATTCAAAACTACTAAATGAACTCTGGCACTGGTTAAGTTTGCTTACTAGTAATAAAAAAGTATTTTATCCCCATAAAGTCTGGATATTTAAGAATAAAAATGTTTAGAAATTGCTAAAGAATCAGGTGTCTGTATGTCACGAATCATGTTGTCGTCACATAAATAACGGAGCTCCCGTCAGGTTCACAGAGCGCTGTAAACTTTGGATTTGTTGTCTAAAAATCTAATTTTGAGATTAAAAGAATGACCTCATGGTGGCGCAAAAGGAACATTTACAGAAGACAGTAGAATGTGACTTGAATGAATTATACATGTTTTTAATTAAGCGCCAAAAGCACTACATAAAAAAAACTATCATAACCAGCTGTTATGTATGTGATAGTTATTTAATTTTACGTCATGTAGGTACATTCGATGAGGAAAATTTTTGTATAGCTACTAAAGATTTGTGATGCACATTAAAGCTGTTTTTTGTGTCTTCCAGCGTTGTCACAACTACATGACAGAGCAGCTGGGCATGCCTGTTTGGGGGTCATATGTAATCTTTGGTCTGGCCACTTTGTTCTCCGGCCTCGCTCTGGGACTGGTGAGTCCTTTTACAGTATTTCTGTCGTCCTAAAAACAGTCACTCTGCTGTGAATATTACTGTTTTGATGCTTTACCTCTGAATCATCTGCTGCTGTCGTCTTGTCTTTGCAGTTGCTGGTGTTCATCGCTGATTTTGTCTTCCCGTCACGAAGATTTTCCTCTCAAGAATACTACCAAAGTGAGTTTTTCTGTGAGAATACACAAAAGAAAAGGCTGTTTAAGACGTTAAATGTCTGAACAAAGTAAGAAAACGAAAGTATCTGACTGATCACTGACTGTTTTTCCTGAATGTTTTTCTGCAGAGAAACAGACGATGGAGCAGGCGAGGTTAATCCAAAGACAAGAGGATGAACATGAAGCCGACGGCGAGGAGGACGACGACGAAGAGGAAGAAGAGGATGATGACAGCGACGTGTGGAGGAAGAGGAGAGGGTCACCTGAGGGGCGCCCTGAACCTAAAGGACAGGGATTGTCTGATGAAGCTCTGAGGAAGAGGGTGGTGGGAAACCGTGGAGAAGAGGACGAAGAGGAGGACACTTAGAGGGTCGCGTGTCTTCTGCTCCTCTCGAGGAAATTCAACGACGGAGTTGGCAAAGTCAGAGGAGTTTTGGTCCCAAGCAGCAGTGTTTACAGCAAGGAGCCCCTTAAACCTCGCCCCTGTTGATTCTTCTTCTTCTCTTCCTTCTCTTCTTGGGGGCCCCTGAAAACACCTCGCCTCTTTTCTCCTCCTTCTCTTGTTTTTTAACTGGAGCGCTTTAGACTCTCACGCCGCTCTCTCTCCGCCTGAGCAGAAGGCTCCACCTGGGAAAAAGTCAAAAAACACTCCTTACACCTGTTTTCACTTTGTGGAAACAAAAGGCCTGGTCGGGTTTCGGTATAATGAGTGGCGGAGATGGATTTTGCAATGTTGTTTATGCTATGCATTGTTTTTTAAAGGTTTGTGTGTCTAATATATGTTTATTATTCTGATTAATGTTACCAGGCTTGGGTTATTTTGTATGTTTTACCCTTCAGCTAATGTATACATAAGGTTTTACTATCTCGCATACATTTTACAACCCTTGACAGTTCAGTTTAACACAACAATGTACGCACACCATTCCATATTCAGTGTTTTATGGAGGGAAGAGTGACTCTAAAGTGCGAGTTAAAATCCTAAAGATACCTGTGGTTGACATGGTTACAGCAGGTGTGCTTTAAATCAACAGCAACTGCTTTGTTAGGAAGACATCAGAGGAGCAGCTGGTTTATCAGTTCACCCTCTTTAGCTTCAATAAAGACATTTAATAAAAACCGCAATGTAGATCTGATTTAATGCCACAGTCAGGAGTCAGATTTATATTTTTTAAAAACATGGATGTAATCTTGGGGATATCATCCATTGAAGCCCAAAGATGGTGGTCACTATGTTGGGAATATTCACTCGTATTAACTCCAGACTAATCCTAAGACTGGCAAAGATGTGGAGCTGTAAATTCACTGCCTATCAAACAAAAACACTTTCCTATGACCGTATTTATGCATAAGCTCCTAACCTTAGGATAATCAAACCAGAAGAAGTATAAAAAAGTCCTGTTCACTCAGAGAGGTTGTAACTTATTCAGGGCACAGCTGACTTTCCTGAAGAAGGCTAAAAGCCACCCTCTGCTCCACCTCTTTGCCTCATGCTAGGCCAACCAAAAGTGAGGTTGAGTCAGCATTTCCTACATGGCCACCACCTTTGCAACTCCATGTTTGCCACCTGGAAGTAAAGTACCTAAATCACATTCCTCCTCGTGGCCGGTCAGATTAAACAGAAGTGTCTTGTCATTTGATTTTTATGTCTGTACATTAAAGAGTTTTGTGTTTTTGCTCTAACGCAGCATAATATCCATTTTGAAAATTAATCCTAATCCTTAATCCTGTTAGCAGAAAAACAGCATATTCAAAGGTGTTGCCAAAATTCAGTAGTCCAGGCTTTAAAACAAGCTTAGTACTTCTACGTCTTATTTACCGTTTCTGGTATAGAGGAACAGAAACGGACCACAAATTTGCTCAAACGAAGTTTTTTATGTAAATCTTATGGATTATAACTTTATGATAGGATGCAGCGGTTACAGTAATCCAGCTTAATCCCAATCCCTCGGTACGCAATCAGTTTGCATCCTCTGCACAGGTTCATACAGGGCAGGATCCCTTCTTAAAGCGTCTGTGCTTTTGCATCTGAGCTGCTCTCTTAACGGTTTGCAGGATAGTCGAACATGCTAGGCGCTGCGTAGTGACTCTGAATTAAACGCCTGGTGAGTGTTTTTTTTTTCCTTCTTTTTTTCTGTACATACTGTTTGTCCCTTTTGTGTGGGAAGTTTTAACTTCATGTTGATTTTTAATGACTACGTGTGAATCTCTGATTACGGCGTGACATCTTCTAAAGGTCTGAATGTGTTTTTGACTTGTGAGGTGTGGCGTATCCGTCCTGAAGCTGCTCTGCCTTAAGGAACAGCGAGAGGACTCAAAGAAACAAAGGGAGTTGTAATTTATCCTAATGTAATCTTCTTTAACCCTTTTCAGAAAGTTTGTATTCAAAATTTAAAATTTCAGATCGTTTTCTTTCTTCAGAATAAGTGCGGTTTGGTGTGATGGGATCTGTTCTGAGTTCTAAACACGTTGGCACTTTTCTGCATATACAGTATCTCTAATATTAATGCCACTCTTAACACGGCCTGTATCTGTGTCGGTCCTGTAAAGAAAAAACAAGCCGAGTATGGAGAGAGACTAATGTTTTGACACATCGCACATGTTAATCTTGTCAAAGCTTATGTTGGCTGGCATATACAGATTTTTTTCTCCCCCTCCTTTTTGCTTATTTAAGCTCTGGATAAAACAGGTTGTATTTTTTTACCTGACCACTCTTGAAGGCTTGTAGCATTCACTCTGAGCGTATTGTTTGAACATTTCTTTGAATAAAGGTCAGAGAACGGACTCGTGTTGGTTTGTATTGTTGCTGCCAAAACTAACTGATACATTCCGTCAGTACCGCTTAGAGGACATTTAAGAGCCGGAAAAAGTCAGAAACTTAAAATATTGGGAGAAAAAAATGACATCCTGTAGAAAATGTAGATGGAAAAACTATTCACACATAACCTGAATTCTGAAAAAAAAACTGGAAGGCTGGGGAAAATTATGGATTACAAATGATTTTAACTCTTAAAACTTAAACAACTCTAAATATTGGAGAACTGAGGCGACTGAAATCAACATTTCAGCTGCCCAACAAATTAGGGGTATCTTCTGTTTTACTTCATGAGACCCCAAATGGTTTCAATGAGTGACAAGTTAGGACTATAGGCAGGTCATTTTATAACAATGAAAATAACTACTGATATAGCACTTTTAAAAACAAGGGATTGCAAAGTACTTTGACATGCAGAAAAAGAAAGCAACAACGAGAGAACATACAAGGGGAGAGAACCTAAGCCAGACCAAAACCCAGAGACCAAGGGGACTGAAGTGTTAAAAGGCAAGTAAAAGAGACAGGAAAAGAACAAGAAACATTGAGAGGTAAAATTGGAAATGAAAAATAAATGTAAAAAGACAACTGGCTCATAGTGGGTCAGACGTTCTGTTATATAGCCTTGAGTGCCTTTAAAGTAATGAGTAAGAGATTTCTGAGAGCACCAGAGAGAAGTGAGTTACAGTAATCTAGGCAGGAGAAAATGAGGGCGTGGATGACTGTTTCCAAGTCTGACTGGAAGAGGATGGATTTTAATTTGGAGATACTGTGTAAATGGAAGAAGCATGAGTGTGTGATTTTATTGATATGAGCTGCAAAGGTGAGGTTAGAGTCAAATTGAACTCCAAAGTTTCTGGCTGATGATTTCATATTTGACTAAAATAAACCAAGGCTGTTGAACATAAAACTGAACATGATTATTTCAGATTTGCAGTTGTTTAGTTGAGGAAAGTTCTGTGCCATCCAAGAGTTTACATCATTTAAACAGTCTGTAATAGCAGCTAGGTTTCTCAGGTTTTGATTTGATTTATTTGGGACCCCCATTAGCCTGGGCCGAGCCTCAGCTTTTCTTCCTGGGGTCCTTAAACCAACTCACAATAAATCAATGCAAATATCTCATATGTATAATACGCCCCATGTAAAAATAAATAAATAATAAAATAAAAATATATAAAAATAATGTAAAAATGAAAAAATTTAAAAATTAAAAAATATTAAAAAATAATAAAATAAAAGATATAAAAAATAATATATATATATTTTTTTTCACATATTTCAATTTTAATTAGTTCCAGTCTTGGCCAGCAGATGTCCCTGTTGCTCTTTTTTGAGTCATGTTTTAAGCACATGGCAAATCAAGTTTCTGTGATCATAAGATCATAAAAAAAAGAAAAGAAAAAGAAACAGGGTAATGAAAACAGACTTACAGGTGAATTTTAAGGAGTAATAAAATGGAAGATACAAATTATCTTATAAGATAATAGTGCAGTGAAAGATAAGGCAAAACAGAGGACATAGAAAAAACAATCACTGCTCTTCACTTAAGGAAGCAGGTGCAGGAAATGCACTGTAGCCCATAATGTATGCAGCAGTCAATGTAAAGCTACAGTTCAAATTTCCTCCTGTTTGTCCTCCCATGGGGCTTCCCCCTGTCCTCTGTGAGTGTTACCGCCACCCTCTTGAGTGGTGTTTCTCCCCCTGGATTAAGACAGGAGCAGGTCTCTGGAGCAGATCTATAATCAGTGCTGTTGTTGCAGCCTGAGCAGCCTTCTGCACACGCTCTGTTAAGTTTAATTTCCCTGCGGGGTGAAGGAGGAGGAAGGTGTTGGGAGGGATTCCCCCTGCTGTGTGCCTCTCCTGATGTGCCTGTACAGGGAGGCTACAGCGTGTGTGCACATCTAAAACACTGAGCAGATGTTTGACCAAAGATTCCATCACACTGGAGCGAAGCCCCCTCCCTGGGTTTTGATTTATCCAACTCGCTCTGTTCTGGATGATCAGCCGGCTGTTTTTATCGTTCTGTGGTGTAAAGTGAACACAGATGGCTCCGTTGATGGTTTAGTGCACTCCGTTCTTGTTTATTTAGCTCACTCTGGTCCATATGTTTTTCTATTGTCCTTGTTTTCACTTTAACAAGAAAGTTATTGTATATCTGCTGCAGAGGAGGGTTATTTGAGATCTTTATAATCTGACAAGTGAACTGTATCTCCTCTCTGTTGGCTGAGGTATTTTACTACAAAGGGACCAACAGTGTACTTTATTATGAAAAAGTACACTCACAGGGTTTTTCAGAGTGATAATACATTATAATTTAGTAATTGTTTGATATTGCTGGTTGTGTTTTTCCACCAGAATGGCGAGCAGCCGACCGCAATCACAAACAGAAACTTTTAAGGTCTGTTTCCCACACCTCTCTGTCCTGTTTCCACTCTTGAGGTCCATCTGATACTCTCTAGAAATCCATTTATTTCCATTTAAACCTCATGAAAATGGCAGCACTCTCTAACTGTTAATAAATCAAATCTTTTCTGCCTTTTAAAGTGTCATTGTATGAAAATCAGCCTCCTCCTCAATATGCCAGGACCTGAGGCTGAGACGTTATTTGACTGACTTCCTTTTATGAATTTAAATCCCCGGGCCGACAGCCAGCAGGGGTTTTGCTCAAACCACAAAAATCCATGAAGAAAACAAGGCTGTGTTATATGATCCTGTTGGCTGGCTGAGCTGCTGGACGCCAGCGAGGTGCGAGAGGGAGCGTTCAACAAGGCCACACTTGTTCTCCGGGCTGCCGTGTCCCCTCTGTGTCCTACATGTGGTCAGACCATTAAACCCTATAAAGAAGATGAGAAGATTGAAACTCCTCTATTTGGGCTCATAATGATGATTTATTCATTAATCTGAAATCCTGCAGAAGATAATCAACAAGCTGGAAAATGGGGTGACTGTTTTTTGCATTTTTCAACTTATTAGGGGCCTGAGCACTGATGGTGCGACGATTCCCTCAGTACCCTCAGGATATTACTGTATCCCCAAAATGAATTTCTCTCTCAAGGGGCTTAAACATGCCTTGAAACTCGCCAAAATTTGCACACACATCAGTCATGCAGGAAATTTTGCCATTTCATGGAACTAAACCAAGAGGAAGTTTGCAATTTTACGTTGATGATTAAATCAGCTCTCGATTTAGTGATTTGCAAAGTTTGTGTCACGGTCCGGAGTTAAACGAAAAGGGAAAGGACCCAAAATAAAAAAAAAACCAAACAATTATTTAAAAAGGAACAAAATAAAAAAAGCAACCATAAGAGAAAAAGCCAAAAGGCAAAATTACAGGGATCAACAGGGAGAACAAATGCATATGCACAACAGGACAGAGGTGAAGACAGGGACTATATTATACACGCACTGGGAAACGAGACACAGGTGAACCTCATGGGTGATTAACGAAGGAGGGAAAACTAGAGAAGTAAAACCAGACTAGAAACACAAGGAATCAACTACTACAAAATAAAACAGGAAACAATGAAAACTGATCTAAAGAATAAAACACTGAAGGAAAATATGGTCAAACACAAACTGAAAATACACTCAGATAACAAAATCAGGGGAAAACCTGAATGGACAGAACATATCATGACAGTCTGTCTCTGAATGAACTCATACTGGGTGTTTTATTTGATGAACTTCAAACATGCACTGTAAGAGCCATAAGGCAATAAGTCGGTATGTGCCACGTGGTGTTTGTGGTTGCTGTGGTAACGTACAGGAGCTTGGGTCACGTGGGGCACATGGGGAATGCCGGGTAGTTATAAAAAGACGTGGCTTACCTGCAGTCAGGAGGAGAGAGGGGAGCGGGGTAGCTGTAATTTTTGTTGACTGCTTTTCTTCGCCTTTCTTCGCTTTGCATTGCATGGCTTTGCATCATATAGCATTGCATAACATTGCTTTGGTTTGCTTTTGTTTGATCCTGCTGTATATCCGAAGAGGTCCTGTGTGTGTGTGACAACTAGCAGAGGTTTCATTAAAAACACCGTAAAGTGCATCATAAGCCTCTTGCTTGTCTATGGAGAAAGCAATAGCGCGTCAGACAAATACTGGACCCTCAAGGTTCATCTTTGGAGTCGCTACATGCAAAGTGTTTTATAGACACGTCAAAGGCTTCCATTTTTTGTCAAAGCCCTCAAAGACAGTTGAGATGTATGCTCCAATCCGAGCCAAACTAACCAGATATAACCAGATATGTTGAAGGTCCAGGCCTGGAAACGTTCATAGAGTAATGTTCAATTACAGTCATTGGAAGCAGAAAATGGCATTCTTTTACTGTAAGACCAAACGCTCCAAGATCATTTGCCATATCTGCATCATCTTAGGTCAGGATATCCATGAGATAATGGTCTTAATGTGTGCCACAAACTGAAGGTTTTCACCAAAGGGTGTGGTCAGGGTAACGCTTTATTTTGACAGAGGTAACACATAAATACTAAAACCTAATCCGCTCAAAAAGCACATACGTCCACATCAAACCCTGCTGTGGGGCCATGAATTGTTTGGACTCATTGTAGAACTAACAGAAAGTCCACACTGAGATTACACTCCTCAAAGACTGATTTTTGTCTCCTCTCACACATACAGCTTTCTGTCCACCCTTATTTATTTTAGCGTGTCACTTCCTGTCAGGTCAGACAATCCCATGGTGGCTCATACTGAGATAAATATGAACACAAAGGTCTGTTGTTGTGTGTCCCCCCTCCAGAATCCAGCAGGTATATTTTCAGGAAACCATTGTGGACATGCATGAGAGAAAAGCCTGCAAAGGTCTCTCTTTCACAGTACGCACTGACTAAAATAGAAACACACACTCCCTGTGGTATAAACACAGGAAAATGTACTGCCTGTTGAGGCAAAGTACCAACCTTTTCAGAAAAATAAAGATGGGGAGAAATGTCCCTGCGGGGCAAAGAAAAAAAATACACTC